GCTACTAGCATATTATAATATTCCTTTTCACTCAAACCCTAAAATCGAAACAGATAATAAATTAATATAGATTAGTAGAACGTAAAACATAATAATTAAGTATATATTTTTAGTAAGTTACATCAAAATTTAAAATATGGCATTTTGAAATTTGAAATTTCTTTGTGCGTCAAATAAAATAATACCTTATTATCAAAATACTAAAAATAGTAGGTATTTTTAAAATCCAAAAGTAAAATTTTGTATTTTAATGTAATTTATTAATTAAAAATTATGCGCTCTTTATGATGCAAGAAGGCATTATTTTCTAAACCTATGAATAAAAAATGTGTTAAACCTTATAAAAACTCTTATCAATATAAATATTATCTATCATAACACAATTATAGTACAAACACATGTTTCTAAGATTTAAAATTCAGCCTCAAAATTAATCATACTATATTCGAAATATCAATTATTAATATTGTTTATCTCTATTCAGATATTTAATTCATGCATGGCAAGCAATCGCTGTTTTTTAAAACTTCTAATGTACTTACTGCATGTACATAAATGCTTATGGAGCAGACCATTAAAAGTTTATAAGTGAAAATCACTCGATGAAACATTTTTAATGAAATATTTTTAACACTCGAATCTGATTTTCGTTTTTATATATTTCTTTATATCTAAGGGTCGGCGCACATGTGGCGGATGGAATGTAGCTTATTTTCTGATACGCAGAACAAAATCAGTACAGTAAAGGCTATCAAACCAGAATATCTAATCACGTTAACGAGTTGGACTCGAAACTACACGGTACAGGCAGTGTTTCACACGACCGATTAAAGCGGTATGTTGTCCCTACACTGACCGCGAGATTTGATTAAAGAATTTGAAGGTAATACCCAGTTATTCTTTCTGCTAATAATGACATATAAATACCAAATGGATTGGCTCATTGTGTCAACACAGCTCGACAAGTAGCAAACAGATAGTAGCATTCCTTTTGCACTTATAAACAGCGTAATCAGCAATTTTAAAAAACTTGGCAAAAGGGTTCTTCTTTCCTTGTGTCGTTGGAGTTTCTTGTCCATTCTTATAAATAGGATCAACAGAACAGAACAGACAACTAACTTACTTTCACTAGCTTTATTTGATTTACTTATTTTAATACTTTATGCACAAAAATAATGTATAAAGGTAGACTTAATGCCGTAGGCATTCTCTGCAAGTCTACCTTGGGGTGGAACAGAGATGAATGATTAGGTGCACTAAACTCAATACCAAGACTTAACTAAGAAGTACATACACATAAGGACACGTGTATTTTTTTTATAAAATTCGTAAAATATATTTTTAGTATATACTCGTATATTAGGTATAAATCCAATGATGATGTAGCTTCTTTGTGTGTAAGGAGATCTCTCGCTTTGGCCTTCAACGAATGACGACTGGGTGCCATTCTGATTTCCTGGGAAGAGCGTTAAAGAGGAGGACAGATTGAATAAGGAAGGAAGAATGAATACATGCGGACGTATAACAAAAGAAGTTTATTTTTGGAGCGAAGGGGCCGCCCGGTTTGCCGGCGACGGATTGGGTCCGAGTTGAGGTTGCCCTCTCGGGCCCTTTCCGCCGTCTCCTTCTGCGACGTGGAAGTTTATCCTGCTCCAGCCTTTTGATCAAACGTTGACTGCCGACAATAATAGACTGGCATTTTGCTGGGTTCACAGACAATCCAAACTTGTCAGACCAGTCGTTGATTTGCTCCAGATCGCAGTTAATCATAGAGAAGGCCTCTGTTATTTGCTCTATGAAGCAGCAAGTCATCGGCATAAAGGTGGTATGCACACTAAAGATTCTGAGTGATGATATTGATAAAAATAGAGAATAACAGAGGAGAGAGAATGCCGCCTAGGGGGATACTAGAGTCAAGATTACACCATCTAGAGGTGGATTCATCAAAACGAACAGACTGCTGGCGCCCTCGAAGATATCAGTGCATCAGGTGATATCATGTGATATGAAAAGATGGACAGAAGGATATCGCGACTGACGGTGTTAAATGCATTCGAGAAATCGACTAAAACCAACACAGTGACTTTGGAATCCTCTATTCCTGCCCGGATGTCACTAAAACAGAAAATTGAAAAAAAATATATATTAGGGCGGGGTTGTCTGACACTTTGTTTAATGATCAAATTTAGTGGCAATAATAATTGGTGGCATTGAAATAAAAACATTTTTATTTTAATAACCTGCAATACCGGCTCTCATTGTTAAAGCACAGAATTATTTTACATATATGCTAGAAATGATTATCTTTAGATATTCTCTAAACCACTCAGCCAGATGTAAGCCGGTCCTGCAGATAATCATTTCTAGCATGTATGTAAAATAATTGTGTGCTTTAACAATGAGAGTAAATTCAGTTTATTTACCACATTATAACATCAAAAAAATTGTCATTGGTGAATGACTTTAAACTCAGTTTTCCAATGCTTCATTTATTGTTAGCCTTCACGGCCATTTGATCACATAAAACTATTTGTACTCATAATAGGAACACCATTTGAGCCCAACTCATTCCAACTTCAAAAAAGAGGAGGTTATTAATTCGGATATTTTTAATTTTTATGTATTTGATCTGTTTAGAATTTTGAAAATCCATCTATATATGACGAAGTTATTATCGGTTATTATCGGTTCGGGCATAACTTCGTCATATATAGATGGATTTGCAAAATTCTTCTTTTTTTAGAAAGTGGTTTATCCGAAATGGTCCCATTTAAATTTCATATAGATCTGATGATGAGTTTTGGAGACAGACAACGGAACTCTTAAAGAAATGACAGCAAATCAACCGCGATTGCTGCTAGGTTTTTAGTGGTCTTTGTTAATATTGTTTGAAGTCAGTTCAACTTAAAAAAAAAGGATTTTTTTTAAACTTACCTTATGTGTGTGCCAAAATATAAAATTATCATAAAAATATAATATACTTAAACAAGAATAACATCGACCTTAAAGTGAGATGGATTTTAAGAAGGTTAAACCGAGATTTTACAAAAATAAGTAAGGGGCAGTCTAATAATTTTTACGAACATTCTTGTAATTAGTAGCGGCGACTTTAGCTGACTCCTTTAATTCCGGCAGGTATCTCATATAAATTTATTTCAAAGAAACTACGAACTTTAACTCATTTTTAGAACAAAGATCCTTATCTGAGTGGATCTTAGAGAGACCGAAAAATGCGTAACTAGACTTTTTGCCGACACTTCAGTTGGCGCGTCGACGTTCACATCTTTTTTTAATTTCATAAATATAGCAAACGTCTACCAAAAAGCGAAAGGAACTTCGTTCTAACTAGGCGTCCACAGACCTCTCACGCCGTTTTTCTTAATCTAAAGCGGAAAACCCCGTTTAGTAATGAATATTGTATTATGATCAGCTACTTTTTATATTCAATAAGTTAAATATATTTATAAAGTTGATTAAAATAGATTTCTCGATGTTTCTTGTAAGTGAGTGTTGTGAGCACATGTTAAAAATACAATAGGTTCAAATTTACCAAACTCGATAAATTGAAAATTTTTCATGACTCCTTCCACAACTTCAATTATAAAATGTTGAAATTGTTCGTAGGTGTAATTTATATTTTCTACTTCATAGTTTCCGCTTTGTGTTATTTTCTAATATTATTAGTGTTTATTTTGCATGTCACAAACGTGTATGTATATTATATACAATATTACAGTTCTTAATAAACAACCTTATATATTTCTAAACAGTTACCTACATTTTACAGTTCAATTACGTCTAGACACAAAACCAATGATCGTGCTAATTACAAAATATTTGTCTTGGGTAGAAATCGTACCCACGACCTCGGGCTTAGTAATCAGGATCTCAGGATCGGTAACCGCTACACCATTCAAAGAAAACCTTTCAATAAGTCAAGTATTTAAACGCAACGTACCATCTATTTCACGATAAAGTCAGTTCACCTTTTTAAGTATCAGTTTAGTTTAATTTATACACACACAATCTGTACAGTGTACACATCACCTTTTATATTACGTCAAGTGGATGGCCGGTTAACCTTTCTAACTCATACGTCCAAGAAAATAATACAAAGCACTCCTATAATACTAGCCAAAGAGGATGCAGAGTGCAGCTACATCTCTGGGCCAGAGAATCAAACCGATCTGCAATATCCTGGAAATCGACAACTTAGTATTGTAACGTTGTCTGAAATGTGTATCGAGGACCATAGTATTGACAAAAAATAGTGTTCCGACTCAGCGCCTAACGGAATTTGGATTCTGTCAATCTCATTGCCTACGATCTATTCATGGGACAACAAAATCACAGTAAACAGTCACATTTTTTCGTACGTAGGTTAGGGTTATTACTTACCCACGCGTAGTTGCTAATAAGCTGTTTTCGGACGATGCATAAAGACCCTATGTATTTATTTCCACTTAATGCACAAATGTAACAAAGGCGGAATTCATGCCGTAGGCATTTTCTCCCAGTAAACCTTAGATAAAATATGGTAGATGCACAAAAAACAAATGAATTTTATTAATTATTTTTTTTATATTTTATTAATAATTTTAACAAATAACACATATACACACACATATATATATACATAATTATATAATTGTATGGATAATATATAAATAATTAAGATGGATCTGATAAGTAGGTAGTTTAATAAGTGTTTCCGCAACAGGTATTTACGGTTAAATAGCGTCTAACCTACCTACCTAGCTACATAAATATAACTGAATACTATAATAAACTATAATATGATTATTTAATGACGACAAGACATATGCCACATGTAGCAATCGTATGTCTAACGTAGAAGTTCAGATATTTACCGATTGATGCGCTTGTCTACCGAACACCTACCACCCATTCGCTCCAGTCAGAAAAAAAAAACAAAATAGTTAGAATATTTATTTAATTATTTAAAATCAAGTTATTCAAATCATTTTCTCTCAAAGTTATCAAGATTTTCGGTATTGTTCTTCAACAAGTACAAACTGAAAACAAAACAAACTGGTTGAAGTATATTAAACAACCTACATATATAGTTAGAGTACACTTTAAAAAACAATAACGATGTTTGCATATAAATTCATATTCCTTCTAAAAAAAACACTTTTATTCAAGGTAGTGACTATGAAATTCTATTTTGGTGTTATATTTTGTTAATTTATCATCGTTTAATGAACTTACATCATCCTCTTTTTCCTTTAAACAATCATATAACAATCTTGCTCTTTCTCCGTAGCCAGCCTCGCCATCACTGACTTTAGCTTCGTTTACTGAAATAAGAAAGTAAACTAGTGGGCGTTTTGAAGCTACAATCATTTATTAGTTTAATCTTAAGTTTCTTTAAAAATTCAATTTTTACAGAGTCATTATTGAGATAATGTAGACATAGAGAGAAAGCGTAGACCGCTGGCTGTTCGGTGCAATATGCTGGTTCGAAGATTTGCACGCTGCACAAATCAAGTAAAGGTTACGCTTTTTTAAGCGTTCTGCCAGTCCTTTTACACGTGCAGTTGGACCAATTTCACGCAAAGGACATACAACGACCTGCGAGTCCAATATAATAACGCGTTCGAGATACTGCTATCGTGCCGTTGTAGTGCACACAAACGACTTTTGCGCAATTTTAAGAAAGAGGACCGCATCCATGGCCGGCCGGTTGCGCACAGCTACTAACAGTCTCCTGAAGGTGTTTACGGATCGGTGTGACTCCCCTCTGCTGTGCCGCTAAGCAAAAATCCACACCAGCCTCAATAATTAGTATTACTAGTTATTAGAGTATTACTAATATTAGACTTCAAGTTATTTTGTTTGTACTAACCCTATAGACTATGTCTGAAATAAAGTTTTTGAATTTATATTTATATGATTAAAACCGATTAGGTACAAGTATTTTTTATTATACCCGTTTCGAACAAGCGCGTTTGAAAGATGTAATTAATGTAAGAAACGAATCTTTATATCTGAATCGAGGCAAAAGACGTTGTATCATTCCTAATGCCCCAACAGGATTTAGGCCTCTTGTTTTTTTTTTTTTTTATCGTGTGGAAATCGGATGGTGTGTCGGACTCGGACCGACTAAAACCACACGGTGTGCCACTCTGCGCCTGTAATAGGAGGCATCCGGGAACAGCTGTTGTTAAGACATCCGGACCCCTCCTACCGCCTGCCCGCTCCTGGTGCGGGCTCCGTCTCAAAATTTTAACCTCTCTTTAGGCGACGTCCGGCACACGCGGACGCCGTCCTCTCGCGGCTGGCCAAACTAATGCGGGTGGAGGGGAAACCCACCCCGTCCACCCGCGGCCACACTCAGGGCGGCATGAGGCGGTGATAAGCGCGCCTCCGCCGCCCGGTTCTCCGGCGGCGGATCGGGTCCGAGTGGAGGTCGTCCTCCCGGACCTTCTCCGCCGCCTCCTTCTGCAAGATTACTTCCTCGCAGAAGGTTGCGACCGCGGTAAAACAACTGTCGCTACCGGCCATGGAGCGTACTACGGCCGGTAGCGAGAGATCCACTCCGATGACTGCAGTGAGGGCCCGGCGCTGCGTCGCCCGTGCGGGGCAGACCGCCAGCGTGTGCTGGGCCGAGTCCTCACTGCAGTCGCAGTGGTGGCAGGCGGGACTCAGTTCCCTCCTAGCGACCGAGTGCAGGTACTTTCCGAAGCAACCGTGCCCGGAAAGCACCTGCGTCAGCCGGAAGGTAAGGGTCCCGTGCTGCCGCCCTGCCCACTCGGCGATGACCGGCTGGAGAGCCTCCACGGCGGCGAAGCCAGCGCGTGGAGTCTCCAGCCGGATCGACCAACGAGCCATCGTGGCTCGGCGAGCGGCTTCGCGCCACTCGCGCACGTCTTCGGACGGAGTCAGCCACTCGCCGATAAACTTCGGCGAGCACTTCCGCCTCTAAATCCATCGGGGGAGTTCCGGCCAACGCGCAAGCCACCTCCGTCGAAACGGTGCGGTAACCGCGTATGGCTCTGATCGCCAATACCCTCTCAGGGCGCCAGAGGCGTGCCCTATTCTGGGCGGTCAAAGCCGCCGCCCACACCGGTGCACCGTATAGTGCCATTGACCGGACAACCCCCGTGTAAAAGTCGCCCTAGGGCAGACGCAGCGCCGACTAGCTTTGGAGCAAGCTGTCGGAAGTGCTCGTCGAAGAGCCACCTCCCGTCGAGGATCAGGCCCAGATATTTCATCTGGGCCCGAACCGGTACGAGGACCGAGTTGACCACGATTGAGGCGCCAGGGGGTGGACCACGACGGGGCCCATGAAATAAGAGAGCCTCCGTCTTATCTAGGGCCACCCGTAAGCCCAGCGCCTCAATGCGCCCGACCACCAGGGAGACTCCCCTTGTGGCCAGGCGCGCCGCCTCTTGGAAGTTCGTCCCCCGGGCTGTCACCAGAGTATCATCTGCGTAACAAATTACACCTAGCCCTGGGGGGAAATCGGCTCGAAGGGCCCAGTCGTACCCTATGTTCCACAAGAGGGGTCCAAGAACAGACCCCTGTGGAACACCGCACGACATGGGCCGACACCTCGAATTACCTTCTCGGTCCTCGTACACGACGGTACGCTCCTCTAAATAGTCTGCCACTAGCCGCCTCAGGTACTTTGGCACCCCATGATAGTGGAGTGCTTCCCTGATGCAGCTGAATGGCAGACTATTGAATGCGCTGGCGATGTCCAATGACACCGCCAACAGCACGCCGCCACAGCTCACGGCCTCTTCGGTCACGGCCCTCAGGCGCAAAACAGCGTCGACTGTCGAACGCCCCACCCGAAAACCAAATTGGGCGTCCGACAGATCGGGGCCCACCTCGTAGAGGTGCCGGACGATGCGGGCAGAGAGAACCCTCTCAAACAATTTACCCGCCTCGTCCAGCAGCAAACAGGATTTAGGCCTAAGTGAACAATTTTATTTTTGAACTTTCTGTTTCTTTGAATAGTTAGAAATAAGTTTCAATCAGTCGTTTCTGAATCTAGGTACCTTTTCTAATCTAACATTCTAATTCGAAATTTCATTTCGAAATTCTAATCTAAAATTTGAAATCTAAGATTACAATTTGAATTAACAATGTGAGATATGTCAATGTCTTGATAGAGACGGGCATTTATTTAATGTTTATCTAGAAAAGAGATGTTGAGTTTCAAAAAAACTACCTTTTGAACACTCCTGTCTAATGTTGTACAACCTTGCTAACTCGTCTTCGCGCTGTACGTATAACTTAGATAATGACATGGACTTTTCAACGTTAAATATCCCTTTATCCATCTGAAATTAATAAAAAAAAAGAACTTTTTGCGTTACACAATCAACTTTAGTTAGTTTTTCAATATGTTTCTTTTCTTTTTTTTAAAGACTACTTCCGCACTAGAAAAGATACGCACTAGAAACGGACAAAAAGAACACCCAGACTAAGAACAACAATTTGTAGAGCACACTAAGTGTTGTTCCATGTGGGTATCGAACCCACAACACTCAACGCAGTAGGAAGCGACGAGGTGACCGCTTAAACAACTACGCCATCTGCATGTCGAATATAGTCGACTGTTTCGGTGGCGCAGTGGTAGCGTATGCGACTGCTGCGTTGAGGTCTCGGGTTCAACCAAATGTTTGTATGATCTGCAAATAATTGTTTCGGAGTTTGTGTGTTTTCTATGTATAATATGTATGTATTTACAAAAAAAAGTAAATAAGTGTTATATTAGTCAATCTAGCTTTCATAGTACAAGCTCTGCTTAGTTTGAAAATAGATGGCGTTGTGGGTCAGATGTCCGAAATATTATTATTATAGTAATACTTATATATAAGATTAAATATTTACAATGCCACATTCAGTAAAAAAACAATCGAGGAACAATGGATCGAATTCATAATCAGGATCAGTGTACATCTTTTCTCCTTCTGAAGAACTAACATCAAATTTCTCCATGCACTTATCGAATGCGTTTCTTGTAACTTCCAAATTCCAAATTTCAAGATATTCCTTTTCACTCAAGCCCTAAAGTTGAAACGAATAATTAATTAATATGGATATTAGATAAAATAAAAAGTAATTATTAAATTAAATAGGTTAAACCTACTCTTAATTATTGCATATTTTACCAACGAACGATTATACTCTTACAGCTACCGACTATTACTTTTTCCAAAATTTAGACAACTTTTTAATGGGTAAAAAATTATATTCCCGAGAGGCAGTACAAAATGCCTTTGAAGAGTTTGTTGCCTCCCGTCCAGCTGATTTTTACAAGAAGGGCTTCAATAAACTGCCAATGGCAAAGATGGGTCGATTGCATGGGTGATTACTTCGAATAACAGAAATAAAAAAGTTTGAAAAAATAAGTACAGTCACTTATTGCATACAAAACGGCAATTTCATAGGTAAAGACCTAATATATCTATGTTTTCAGTGTGTACAATAAAAAATAAATAAATAAACACTTGTACTTACCGAGTACACATAGGTGCTTTTGAAACAGACTATCAAAATTGTATAAGTCAGGATCTTTTGATGAACCATTTTCAAAGTAAATTGACACTAGAACACCATTTTCGTATTTATATATTTCTTTATATCTAAGGGTCGGTGCACATGTGGCTTATAGTCAACATAGCAATCGTGATCTCAAACAAGACCTTAATAACGGTTGGTCAAGAAAAATAATAAATAAATGACACCAAATACATAATGCATTAAATTGATTTATAAATATGCCTTCATAATTTGAAATTTTCTTTTATCGCTGGGACCATGCTTAAATACAGAAGTAATTATCTTCCATCTTTGCATGCTTTTCAGCTAGGTATAGGCCGGCCCTTAGAACAATTCGTAGCATTTATTTAAAATAAGTATATGCATTTGACAATCTGAGCTAATATAGCCCATTACAAACGTCATAATCACTTCATATACTTAAAAAAAAATAACGAGCTTCCTATAGTAACATAATTTAGTTTCAAATTTAAGCCAGTTTAGTAAACCGAGTCAAATCGAACATATGTATATATACTCGATTTACTGTGGATGCTGTCCACACATTTATATATCATTTACAGCCTTTAATAGTCTACTACTGGACATAGCCATCTCCTTAGAAAGGAGGTTTCGGCTTACTGCACCACGGCCACCACTGGCCAGCCGGGTTGGTTTAGGGTTTGTTGCAAATTTTCCTTCTCTTTGCAGTGCTGTTGTCCTGCAGAGTTTGCTTTCTTAGTCGGCTCATACAACACCCACGAGATGAATAGAGATGGTGACACTCCGTATTCTTAGTTCGTCACTACACTGATTATGATAATAACTGTCACTATGTGACATTATGGTTGCATTGATGAGAAATTAAGAACAAAACTGACTGTTTGTATAATTATGGTGTCAAAAATTGAGCCGAATCGGTAAAAGAACTTTTTTAGTTTTTGAAGCGTGCACTAACTATCCAAACATTTTTTATATATTTATAGGTATGTATAAATGTGTGCACCAATAGATAGTGTTGTTAATATCTCTTAGTTGTTCTGCATTACTCAATGGTTTATTGGTACAGAATGCCTAAGGTATTGAGCCTATGTACCAAATGTACATCAAGTGTAAGTAAATACAAAAATACTGTAGGGAAGATTCACATCGTAATAAAACCATTAAAAGTCATTTGTATAGGTATGTTTTTTATTGTTAGTGTTTGAGAACACACATTGCTTATGCAAAAACGAAGTCTTCAGGTTTGAAGTCATACATACATTTCGTTGTCCAGAACGAGGCCTCACAAATGTCTTTATACTTCTTCTCTGTAAAAAGGGAAAACATGTCACATTGTGTACAATATATATATATATATACATATAAATATGTTTAAATTAATGTAGGTATTTCAGAGTATCCGTATTTCTTGACTAATATGTCAAGAAATACGGATACTCTGAAATACCTACATTAAATCACATGGTTTAATGAATATTAATATTTTATTACTTTTATATTATATTAAATATTTATCAGTCTTTCTTTATGTCTAGCAATGGACTATTTACTACTAAAAGGGTGTGTGATGATGATGATGTCTTGAACAAAAACAAAATAAATCTAGAAATGTAAATTTTGTTCTTAATCTGATTCTGAAAATTACGAGTACACAACTAAGGCATTTAATTTCAATGACACATAATCGTCGGGCTGCAAATGATACTTACGAACATCCTTGCAATTGGTAGCGGCGGCTTTAGCTGACTCCTTTAACTCCGGCGGATACATCATATCAATTTGTTTTATGGAAGCTTCGAAATTTAACTTATTATTCTTAATCTAAAACAGACATCTTAAATGGCAAACCTTCTAAAACATTTTCATCAAACCGCCGGCAATGGTGATACAACTCAAGAGTCAAAACCACGTTGCCGCCCTTTGAGTCTGTTCACAACTCTCTCCCCCCCCCCCCCCCTCCATGGTTCTGTTACAATTTTCATTTGTATTTAAATTTTTGAAGAACTCCAGGAGGCTAAGGATACATTAGAAGCTTGAGATAGAGTGATTGCGAATTCAAACCCAATCCACTGGATTGTGCAGTGCACTGGCACTATCGAAATGAACCCACAACTTACACTTGCAAGCATTTTGGGTTAGCTGATGGGATTCGTAAAAATATTATTTTAATGCTATTTTCGGTAAAAATTACGGACAGCAGGACAGCAGCACTGTAATGTGACTGTAAAGTCACCCGTGACACAAGATATTATTCCTAGTGCGGGAGTTGTATTTTTGAAGGTGAAAAATAAATGTGTATGTATGTATGTAACCAAAATATTGACTTAAACTTACAACATTAGTCATTTCAAAAATACAAGCTATATAACACATGACTTTTTGATCCTCAATAAAAACTCCTTTTTCTATGTCACCAACCATATCTGTAAAGTAAACTTCTTGTAAATTTATGTAGGACTTTAGTAATTCAATTTATTTGTGTAACTATTAGTAGAAATAGTATTAGACTTCAAAAAGTTCTAAAAACTTAATTATTTCGTTGTGTTTTCTTGAAATATGTTTTCGTTGTACGTGCAAGTTGTGTGGAAGTGTTATTATTAAAAAGAAAGTAAGTTTAAAGTGCTAAAGAAACAAAAGGCTTCCAACAATCATAAACAGATAACACGTATTAAGTTACTAAATATTGGTCTAGCTATTGTAGAATCACTTCTGTAATAATACTTTATAGCTTCTATATACTATACAGCTTTTATATAGCTTTTATATAATACTTCTAATACTGTACCTTCAGGCACTTGTATTTTCTTTATGCAACTGTTTTTCAGCATCTTGGCTGTTTTTTTCATCTGTTGCCTTGTCATCTAAAATCGAATAATGCTATAGTCAAAACATGGATTTAATTTCTGGGCGACTTCATCATTCATTTTATGTTTTATAATTTACTAGCTGAACCCTGTCATGCTTCACTGTGGCACACAATGACATTTGCATTGATGAGAAATGAAGAACAAAACTGACGGCAAATTTAGAAAACAATTTTTGCAGTATGTTGCATATCGCGTCAAAATTTTAGCTCAATCGATGCATAATCGATGCAAACCAACTTATTTTTTTTTATAAATATTGATTACAACTTAGAAATACAAATCTGCATATAATAGTGAAATTTGGTAGTTTAATGAAAATGTTAAGAACGTGGATTTCAAGGTATCATAAAAGGTTTAGGCAAATTTCACAACAAAAAACAGACCCAGATTGTTTCCTTTGACATATTTTTTTCCCCCTATTTATATTAAATTATAATACAAGGTGTCTCAAAAGAAAGTTTATATTTAAAAGATCGATTAAAAAAAAAGTAAGCAGTGTATCGAAAAAATGTTTATTAATTATTAAAGTACACAATTTGGGCATTTATTTCTTAAAAATAATATCCTCCAAATGTAGACCCTCGCGTTCGCGGCACTCATTTAATCAAACAGTAAAATTACTTATGACGGCTCGGCAGGTGGACTCAGTAATGGCTGTCATTTCGTGACGGATATTTTCTTTCAAATGCGCCAGGGAAGTCGGTTTATTCGCGTGAACTTTAGATTTAAGATAACCCCATAGGAAAAAGTCCATAGGGTTTAAATCAGGACTGCGTGGAGGCCAATTTATGTCACCTCTCCTGGAGATCAATTTTCCTGAGAAAATTTCACGAACTCGTGGCAGAGACGTATTGGACGTGTGTGACGTTGCTCCGTCCTGCTGGAACCATGGTCTTTAGTTATGGCCAGGCAAGTTTTGCAGTTCAGGCGCCAAGAAGTCGTTTAACATCTCCACATAACGCTCTGAATTCACTGTAACTGCACGCCCCCTTTCGTCTTCAAAAAAGTAAGGGCCGATAATTCCTCGCACCGACATCGCAGCCCATACTTTCACTTTAGGCAATTCTGCTTATTTACGTGTCCATTAACATGAAAATGAGCTTCATCCGAAAACAAGATGTTGGTAAACGTTGAATAGCGCTCAATCGCCTGATTTACGAAGTCAAGCCTCTGACTGGCATCTTGGGGCTTTAATTCTTGCACCAATTGAATTTTGTAGGGGTGCAGCTTTAGGTCTTTGTGCAAAATGCGGTGTAATGATGATCTATGCACATTTAAAGCACTTGCGCGCTTCCGAATTGAAAGGTTCGGGTCGTCACGAATAGACTGATTAACACTCTCCACGTTTTCTACCGTTATTGATGACCTTGGTCGCCCGGATTTTGGTTTTTCCAGCGTTGTACCGGTCTCTTTAAACTTTTTGACCCATTTTCGAATAAGAGGAATGCTTGGCGCATCATTTAAATGGCGAAAACCTCGAACACTACAGAACCTTCTACGCGCTACAATCGCCGAATCACCGTTTTTGTAAAACTCTCGCACGCACAACGTACGGTCTGCTCCCGAGAAACGCTCCATAGCAACTGAATTCCCAAGAGCCAGGCTACAGATTGACATAACCCCCGCGCCCCTCGGACTCGTTGCGTTCACGCAGTAAGCTAAATAAATATAAACTTTCTTTTGAGACACCTTGTATAAACAAATGAGTCTGAATAATGAAAAAAGATAGCAAGTGTTACACAAAGTAGGTTCATATTGTTGTCACTTCTGCATACTTACGGCATTGGTTCCATTTATAAGAAAAAAAATGACGATCACTGCACATAAATCTTTCCGATCCATCGCGACGCTTCCAAGTGATAAGTTAACTAAGTAGTGACCGCAATGACATTGTTTCTTCAAGGGAAAGACATATATACAAATTACCCACTTCTTGATTATACAACAAAACTGCTTATTCAGTGCAATCATGAGTATCATTATCTATGTAAACACACAAATTAACGAGACAGCTATGTTCATACAGCAAACATTTAATTATGAAATATTCGAATTATACAATGAGAGAACATTCATCGTATCGTTAGAATACTAATTGTACGCCATGTAACATTTTTGGTATTCGATTGAGCAGAATGATCCTTGAACATCAAAACTGCATTATTATTGCATATCTCATAATAGCAGATATGCAATAATAATGCAGTTTTGATGTTCAAGGATATTGACATATCAAAGGACTTATAAACAGGAATCCTAATAGTGCCCCTATTATGAATATACAGTCCGCTATCAAATGCAGAATTGTCCGTAGAAACAGCAAGGTATATGATTGCTCTACATACCTAGAGATTAAAAGGTGTACTCAGGGCCGCCGCATACGGGTGTGCAAAGAGTGCCTCGCACACGGCCGGCATTTTCAGACATTATCAGACATTATCAATCATTATCAACAGAAACGAAAACGACATTATCATAATTAGCATGTCTAATATATTTTTACTGTGACATAATAGTAACATCTATTAATCAGTGTAGAAAATAAATTCAAACGTGTATAAACTTCGAATTACTTTCCTCTACAGGTCCCATAGCCGTGACAGCGAAACTGACCGACTGATGGACCACGTCCTAATGGCTCCAGATTCCGTGCTGCAGCAAATGCCATCCGCGGAGATCGTGATGCTTGGCGACTTTAACGCTCACAACGCCGAATGGCTTGCCTCACGCAAGACCGTTCACGCGGGGAGATCTGTTCACGATTTCGCCCTGACCTATGGCTTGTCACAACTGGTTTCAACGCCCACGCGAGTTCCGGATGTTAAAAGTCATGAGCATTCACTGTTGGACCTTCTGCTGACCTCCGATCCGGACGGTTACAAAATCGCTGTTGAAGCCCCACTTGGCTCCTCGGATCATTGTCTAATCCGCAGTACAGTGCGACTCATGTGCTCGCCGCGGCCGCGAGCTGCAGGCTGCCGCCGTGTGTGGCACTATAGGTCAGCGGACTGTGATGGGATGCGGTCCTTATTTGCGTCCTACCCATGGAGGCAGATCTGTTTCTTGCCGGATGATCCCACCGTCTTTACCGATTCTGTCACTGATGTAGTACTTCAGGGCATGGAACTATTTGTTCCTTCTACATTAATTCCCATCGGTGGCAGATCCAAGCCCTGGTTCGACAGATCCTGCAAAACGGCGTCCCGCCGAAAGCGGAAATGCTACCAAGCATGTGCAAATGCAGCGATGGCAGGCGATGTAAATACCAGCACGCTAAAAAAACAGTATAACTTTGCCTCCAGGTCCCTTAAAAGAGCCATTACTAGGGCGAAATCGGAGCGCATCAGCCGGATCGGTGAGAGACTAGTGAGACTTCCTTTTGGAACTCGTGCATTCTGGTCTCTTGCAAAGGCTGTCCAGGGGAATTTCTGTAGCCAATCCTTTCCACCCCTGCAGATGGGAGATAATTCGTTGGCCTATGATGCCAAGGAGAAAGCTGATCTCCTAGGCAAATTCTTTGTATCTAACTCGACTTTGGATGACGGGGGAAAAGTACCGCCGACCGTAGGGTCGGCGGTACTTTCCAGAGCTATATGCCAGATATCCGGTTCACACAAAAATCAGTGCGTAAAGCACTCTTTTCCCTCGACATTCATAAGTCGTGTGGGCCCGATGGAATTTCTCCTATCGTGTCGAAGACGTGTGCTCCGGAGTTGGCACCGGTTTTAACGCGCCTTTTTCGTCTCTCCTACTCCCAAGGCGTCGTCCCGAACTCCTGGAAGGTAGCGTTTGTGCACCCGATCCCTAAAACAGGTGACCGCTCTGACCCGTCCAACTACAGGCCTATACCCATAACTCCTTTGTTCTCTAAGATTATGGAAGCCATAATCAACAGCCAGCTTCTCCGGTACTTGGATGACCACCAGCTACTCAATGACCGACAATATGGTTTTCGCCGGGGTCGCTCAGCTGGTGATCTTCTCGTCTTTCTAACACACCGGTGGGCACAGGCGATCGAGACCAAAGGAGAGGCTTGTGCGGTTGGTTTGGACATAGCGAAGGCCTTTGATCGGGTCTGGCATAAGGCGCTTTTCTCGAAGCTCCCTTCCTTTGGGCTTCCCGAGAAATTGTGTAATTGGGTCACCAGCTTCCTTGCGGACAGAAGCATTAAGGTCGTTGTCGACGGTGCATGCTCGGACTTGAAATCCGTAAATGCTGGTGTCCCACAAGACTGTATGCTATCACCCACACTGTTTCTTCTGCATATCAATGACATGTTGCAAACTAGTGGCATCAGAGGTTTCAGATTGGGGCCGACTAAATCTAGTCCAGTTTAACGGGTTATCGTCTGCGATATTTCCGGATCGATACGACCTTTAAAACTTCAAGAAAAGAGCGTACTCCTTCCTAAAAGGCCGGCAACGCGTTTGTGACTCCTGAGTTGCAGACATTCATGGGCGGCGATAGTCACTTTCCATCAGGTGACCCGTCCGCTCCTCTGCCCCCTCTAACATAAAAAAAAAAACTAAACATAAGCATGTATAATTTACATCACTCAAGACGAGTCGCGGGATTTCCAAATATCCCATACTTTGCGATAATTTTAGTTCGGGAAATTATGGGCGGCTTAATCCTGGTACGACTTTATTACGGCGGTCGATGCTCCACACGTTGCCAGAATACCCGGCGTGTGTGGAGTAGAGCCATAACCTCATAACTGATTGCAACCATGGTACGGATCGAGCGCGGGTAGAAGTCCACTAACTCCATCAGCGAACAAAATTAAATTAAACTCACGAAGGAGAGGGTGAAGCGGCACCGGTGAGGGGCTTAGAACCCTCTCCCGGGCGCGCAGAAAAAAACTGTTCTAAAATTGAATGGCGTCATACCAAAGCGTCCCTCGGACTGTCGAAGAACGCCCTGCCGTGCCACGATGTCAGTCATCGCGGGCCCATATTCAACCAGTTTTGCTCTGCGTGGATCCAAAGTTCGCTGTGTCGTTATGATTGTGAACTTTTTTTATTTTTTATTATCTAAAAAAATCATGTATGTTTAAAGTGAAAGAGCATTACCGAAAAGGATTATTATGTTACAGTTCTCTTCCGTAATGCAGTAATATCGTTATTAAATCTGCTAATTTATCTTAGTAATTGTCTTTCTAAGGAGAGGTCTATGTCTAGCAGTGGACTAGTAAAGGCTGTTGATGTAATTATCTTGTAGTTATTTATTTGTATACACTTATTAAATAAATAATAACGAAAAAACTCATGAAGCAACACTTTACTATTTAAAAGTAACTATACACATACTTTTATATCACGGGAAAATAAATGACGGTGGGTCCGTCTCATATAAACATTTGACTGCAGCATATACTCCCTCGCACACATCGTTGTATTTGTCCTCTGAAAATAATAATTAAATAATCAATTTCTTTGAATACAATATATTGAAATACATATTATAATAGATTTCTTCGCTCGCGCTGTCGTTTGCTGTCTAAATTGCTTGTTGATATTCAGTTCGTGTATAATCGGTAATTAATTACAGACACTCACCATCAATTACATCAAATACACAAATTATACAAACTACTTATCTGTTTGATTAAATGAAACTGCATTAGTAGGTTCTTTACTTAAATGACTACAACATATATTGGTAAAAAACTATAGGATTTTTTCATGTGACCAGTCACCAATTTTAGTTGTTTGAGTCCTGTGACATCGTAACAGATATGAAATTTAGAATCTATATTAATATTATAAAGAGGTAAAGTTCAAGTGTCCTGGATAATCTCCGGTACTAGTGATCTTATTTTGAAACTTCTTTCAATGTTAGAAAGGTATATTATCGACGTGTGCTATAGACTACTTTTTACTGCGACAAAATACACGTCATCCGTCATCCGCCATCATAAATATTTAGTTACATTTCCTTTTAATGACCGCAGATAAAAGTCGTTACGACAATACTTACGGTGATGTATGCAAATTACAACAGCGTTCTTCGTTGCTACTTTCAAATCTGGAGGATAGAGTATGTCTACTTGTTTTGTCACTAGTGCCTCATCCAGTCTATCATTCTTTATCTATAAGAAATAAATCATGTTAATAAGTAATCATCATCACTAGTCTTTATTAGTCCGCTACTGGACATAGGCTTCTCCTTAGAAATAAGGTTTTGGCCTACTATATCACGCTGCCCAGACAGGTTGGTTTAGGGTTTATTTCAATTTTCCCTTCTCTTTGCAGTGCTGTTATCCTGCAAAGTTTGCTCCCCTAGTCGGCTCTTACGACTCCCACGTTGAGCCAGGCTTAATGGGAGTGGTAACTCCGTATTCTCAATCCGCAACCACACGGACTGTCTTACAAAATAAGTATTATAAAATAAAAATTACAAATGACTATTTCCTTCCAACAGGTTACTCTTGGACACGATGACGCAGAAGGCCGTAATGGAATATGGTCATGCAGTTTTAGTGTATTGGGTTCAAAAAACTCTCTTAAACAATACTCTCAGTTAATGAATGTAATAATAAAAAAAAATATGGGCAGGTATTCAAGCAAGTAGGAAAAAGAGGAGAAATACATTTATGAGAATTTATAACTTCATGTTTGCAAGAAGAAGACACAAGTCTCTAATTCCTTTATTCACTTATAGGATAAGGATATACGAGTAATACTGAAATCGTTTGCATGATTGTTTAAATTTATCTGTGTGTAATTTCTAAGAACTGTATTTTAAACGGTTACATAATCTTGCTACTACTTGAATGTGTGTCTATCTAGTGATGTATATACATATGGGAACTTTCCTTTATATTGAACTGTATTTTGAACAATGTTGAACTATGTATACATATATATGTATACTGTTGACGTGTCTATAATAAATAAATAAATGTCATTTTTTAATTATTAAAAATGAAACTAGGGAGCATAATATAGCGCACACCGTAATCGCGGCGGTAAGACCCGTTTTTGAGGATTAGCTCGAGAGGCATCACGGAACCCTCTCATACCGGTTGACGCAACTGATCACCGGGAAAGGATGCTTCGGAGATCACCTGCGTCTGATCCGCAAGGAGCCAACGCCTTAGTGCAAGAGCACAAAGGAGACATCGGGTTCCCACACAGAGGGAGACTACCCTCGAGAAATTGATTGGTATCGATTAATGTAATCAGATATATGTAGTTTAAATTATTAACAGTCTTACTCATATACCGATAAGACTACTATACTGAGGAGAACTGTAACACTACTAGTGCATAAATATTTTGTGCAGCGTCTTACCACTTGCATATTCTTGTAGATGCAGGTAACATAGCACATAACATTTTTATAGTTTGGAAAAACACCTTCTCCTATTTTTGATAAGACTACTATACCGATGAGAACTATAACAACTACTAGTCCATAAATATTGTGTGCAGCGTCTTACCACTTGCATATTCTTGTAGATGCAGGTAACATAGCACATAACATTTTTATCGTCTGGAAAAAAACCTTCTCCTATTTTTGCCACCTGATCTGAAACATTACCACATGAAATGGGAGAAATTGTTGCATAAAATAGGGAAAGTGAATCATCCTACATGTTGAAATATAGCAACAACGTTTTTTATTACATGTGTCATTCATTTTCGAGTCAATCCGTGTCGGCAACAAAACAAGAAATGTGCATATCATAGAAATAAGAAGGACATACGTTATTATTAAACTTTGTAACAATTTAATTGTATCGGCAGGTATTTTTACCTTAAGAAACACGAAAGAGGAGGTTCTCAATTCAACTGGATTTTTTTCATGTTTGTTACGGGATATCTTCGTAATAATAAATGAGATTGCAAAACATTTGGACAAAAAAAAATGTTACACAAATTTTTTCATGTTTGTTACCTCCTAAATATTTCATATGTGAACTTATAAATTTAATTGCAAAAACTAAAATAAGTGCGTCTTTCTAGCCTGTTTAAAGTGAGTGCCATCCCATGAACAAAAAGTAATACTGAGGTATTTATCTATATCAGCTCAATTAAGAATTAAGGATACTATTTAATTCTAACGAATTATCGCAGATTTTGTTAATTAATAAAGCACAAACAGACCAATTACTTATAGACATGTAGAATTACGGAAATTACCTGAAAAATTCGAAAAATTCCTATTTGATATGATTTATTAATTGATGACAGTTAAAAATTATAAAAAAATATTGTCAGCCAAGGTGGCAAAACAAGTGTCAAAAATGGTAAAAACATTTTTTTGCGCTGCGCGAGTGTAAGGAGAGCCACCGTGATCCAGTCGACGTGGCTCTAAATTTGCAAAAGTATGATGACCAAGGATGCTTTTATGATATTATGCGTAGTTGAGGACGCTGATTACGGAAAAAAACTAAATATTTAAAAAAATGATTGGATTCACATCACCATCATCACATCAACAGCCTTTAATAGTCCACTACTGGGCATAGACCTCTCCTTAGAAAGGAGGTTTTGGCCTACTATTCCACCCTGAGCAGACGGGTTGGTATAGGGGTTGTGTCAAGTTTTCCTTCTCTCTGCAGTGCTGTTGTTCTGCGTAGTTTTCTCCCTTAGTCGGCTCTTACGACACCCACGGCATGAATAGGGGTGATGACACTCTGTATTCTTACCCCGTGGATTGATTATGTTTATATATTTATATATATATACATACATACACATAAATACATATATTAAAATAACATATAACAATTGTAGATGATGAACTAGGAGCCTTTTGACTACGCCCTGTTGAATCCGCCCAGCAAAAGCTCCTTAACTTTAAAGTCTTAAAAGAGTGATAATTGAACATTCCTGTTCAAGCTGCTCATTCCACAAGAGGATAGACTGAACAAAGAACTAGAACTAGAAGTATATTTTAATAATGACTATTTATACTCGTATAAATAGCCATCAATTAACATTTGGTGTTACGCACCCCCAAGCGATTGCTATTATTAAGAGGTGTATTTGATCAATATTTAATACTATGCCAATTTTCAAGTAAACCGGACCGTTTTTTGTTTTTAAAAACTACGCGTACGTTGAAAGATTTTATGATTGAGGTGGATAGGCTAAGCTGATATATGAAAAAAACGAAAAAGTGTAATTTGACTCATATTGAAGAGTGTTGTAGTAGTTTTCTAGTTAGCTATGTTAGCTATGTGTATAGTTACATGTAGCTATTGCAAAAATATAATTATGAATTTTCATCAGACAAAAACGCGGTTTTCATGTCCTTAACTTTTTTCAACCCACCGGTGTGTGTAAATCTAACCTATTAAAATAGTACGATGTGCCACTGCGCGCCTATGATAAGAGGGGTTCGGTAACAGCTGATATTAAGACCCGAACCTTCATGCCCTTAATTAGCTTAGCCTTTGTGAAATTGTGAAGAAATATTGTATCAAATTCTTATTCCTTATTTATATAATGTACACAGGCAAATGTTGTTCTGCCATATAAATGATCAAATAAATCAAATCGCGATTAAAAAATGTGGGGTAGGATGATGAAAAATACGTTATGACCCATTCTCATACCTACCAAATATGCAAAAGAGACATTAAAACGCAAGCGAGCAGACGGGTTATGACCACAAATACCATGACACGATATTTATATTTATATAATATACACTTATTTATGTATATACCTTCGGTAACTGAATTCTTCGGCATGCATTGATTTTTCAGTAGCCCCATTGTTTTTTTTACTTGCGCTCTTGTCATCTGAAATAATGTAAATACATAAAGTACAAAAGTTAATAATCGCACATAAAGAAATTGTACTTTTTTAAAATTACACAAATTATAACTTTAAGTAGTTAGATAAATATTAAGTAATAAAATAATTAGAATATTAAACTTTAAGTCGCAACAGTAAACAAATAATAAAAGTTATATGTTAACTTACCCCGTGAGCGCATGCCAGTAATGAAATAAGTAGGATGAAGCGATACATTTAACCACAAATCTCTCTTCGCGACTCAACGTTCTACTAAGAAATCTAATGAAAACTAAAAACTATACCAAAAATCGGTGAGTTTATGTATAGCAACCAAAAAACCAAACATATGTTTAGTTGCCAGAGACCACTAATTTGATATAAAATGATAACAGGGTAAGTAAACGGTTCCTAAATATGTCGTATTATGTAGTCAATTGGATGATCATTTTTTTTACTAATGACATACTTGCTTCTTAGGAAATGTTTATGATTATATACTGTTACAAAAGAATGGTCGTTTATCCGACTACTCTTGTTACGCTCGGAAAACTACTCATAGCATTTCATGCTTATGTAAGTTTTAATATTAACATAATAAGCTGACTCTTAATAAAGCAATTAATTATGGGTTCAAGATTCTTCTCTACGATCTCATTCTGTTAAATATATTAAATTAAGTCCCTTGTTCTGTTCAACAATATATATTTACTAAACCTGAGCGGTTTCGTCTCGTTGCATTTTCAAAGGGTATTATGACAACTAGTAGTTACCCTTTGAAAATCCCTAGTAAATAAATATTGTGGAACAGTACAGATGACTTAATTGAATATGTGTAGCAAGTTTAACCAAATGCAATCAGTCAACAGTATATAAGTCTGCTAAATATGAATTTCAATTTAATTTAAAGAATTTTAAACATTTTGATTAGTCACTTTACTTATTCCTTCAATTAAATAAAACTACAGGGATGTAAATAAATTTAACCTTTATTTAAAGACAATACTTACGGGAAAACAAAATTTACCGCATCAAAATCATACATACACTTAGCTGTCCAGTACGAAGCCTCGCATAAGTCTTTGTATTTTTTGGCTAAAAAAAAGGAAAGCCAGTCAAAAGCTTTTTATCAATTTTTTTTTAATGCTAACGGATAATCCATGCGCAAAAAGTGATTCTGCTATAATGGTATATAGTGATTCTGATTCTGGTATAATGATATTTATTCAGTGAAATTTAAAGTAAAATGGATTGGAAATAAGAACAAAATGGGAAAAGTAACAATTAGTCTGTACGTAATGTAATAAATCATATATAATCCTTTAGTTTGATCATCACCCAACCATCACACATAATCACTGAAAGAAAAACAAATACCCTTTTGCGTTTTTTGCTAATGAGTTACATATCTAGTACACAAAAACTAGTTTACCTCATCGACGTACTTACCGACATCTTTACAATAAGTAGCAGCGACTTTAACAGCATCTCTCATTTCTTTTGGAAACATGACGTCGACTTGTTTGATTACAGCATCGTAGCTAAGCTTGTTGTTTTTCACCTGTACATTGTATACAATGTTAACACTATTTTATAAATATCTTAAAGAGTAATGGAAAGAAACTTCAGTTTTATATACATCTCTCTGAAGCTTTTATAAACCTAAAAGTATTAGATATACGAAATTAGCAGAATCTAAAATTAGACACTTTTTGCATCGCACAACCAATCTGTAGAACAAATTATCGTCTGCGGTCATTACGACCTTCAAACCTTCAAGATAAGAGCGTACTCCTTCCTTAAAGGCCCGCAACGTGCTTGTGACTCTTCGAGTTGACGGCGTTCATGGATAACGGTAATCACTTTCCATCAGGATCCGTCTGCTCGTTTGCCCTCTCTTCCATAACATAAAAATCCTCATTCACCATATATGTTCAAAAGGGGTTTATTCCGAAATGGTCCGATTTAAATTTCATATAGATTTGATGATGAGTTTCGGAGACAGAAAATGGAATCCTGCAAAAAATAACAGCAAATCAATCGCGATTGCTGCTAGACTCTGTGTTAGTATTGTTTATTTGAAGTCGGTTCAACTTTTTTTAAGAAGTATTTTTTATCAAAACAATTTTCTGCATAGGCATATTTTTATATAATATTAACGCTCAAGGTTTTGTTCTAACTCGTTATTATAATATATGAAAACAAATATAAATCCATATACTACTATCATCTTTAAACATATTTTTAGACATTTGAATTCGGAGTTTTACTCGTAACAGATAAAAAGAACCAGAAACTTACAACTTGTGTCATCGTGTAGATACAAGCTATGTAACACATCACGTTCCGGTTCTCCAAGAACTTCCCTTGCTCAATCTGGCCAACGTCATCTATATAAACAATGAGGGCAACATATTAAACAATGAAAAGTAAACTCAGAAAATTATATTAGCAAATGATGTTAAATTTCACATATACCTTCAGTTACATCATTTTTCGGCATGCATGATTTTTTCATGAGTTTACCCGAATTCTTCAATTGTTGTCTTGTCATCTGCAACAGAGAAAGCTATTAAAAAAAATACATAACACAATTTTAAAAAGCTAGCTGATTCTAACACTGAACTAGAGCTAAATTTCTGCGTTAACAAGCATCCCCCATGATCTGTTTTGAGATCAAATAAAAGTTCATTATTTGAAATATTCGTTTTTTCCTGTTCTAGGTGTTAAATTTGTACATATTTCTTATATATCTGAACAAATCTTGTCTTGTGTTTTTATCAAGCATAGCACTCTGCCACTAAATTATAATTAAGTATTATAATACTCACCGCAATACAACCGACAAATAACCAAAAAATATAAATGACTTTTAACACACATTGCACTTTTTGCGTATTCATTATGTTAGCCTCGACAATGTAAATAAAAAAATCTCAGTGGCATTTATATAAAAACGTTTAAATACTTACTAGTTATTTAAATGATTGATGGCGGGTGTGGTGTTACGACAAGTAAATAACTTGTTATTTGATTGTCACTGTTAAACGACACAAGAAAAATCTGCATAGTAAGAATCTGCAGGATTCGATCTCAATTCATAATGAAGATTTGCGAAATTAGTAGTAAAAGACAGTTTTTCATGAAATGGCTATTAAACGCTTTTCCCTCTTTTAACTTGTACTACTGGGTATTTTTATATTTCACTCAGTATCTATTAAACTAGCTTCTAAATGTGATATAATGAGATGAGCTTCTAAATGAGATAATTACCTAAGGTGTGACCATCGTCTACGTCAGTTCATGCAGGTAGAGGTTTGTATCAAAAACCATGTATGGTCTTGATTGGTTTTCACATCTTCTGTTTATTAATTTGTATGTAAGTTTTATAATTATAACTAGAAACATGAGTGAGGAAGGTGCCTTGTCTTGGAGAAACCTCGTAACTACTAAGCCGAACTCATTTATGAAGTATGGGTACAAAGATATTAATAATGCTGCTGCATTAATTAATCACTCGCGTGATCATGAGGCAATAATTTGTAGCCTATCAACGAGGAAGTATACGTAACAATTAAACGTGATTTAATGTATAATTAAACCATAGTGAACTAGGGCAACAAAATTTTTAATTTTGAAAAATAGGACAAATATCTTGGATGGTTTTTCTAAGCAAAAATAGAGAAGACTAAGAAAAAAGAACATGAAAAGAGAAAAATTTAGTAAATTCTTTATTTATAAAATTATAAAAACTTTTTTCAAAATTATATAACTATATTATAATTTTATCATCATCGTCATCATTGCATTGTATGATAATAATATTTCCATAACCCTTCGATTTTCGCTGTTCCATTACAGCACCAAACTTTCAACAGACAAAATAGTGTCGGAATATCCACTTTTGATTTACTTACTTAATTGATATATTGTCCTTGTGGTGACGGATTGAGAATACAGAGTGTCATAACCCCTACTGTCGTAGTGTCGTAAGAGGTGGCTAAGGGAGCAAACTACACAGGACAACAGCACTGCAGAGAGAAGGAAAACTTGACACAAACCCTATACCAACCCGTCTGACCAGCGTGGTATAGTAGGCCTAAACCTCCTTTCTAAGGAGAGACCTATGTCCAGCAGATAAGTGATTGATATATTTCTTCAACTAAAATTCATATAAAAGATACCTGTACCAATAAAATTTTAAGAACATTAAGTTTTTATTAGTGGATATTTCACTACTTCAATTAATAATAATATTCTACCACTTTCACAAAAAAGCTATCTTGTCCCAAACTAAGCAGAGCTTGTAATGGGTACTAGACAGCTGATATAAATATATATTTACTTTTTTTTGTAAATACATACTTATTATACATAGAAACTCCCAGACCAAATCAAACATTAAATGTTGATGCACACAAAAGTTTGACTTGGGCGGGATTCGAACCTGCGGCCTTTGAAAACTAACAACACAGACCACTACGCCATCCAGTCGTCAAAATGATAATAAATAATGAAATAATGAAAATTGAGGTTGAATACTTAAATTTTATGGGCATAGGTAAAGAAAACAAGATAAAAAAAGGTTTCATTATTCATAATTTACACATATTTTTAAAAAAATGGCTCTTGTTGCGCTAGAAAATAACCTACAAATGTAAATGTTCTTATAATCGTATCTTATAAGAACATGATTCATGGATACCTATAGCACCACTAGGTTTTAAAACAATAAAAGTGTAATTAACTAATTACTGTTCATATAAAGTTGTCACTTACTATTCATTGGTAAAAATTAAAGGTTATGATATTCCATCAGATCACAACAAGAAGTTATCGAAAATGCTGTTAACTGTGCTTGTAAACTTTTTAATATTTGTTGCCACCTCTGAAGCTGTAAGTGATATTTTTTCTTATTTAAAACGTCTTACTTAAAAATGTTCTACTTTTTTAAATAAATCTATAATAAATAATTTTATTTTTTTGACTGAGAAAGTCATATGAAAATAATGTATTTATCAATTTGCCATCTCTGAACGCTGTCTTCAACAGCAGGTTCAGTCGTTAGTATATTTAATTTTGCTTGATTATATATTAATCTCTCTTTGTCCGTAATGTTTCAACGTAATGGATCAATATTACAGATGACGATGAAGCAAATCAGAAATACCGGCAAAATGATGAGAAAATCTTGTCAGCCGAAGAATAATGTTGAAGATGGTAAGATGTATATACGAAATACTTTAAAATTACTAAGCCTTCCTAAAATTCTTCATACTTTAGCCACCAAATCTCATTAGGTAGAAGCGTTAAACAAAGTTATTGCATCCATCCAAACTCCATCAGAACTTACTGCTGAAGAACGTCAATTTTGCCGAGTGACTATGCATTGCACTTCCTATTGTATTTATTTTGTTTCTTAAATTAATGCTTATCATCAAGTATATTTTAGTTAGATATTTATTTTAAATTTCTTCAAAAATAACAGAATAAGAGTCTTTTGTTTATGTATTGTGTTGACATCCAATGTATTTAATAAATTAACCTTCCTTCATATAAAACTACTAGCATTTTCTAAAATTCCATGACGATTGGTTTAAGTGTGAAAGTGTAAGAAACAATTTATCATCTTAGAAAGGTCTAATTGTTTACATTAAACTCAAAACATCTCTTCATATCTTTTATAAAAAATAATAATTGAAATCGTCTCAGACTCTAAGGTCATAGATCAACACACACAATAGCAACAATCTGTCAATTTCAATGAGGATTACTAAAGGACTATTGCGCACGGCTTCGCTCACACAAAAGTAATATTTCCACCTATCGGGAACATCAGTATTTTACAAATAAAAGGAATCTGAATTCTTTTCTGAATCTGTGGCAGTATGTCTGCAAAATTTCTTAATTGGATTAACTGTACAGTATATGTGAACATAATATATTTTTTAACTACGAGTACACATGCATTGATAGTAGCTGCTGGTCGTAATGTAGAGATCGCTCTCCAGCCCTCATTACGAAATTTAATTTGAACTAAGTTTTTCTTCAGAGAAAATTGATCCAATCAATGACGGCGTCTTCATTGATGAGAAAGAAGTTAAGTGCTACATGGCGTGCATTATGAAAATGGCTAATACGGTGGGTGGAATCCATTTCATGTTTCTTTTTTGCAATTGATTACCTAGAGATATATCCTTAATAAGAAGAAGAAAGAAAGAAGAATGAAAACTAAAACGGAAGACAGAGCGTGGGTTGAATTCACAAGATTGTCTGACAACCTGGTAAAGCTCGCGGGACGCCGTTGGATGCGGGCAGCACAGGATCGGTTGTTGTGGCAAATCTTGGGGAAGGCTTATGTCCAACAGCGGACATCTTTTGGCCGCGATGATGATGATGATGAAATCCTTATAAAATTCCCTAACAAACATCGGATTGATTCACATGTGACAGATAGCTAAATATTTTATAATATTCATTTCCATTGAAATAGGTATGATAACAATTTTTTCCTAGCTCCCAATATCACATTCAATTTTGTTACTTAAACTGAAGACTTGTATTTTACAGCTGAAAAATGGCAAATTTAATGCCGAAGCTGCAATAAAACAAGCCGATTTATTATTACCCGATGAGATCAAGGAACCAGCAAAAGCAGCAATCACAGCTTGCAAAAAAGTATGTAAGTAAAACAGACATTTTAAAGTTTTTATCGCAAAACTTAGAAAACAACAACTGACGGCATGGATGGCGTAGTGGTCTAAGCGGTCACCTCGCCGCTTCCTACTGCGCTGCGTGTTGTGGGGTCGATCCCCACATGGGACAACACTTTGTGTGATCCGAAAATTGTTGTTTTGAGTCTGAGTGTTATTTGTGTCCGTTTCATGTATATTTGAGTTTCCCCTGCGACGCAAGATTTATTCCTAGTGCGGGGGTTACCTCTTTAAAACAAAAAAGAATAAGGTAAAACAAATGTTAGTGTAAACTGCACTGGAGCACGCCGTCATCGCGGCGGTAAGACCCGTTATGGAGGATTGTCTCGAGAGGCATCACGGAACCCTCTCATACCGACTGACGCAGGTGATCACTGGGCAAGGATGTTTCGGGGATCACCTGTGTCTGATCCGGAAGGAGCCAACGCCTGAGTGCCACCACTGCGGCTAGCGTGCGGAGCGAGAGTGCGTGCAACTCTGCCGTCTCCTTCTGCGAGCAAGTTATGCTTTCGAAGGAGATGGCGGAGCTTGAGCGGGAGAGGTTTAGAACTCTCCCGGCCCGCTAGGCTCGGGAACGGGCCAGGTACCGCAGACGACTCAGGCTCCGGAGGTCGCGGAACGACCTTCGTCCTCCATAAGCGCAGGCCTGGGGGTGACAGGCGAGGCCATCTGAGCGCGTTGCGAAACGCGCGCGCCCTTCCGGGAGCACAGAGGGAACATGAGGGTTCCCACACAGGGGGGTCGTCTACCCGCCGTAGATGGCCCGAGGTACGTCGGGGCACCAGGGATTTCCTTTCTAGGGTACACCTTGTTCCCCGACTACTGGTACCTGAGTCGGCGTGCGGTTTTAGTCGGTTCGAGTCCGGCATTGCCACCGTGGTATCCGTGGTATCCGAGGGGATTGCCGCACAGAAAAAAAAACGTGTAAACTGCACTACATATCATGATTGATACAGTAGTTTTAAATTTTTTACTGGACTCCCTATACAAAAACCTTTAGAAGAATAATATTCGTAAACAGTTCAATTTACAAATGTTTAAATAAAAATAAAAAATAAAATAAATTCAATCAGTTCTCTTTGCTAATAAAAGACCACAATTTAATTTAGTTAAGAAGACTAACTGTGCGTGTTGTATTTTTTTCAGCGGACTCCCACAAGGACATCTGTGATGCATCGTTCTATGTTACCAAATGCATCTACGAATTTAATCCTGCTATTTTTTACTTTCCTTAAATAAAATTCATTTTCTTAAATGACATCAAATACAAATTTTAATTAAAATATGGATTTGAATTTTATTATTTAATTTATTGTCCAGAGACGTGCAGTTTTTTGATAATTGTAGTAATTTTCTATCTTTTTAGAACATTTAGTATCCGCATACTTAGTACACTGAACAATAAAACCACGATGTAAAAATATGTTCTTGCAAAGGAAACAAGTTACAGTGTTGATATTTATGTGCTTCCGCTTGATACGAACGAACACCGTCAATTTCCAACATAATCACCAATTAGACTGCATTTTTTCCATCACTTAATTATACATGACTTCGTGTGTGTTGGAATAATGACTGCCTGCAAATTACATAACGCGAATGATGGATAGAGTAATTTATAGTGGCGTGGCATGTCAGAGTTTTAGGAATATATGGTATTATTCTCTAAATCATTTCAAAGAATCTACGAGGTTGTTCATGTTGTTGAATATATAAAAGGAGTTTTAGTTGCCATAGGCGCTTTGTAAAATAGTAAGAATTTCTACAAGTTATCGTTAATTAAATAATAATAATCTGGCGTGGAAAGAAATTGCTATGTTGTTTCTGACTTTAAATAGGCCTAAAATTTATTTCAGAACTAATCATTACCTTGAAGTAAAGATAATAAAAAATTCAGACACATTTCTTCATCTTCTAATGCAACAATTTTATTGATTTAGAATAAAACTTTCAAGAGTGGTAGTCGTATTCATTAAACATAACTGATTTCAAGTGTGTATTTCGGGAATGTCCGACTAGTTTCAAACCCGGACACATTGTGATGCCTGACACCGTCGTGTCAAGACGTTTGACTCTGTGAAACAGGATGTGGGTTGGGTTCCTTTATCTTTAATACATTTTATTACTTCTTTACCAATGTATTATTAAGTACAGATTCTATCATCATGAAATCAGCCATGACTTTACAATAAAACGCTCTATATCTTATAGCCTATGCAGATGCTGTTTTATGCGGTATAAGAAGAAATTCGCTTCTCGTCAATACTCTAAGCGCTCTGCTCAACTTTACAATCGGGTAAATAAGGAGATATACATACATTCTAAACCACGTTATGAATGTAAAAGAACACTAATAAAGTGGTTAAAATCACTTACTTATGAAGAAAAACACACATATAAACACACACACACACACACACACACACACACACACACACATACACACATTTATACATACATACATCAACAACATGGACTGGCCCCTTCATAATATTATTAAAATAAAATATTATTTATGTATATGTATTAAAGTAAGTTTGTAGGAATCAAATGAATACAATCGTGTACCAACTATGTTACAATTATGCTATGGAAGGGCGGAGTCTCCTAGTACAGGCATCATTTGCTTAAAGGGAAGCTCCAATCACGAATATTTTTATACTCATTTTTGGTAACGAAATAAAACATTTTTGTATTTTTTTGTATTTAATTCGGTTCCAAGGAATATGTCTTGTGGCTTATTAGGCTAAGCCTGGCGCCCGCTAGTTCTGTTTTTAAGAAACAAGTGAAGACCTTGGTAATACCAATCTCATACAGTTACCTATGATTGTTTCTTGTAATTTAAATGTTTGTTGCTTTCTTGTTTTTTGTATTCTTTTACGTTAATGTGCAAATATTTTTTTATTCCTGTTTTGCTACAATTGTCAAATATATAAAGATATAGCACAGATATATCCATAAAAGTAAGTACAAAAATTAAGGGACTTAATCTCTCTGATGTATCAAAATACAAATGACACATTTAATACTTTCCATAATTGGTTTAAACTCGTAAAAACTGTTTCCCAGTATAAAAATCAAACAATAAAATTTAATTTATCTAAAAGTTGTCAGAAAGGTAATTAGGGACACAGGCATTTTTTTTTTAACACAAAGTCATTTCATTAATTTATTAGCGAAGAGTGTGCCTTTAAAGATGTGTTAAATATTACTATTTTAAAATGGTGGGCAAAAGATAACTAACACTCAGGTGTTTTTAGATGCCCTTATTGTATACGCATGTATTGAAAAAAGAAAAATATATTTGTGCCTCAACAAAGTTTAAAAAAATGGAAAATTAGTGACAGCAAGTGTGGACAAAAGACAACAGGCAATTGGTTTGTAGAACATGTCCAAAGGTTCTTATCATGTAAAAATGACATTCTTCCTGACAAGCTCTCTCAATATTGTATAAGGAACAATAAAAACGATCTGTTAAAGTCATATCTGCCTAGTAGCAAGCAGATTATTGCAATCCAAAATTGAATGTAAAAGTGAGAAATCATACTTTATTTTAGAGTTAACAGTAAACTAAATTGGTAAGCACATAGAATTTGTTTCTACCAAAAGGCCAAGGAAAGCAAAACTGTCTAGGGACTGAACAAACTAAGAAAAAAATCAAGTAGAACAGAAACTCTCTGTTTTATAGCTCGCTGTTTAATCTTCGAAATGTGTTTGTACCGCAATAACAACGTTCTGGTCTTTTATACCTTCTCACATCAATTTCAAAGCCATCAAGTTGAAACTACAAGATAATATTTATTGACCTTCTACAAACATAACCAGCCGACTGTAACTAATGACTATATGATGATGATTTTTAGATGTCATTAAACTTTTTTCAACACAGAAATACGATTTTTATGAAGAAATAGGGAAAAGAAGAATAACAAAAATAAAATCAATATATGCCCATCTATAAATATAAAAAAAATGTGAAATATATGAACGAATTGATTCTGCTGTTCTATGCTAATAACGCCTTTCTAAATAAAATATCAGAAAACATATCTGGTGAGATATGTTTTTTGATACTTTATTAAAAAAGACTTTGTGATTTAATCCCCGAAGGGACACGAATATCCTAAACATTGATAATTTGCCAACTATAATTGGGCCTTACGCACGTGTTAGAAGGCAAGCCTACCTATATAGTCAACCGGTACTTCCGCAATTAAATTTAATAGCTTTTATATTTGAGAGAAAGAAAGAGAAGATAGGTAAAAAGGGAAGTAGGAAAAAGAAGGCAATTAAACATGAAAGACAAGCAACAACAATACCTTTACTGATAGACAAAGGTTTAAAGAATGTCAGTGGTCAGGGTCGCATACACGTAACTTGAACTTAATAGCTTGGGGAGTCAGAGTCTAACATATTTATAGATCTTTCCGATAGCATTGGAATTAGATAAAATCGATTATGTAATCAATTCTAAATTTTGAAGATAAATAATGATGATCAATATGAGGGCCGAGATATGAGATTAGTACCTAGGTATAAAAGGATTATGATATTGCTTAATGACATATTATTTGCGAACAGCAATCAATTCGACGACCATGCTCTTTATTTTTTATTTTCTATGTGTTTGACAGTACAAATAGTGCATGTAAGTATTTTATTTTATTTTTATTTACCCAACTATGATCTAACAACATAAAAATAACACTCTAGAGAATTTCAAAACAACGGACTCGTCTATAATTTTAGAATATGTAGTTACATTTATTAAAGTTAACTTTTTTCTTTTGTTTCTTTTAACCAGAGTAAAACCGATGAAGAAATGTTAACATGGTTATTTCGCCAAGCCTTAGAATGCAACAAAGACTATCCCATCACACAAGAAGAAATGCAAATGCTTCAGAAGCAAAAAATGCCAAACTCAAAAAATGCCAGATGTTTGATAGGGTGCGTCTTTAAAAGAGCTAAATATGTAAGTAAATATTAAAAGGTATTATTTTCAGTTCAGAAAGTTTCAGAAAGTCAGTGAAAGAAAAATTTATAAGAATCTAATAAGGCTGTCAGGTTGTTCTTGAAAACAAGCACCCATATGTATATTGATGCATTACTTACAAACCTGGATAGCGTCGCTAAAAGTTTATATGGTTTTGTACAGAAAATCTTAAACTGAATTACTCACTGTCATACATTCATACTCACTGTCAAAACAATATTTATCTTATAGATGGATGACAAGGGAATGTTCGATGAAGAAAGTGCAATAGCCCAAGCAAAGAAAAATCATGAAGGTGATGCGACGAAGATCGAAAACTCTAAAAAACTCATGGAAATATGCAGAAAAGGTGAGACAGGTTTATAAATTAGGAAGAATGACAGTAATTACAGTAATTAGGTATAAGTAGCAAGGTGGCAACACATTATTTAGTATGTATATAATTAAATAGTTATCAGTAAATATTATATTAAAAGATCACGTTACCTATACCATATTTAGAAAGTTAGTAATTAAACTCTTCATTTGTAGTAAACTCGGAACCAGTCGAGGACGGTGAAGCTGGCTGTGACAGGGCACAGCTTCTCTTCAAATGCTTCAACGAAAACGCACGTCAGGTAATGTATTAAATTATAGAAGTCAAACTTATTAGACTTGTGATTCATTAAAATGATTCTACATGCGAATGAAAGAACGTGAGAAATGACAGGTTGGCGTAAAAACACTAGTATAATGATAGCCGTGATGTTTTGAATTTAAGCCAACAAATTTTAGTCTACTCGGTACTCCAGAATTACATATTGTACTTAGTTGAATGAGTCAACACCAACAATTAGGTTACTGATAAACTGTGCACTTCTAACTCTTAAAAACTCTCACATTGAGGTTTCCATTGATCAGATCAATCACTACAGGATGTTAAAATGCAATTAAATGCCACAAATGACTAAGAATATTTGTATTTATTCATCTTTAAGTAACCTTGTCACATTGTAATTGTTATTTTGTCGCAATAAATTAATGCAAGCATTTTTCTTTTCTTTTCAGTTGGGATTCTCGATGCACCCAATGAAATCAAAATAGTTTAAGTTGTACGATGCTCCACATAATATATAGTAAGATGTTATTTAAAACGTTTAAATAAAGAAAAAAAAATGACACTTATTTATTATTTTTTGTTAGAAAACCTTTAATACAGTACTGTTTTCACACTTTACACATATATATGTACATACAAACTGTTGAAATGTGCACACATATCACTATAGTGCACATATCAACAATAGTAGAAGGTTTTAAGGAAAGGCTTTTTCTTTTATATTATACTAGCGGACCCGGCGAACTTCGTATCGCCATATTTTTATTATCGTGAATATTTTCGAAATTCCTGAAAGGCTTGTTTACTATTTATAAGCGCCTCGCATAACACGGGCGGTGTACAGTCGCGGACTAAAGAAATGTACTTACCTCATTTAAAGCTTACTAGATTTAGATTGAGAGTAGCGTTCTAATATTATATATATATATATATATATATAATAATCTCTCTTTCGCACACTGGCTGTCTCCCACCAGGTGTCGCAGTCCGATGACAGCTTAGGCTCGGTAGAGTTCCAAAATTCATTGAGTCCGCTAATGTACACCAGGTAGAATTAGAATGTCGTCTACCCGCCGTAGATGGCCCGAGGTACGTCGGGGCACCAGGGATTTCCTTTCTAGGGTACACCTGGTTCCCCGACTACTGGTACCTGAGACAGCGTGCAGTTTTAGTCGGTTCGAGTTTGACATTGCCACCGGTAAGGGAAATTCTGCACAGGAAAAAAATTTTAGATAGAATTAGAATGTAAGCTTCAAATACGGTAAGTATTTGATATGTGTTTTATTTTCAGGTAAAACCCTGCTATTAAACACTTGACCGTTATTTGATAGAGCTTACTAGATAGAGACGTGTCTGTTATCACCTGGTGGAAGAAGGATGCCAATGTGATATCAATATTATCTGTATATATCCAGTAATACTGAAATGGGTTACTTACATAACTACAATTATTTAACAAATTGTAGAAAATGTACTTGTCAATTAACAACTAGGCCTTGTTATGGTTGGCACCACCTGCTTACAGTAATAACGGGCAAAGGTGTTTTGAGACTTCCAGTACCCCTAGCAAGTATTTCATCCAAGGGTCAATTGTTACGCCAACACTATGTTGCTAAGCGTCTATGCCAGCTTGTAATAAGAGTGATTTGACCCAACTAGCGAAAACTGTACGATAGGCGACCTTAGTTTTACCTCTGAGGTTAATAAACTGATTGACAAGACCGCCTAGCTGTCGTTTTTCCTTTAAAATAGTAATACAGTGCTTGATCCAAAATACTGAATCTAAGTTTTTATTTGTTGTATTAGTGATTAACTTCCAACCCGACTGCCTATAGTTAATTTGATCTGTTTTAGATCCAAACATCACATCAACAGCCCTTAATAGTCCACTGCTGGACATAGGCCTCTCCTTAGCAAGGAGGTTTTGGCCTACTATACCACGCTAGCCAGACGGGTTGGTATAGTGGCTCTCAGTGCTGTTGTCCTGTGTAGTTTGCTCCCTTAGTCACCTCTTATGACACCCACGGGATAAATAGGGGTCACCAAACGGACAAACCAAACAAAGATATAAAAAACATTTTGCTCAAAAATTGTTAATTTTGCGCAAGGTTTGGTATGTTTCGCCGTCTTAAAAGAAGTTAAATTTTTGTTTTTTTTAAAAGGGGTCATACTTTCATTTGTTAAAAACCTTTTCATTCCCCACTTCTTGCCTAACGCCCCAAATTTGGGGTTTCACTGGTTTTTTTTCAAAATAAAATTGTATTAACAATTGGGGGGTTTTATTCCCACCCTAAAGGGCAAAAGTCAAATAGGTTATTAGAAATTTTTATGGTCCCTTTTTGTTTTTTTTAATGTTGTTTACCCAGGAATGATTTGGAAAATTTGTAATACCCCTTAGAAAATTCAGGGTCTGTTTGCCTTTAAACGGAATTTGCTAAAAAAATTTTAAAGCTCATTTTAGAGGTAATGATTGCTTTTAAGGGTTTAGCGCAATATTTTGTAATTTTTCACATACTATTTAAAAAGTTGTTTAAAACAAGTTTTCAAATTTTTTTTTTTTTAAAAGGGCTTTGCTTTTGTTTTTGGATTTTACCTTTCTTTTTTCCAAACTAACTTGCGGTTAATAAAAACTAAAAGTTAATATTCACAAAGGTTTCGTTAAAATCAATTTTTTTACAAAATCAACTTTATTACATTAAACCCAAACTTATATAATTATTTTTTATCGTTGTTTTTTCCCCATCGTTAAAAAACGACAGGGGTTCTTCAGTAGTGGTAATTTTGTAAATTTTGAGTTTTTCCCCCAAAACCTGCCTCACCCTTTTTCACCTTTTCAATTGTGAATGATTGCTTTCCGTGTACGCCACCGATAATTTTACGGGTATTTTCTTATAAAAAAAAAAACGGTAACCTTAACAACTCTGCGTTCCCAAAGAAGGGAATTTTAAAGCGGAGGAGCTGCTTTTTTTTGATTTTCCAAGCTCCGGGTTTTCAAAAAACCGACGGGAGATATTTAAAAAAAACAGTAATACAATAAATTTTTTTAATCTTCCATTTTTAAATTAAATTTCTTTAGGTTATTTTCAAAATACTTTATAATCATTTAAAAAACTAACTAAATCAACAAATTATTTTATTGGAGGTTTTTGTAGTATTACTCGTATATAAAAAGGGCCCAAAACGTCTTTGAAGAGGTTTTGAAATAAAAATTTAAAAAGACTTCAATATTGCCCTTACCACCCACTTTCAATATTAATGGAGATTCAACACAAAAATGCCCCCAAAATGCATCAAAGTTTAAAATCTTCGGGGCGTTAAATCCCTCGGTATAAAAAAAACAACGTAAACAATTTAACAGTCCGCTCGGTCGGCGGTTGCCCTAGGGCCGCACAACAGGCGAGGGGGCTGCGTTGTTGGTTCTCCTCAGCCGGGCCAAAACCACCGGGATCGCTGGGGGCCCTTTCGGGAGCTTTTTAAAACTCTTAAAACGCTTTTTTTTTAAATTTTCCCTTCGTATGGAAAAATGGTTCCCCTTTAATCTTTGAATGACGATTTCAATTGGAGAACTCATTCGCTGGTAGCTTTTTGCCTACCAATTAATTTTGTCGGGAAAAATTTGGGGGGAAAAAAATTTTTACTTGTTAGAATTTCGAAGTAGCCCCCGAGATAAACCCCGGCCAAAAGCGTACCTTTTTGGAGATAGGCCTTTAGCCACTTTAAACCTTGGCTTTCAAACTTTTGAAATAGGGGGGGGAAGATAAATTTAATTCCTTTATTTCCGATGTGGGTGGTAAGGGAAATCAGTTCACCACTAAATCCGTGTCTGACGGAATTTCCCAAAGACCGGGGGGTCTGGGGGCCCCTCTGGGTTTTAAAATAAAATCGAAACCCCCCGTTAGAAAAACCCCTCCCCCCACACCAAGTGCCCGGGTGATTTCGGTATGTAAGATTACCCACACCTTTTACCTTTTTGGGAACTGCGCCCTGACTCCCTTTGGGGTTCCTTTCAGGGGATGAATCTATCCGTTTCCGGCCTCCTTTACAAAAGTCCTGCAAAAACCCCACTTCATTTTTTTCGGCCATCCTCCCCTTTGAACCCACCATGGGTTTTCAAGCCTGCTCCCACCCCGAGACCCTGCGATTCCTTTTTTGGTAGCTTGGGCCTGATAGGGGTTTCCCATTATGACTTCAAACTTGTCTAACCTTTTTTTTTTTCTTTTTTTTTGGTTTTCCGGCCGGCCCCCCTCTTTACCCCCTGTCGATGGCTTCGAGCAACCGCACACTTCTTAAAACCGCCAAAAAATTCAAACTTTTTTTTGGTTATTACGGGACGTAATTTAAAAAAAAACCTGGTGCCCGAAAATACTCTTTTTCTAAAAAGGTAAGCAAAGCCGTTAACCATTTCTTCTGGTTTAAAAAAAAAGGGCGTGAAAAGCCCCGAAAGGAAAACTGTTTTTCTCCTTGGGTGACAGGCTATTTTTCGGTTGATGGTTTTTAACACCTTTTTACCTCCCCTTTTTTTTGCTTTTTGGACCCTTTTGGGAATTTAAAAAAATTTGGGGTTTTTGGAGATACTTCCCGCAAATGGAGTTACAATCCCCTTTGGGTCAATCCCCAAAAATTTTTACGATCCATAACCCCAAATTGAATTCACACAATTTTTTCGCCTTTCCTGTCAACCCACGCGGGACCTTTTTTTTTAATTTTTGTCTTTTTGGGCCCAAATGTAAAAAGTTGTGTTTTTAGGCGGGTCCTTGCGGAATTGTACTAGACCCTAACTTGAATAACTCAATAACTAATAACTATTAAATAATAAGCGTAATAACTGAAAATTTCTATGTGTCATATGGGTATTATACTGATATTCCAAAACGGGTACAGTTACTATTGCCTAAGATGTAACCTTGAGCGGAAAACCCTCGCCTCGGACCTGCATGACCCGGACGAGGTTATGGCCCAGCCTAACTCTTTTACAGACGCAAGAACATAAGGAGGTTGGTCATTTCACATTCTCCAACACCTTTTTCTCTTCGTCTAGGAGACAGAAGAATGTCAGACCTCCTCCCTACTCTCGACACCTTAGCAAAGACTAATTACATGCAGAACAAGAAAACCTAGTCCAGTGTCTTTCTAGTCTACGAGTAATTTGTGTCAACGAAACGAAGTACTTACGCACTTTATTTAAGGAAATTTTAGTTTAGAACGAAGCCAAAAAACAATTAATAAATTAAAGTCAACTGTAGCTAACTGGATTTTCTGTTTTTAAACTGTCACAAATACATACAAACCAAAACGCAATTCAACTCTTGCAATATACGAGTAGTAAATCATTACTTCGTGAGGCAACCCTTGCTTACAACATGTTCACAAATTCTAGAACTAACTGATGTTTTAGAGCTATAAACCAAATTTAGAGCTAGGATCGGTTAGTTATATAAAATGGAACGTCATCACACAAATGTTCCTCAAGCGCGTTATACAGGTTCTTGTATACTTCCACACGGTTCCACATATTTTTCTACCTAACAGTTATCTTTCCCACGTTGTTCAAGAAAGTAATTATTCGCCCTATTTTCAAAGGTGGATCTAGCAATTTGCCAATTAACTATCGTCATGTACATTAGCAGTCTTAAGTACCTTGTCATAAAAACTTATTCGTAAAAGATTGACAAAGAAACGAACATTTTACACAACTGTTTACAAAACATATAATACAGTAATCAATAGTTTTACCTTTACTTATCTCTTGCGACTTCAGTAGTAGCGATTTCTATTATAAATAAAGGAAATAATAAAAAAGGTCTTTAATTTCGTTGCAGATTACAAAAAGAAAAGTTAAAATGTTTATTTCCAAAATAAGTTTTATTATATTACGAATATTAATGAAAATAGAATGTGAGGTAGTTATAGTAAGACAACATTAGGCAGATAAAATCAATGATAATATCGAATCCAAATTCTCTTCCTACTCAAATTATAATTGTCATTACCATATGCTGTCCATAGTGTTTTGTCTACATATAAAGGATTGTAGCATTTAGAAATAAAATAGTGTCCGTGAAGACTAATCAGTGAGATGATCATGCTTGTTCGTTTCTTATTGTTTATGTATTTGGCAGTCCAAATAATTCACGTAAGTAGCATTTCTTGTACATATTCATTTAAACTTCGGAGTGCGCGTAAGGAGGCTTTTAACGTTATTGCCTCGTGCTAACTGAAATTGTAAATTTCCTGCCATCTCACCCCTTGCATCACCTTTCAAAGCATCCAGGATATCCATAGTAATGGGGACCTGGATGATTAAACTGTATTCAGACGGGCAGTAATGACGTAGTATAGATTGCCATGCCTTGCCGATGTAGTATAGGGAGTTTTTGACCTGACCACTTGCCTGACCTATTGATGTCAGCCTATTGACCTACTGGGTGTGAACGACGAACGAGGCTCTGGCGACCGACCGATGGCGGTATATCCATCCTAATAGGCGTAGCTAAATACAACAGGCCGGTGACGGGCAGCAGCGTTACCGGTGCGAAAAGCTACGCCCTGAGATCGCCAACCCGCCTACCCAGCGTGGCGATTATGGGCAAATCCTCCCCATGCAGACGCAACAAAGGCCACGGTCGCCGATTCCTGGCGGCCCCGCTATTCCTGGTCATGGTGGCGACCACGGTAACGGCGGGGCAGGCCACCACAATCAACTGACCCTGGCTACGTACAACGGACGCACGCTACGGCTAGACTCGCATCTAGCGCAACTTGAGGTGGATCTTGGGAAGATTAGGTGACATAGTCTAGGGGCAATGTTAAGTCCGAAGAGAGGGGGAGGACACCATAACCCTCGAGTCAAGCCACCTAAGGTAATCCCTTTCTGACAACGTTGTGGAAATTTCCAGTGTGTCGAACAGGGTAGCGTACCTCATTATCAAGCTCACCGAGAGGTGTAACCTCTAGGTTGTGCAAGTGTACGCACCGACCTCGGCACACTCGGACGACGAGGTGGAGGATATGTACGATGACATATGGAGGGCGCTCCACTTCACAACTAAGACCCACTACAACGTTGTTATAGGTGACTTCAACGCTAAAGTGGGAGTACAGAATTGCGGCGAATCGGTAGTAGGATCCCATGGATTTGGAAGCAGGAATCAAAGGGGGCAAATGCTGGTCAACTTCCTCGAACGGGAGGGGCTCTTTTTGATGACCTCTTTCTTCAAGAAAGAGCCCCAAAGGAAGTGGACGAGGCAAAGCCCCGACGCTATGACCAGAAATGAGATCGATTTCATCACGACGGATAGAAAGCACATATTTAGAGACGTCTCAGTAACCAATAGGTTTAATACCGGTAGTGATCACCGACTTTTCCGGGGCTCTCTGAATATCAACTTTAAGGCTGAACGTGTATGTTTGTTGAAATCTAGGCTCCGACCGACTCTGCTCCAAGCTATGATAGGATCTGAAACGTTCCAGTCAAAACTGGAAAACCGATTCGCCGTGGAAACCACAACCGACGTAAACCAGAACCTCGAAAATGTGGTTCGGATCCTCAGGGAAGAAGGTACGAGATTTTGTGAAATGCAGCGTAAAGGCAGGAAGTCGAAGCTTTCAGAAAGGACCCTAGGGCTGATGAAAAAACGACGTGAAAACCCACCTGTCACATTGTCGGCAAAGCGGACTCTAAACCGAGAGATCAGTAAACTCGTACGACACGACCTCCGGTGCTCCAATACTCTTTCAATGGAAAGAGCGCTCGAGCAGAATGGGGTCAAAAGTGTTCGTACAATCTCTTGGAAGAAGCCACCTGACAAAGTTGTCAACAGAAAGTGGAGAAGTCGTTGCTTCGAAGCCGGCAGTCCTTTTGGAAGTGGAAAGCTTCTGTGGCCGGTTATACGCTTCGCATGCATCTCCACCTGATCCCGAAAATGAGAACTCTAGAGCCACATTAACACGTCATTTCCCCGAAGACCTGCCAGAAATTAGCATTGACGAAATCGAGATGGCTCTTGGACAGCTGAAAAATGGAAAAGCCCCTGGAGAGGATGGCGTTACAACAGAGCTACTAAAGGCCGGGGCTAAACCCATGCTAAGGGAGCTCCAAAAGCTCTTCAACGCTGTCCTGTTTAAAGGGAGAACTCCGGAAGCGTGGAGTAGGAGTGTGGACGTCTTGTTCTTCAAAAAGGGTGATAAGACCATGTTGAAGAATTATCGACCCATATCCCTTCTAAGCCACGTCTACAAGCTGTTTTCGAGAGTTATCACGAACCGTCTTTCGCAAAGAATCGACGAATTCCAACCATATGGCATATGGGATATGGCACCATAGACCACATCCATACAGTGCGGCAGATTATACAGAAGACCGAAAAATATAATCAGCCCCTGTGTCTAGCATTCGTGGACTATGAGAAAGCCTTTGACTCGATCGAGATCTGGTCTGTTCTGGTGGCCCTGCAGCGTTGCCAAGTAGATTGGCTATACATCCAAGTGATTAAATGTCTCTACGAAGCCGCCACCATGTCCGTCCAAGTACAGAATCAGCAAACAAGGCCCATACCATTGCATCGAGGAGTGAGACAAGGGGACGTTATTTACAAAAAAGCCGTTTTAGAAGTTGTTCAAAATTATGTGTACCTCGGGCAGACATTGCAGTTAGGTAGAAACAACTTCGAAGACGAGGTGAACAGAAGAATTCAGTTTGGTTGGGCAGCGTTTGGGAAGCTACGACGAGTCTTCTCATCGTCGATCCCGCAGTGCCTTAAGACGAAAGTCTTTAATGAGTGCGTCTTATCCGTCATGACATACGGAGCCGAAACGTGGACGGTGGTTATGGTACGGCTGGTCCACAAGTTCAAAGTCGCTCAACGTGCTATGGAAAAGGCTATGCTCGGCGTTTCTCTAAGGGATCGCATCAGGAATGAGGTGATCTGGCAGAGAACCAAGGTCACCGACATAGCCTACCGGATCAGCAAGCTGAAGTGGCAACGGGCTGGCCATATTAGCCGCAGAACAGCAGAAGGCGGCAGGAGCCGGATGCGAGAAACCCAAAATCGATCTAAGTGGCGTGCAATGGGAGAGGCGTCCAGCAGTGAACTGCGATAGGCTGATGATGATGATGATAATGATGAAATTGTCATGTCAAAATCTAGGCTATCTGTAGCAGGAAAAATGGAAACAATCTTATGATAGATTTGTACAGATTTATCTGCATGAACTTAAGTACATGTCAACCTTAATCCACTGAACCTTGGTCGACCTAAAAGGTTTAGACTCTCAGCTACATACTGTGGCCATACGTCGTTTTAAAGATTCCAAGCGATAGTAATATCTTTGCAGTGCATTTTGGTTTTTACCTCGCAGATATCAATTTATCATCAACCCCTGTGAGTAATCACATACTTAAATGAAATACCTACATATTTCAACCCGTATTTATTTAAGAAACAATCTTTTCAGAACATTATCAATAAATTTGAGAAAAATCAGTGAGAGATGTATTTTGTTTGCTTTTAAAATAAATTTAAAAATAACTACAAAACATTAATTTATACTCGTTCGGTATATAATAAAGTCACCTATAAAATAATAAAACTAGACGAGTTATTATATTACTTTTTTTGGAACCCACAACATTTAACGTAGTAGGTAACGGCGTGATGACCGTTTAAACCAGTAAGCTACCCGCGCAGACGTCTTTCAGTCAGTTTACTTTCACAAGGAAAAAGCTGCCTAGGAATTCGTTCTTCAGAACTCTTCGTTCAGAGGTGGTTGCAAAAATTGTTAGAAAATTATAATTTAAGTAACATACTATTTTCTTTGGAACGGTTACTTCATTATCTAATGTAGATTTGTCTAGTCTTTAACAGAATATAAGATATAAGAATCAATCTATACCTACTATTTCACAACAAGTAGGTATTCAATTGCATATTTTATTAATGTATTAAAGTACAATTTAAAACTAATGAAAAAAAGTCGATTTAAAATTATGTAAACTTTGCAAATACGTATTTTCTTTATTATTTATTCTTTCAAACAGGGAAAAACTGATGAAGAAATAAGGGTTTGGTTTTTCCGCCAAGCCTTGGAATGCAACAAGGACCATCCTGTGGCAAGGGAAGAAATGCAAATGCTACAAGAGTACAAAGTACCGGACACCAAAAATTCTAAATGTTTGATGGCGTGCGTGTTTCAAAAAACTAATTTTGTAAGTATACTTTTTATAGTGTTACGTTTTATAGTGTTCTATGACTATATGACATGGTAAGTCCTATAGTCATAAAACACTATAAAATTGAAGAAATAAACTTTGAAATTTATTGTGTGAATTTATTCGTGTACTACTAAGTATTAAAAGTGGTTTTTTTTATTTTTAGAGTTAGACATAATTAGGTATCAAATGCAAAAGTAGGTTTAAGTGTAGGTTCTGTCAAGGTTTTATGTTGTAACCCTTCATTATTCTTGGAGGACTTCTTCAAATAAAGTATTGAAGAGAAGAAGAGAAGTCATTCTAAACAAGTTTTTATCTTTTAGATGAATAATAAGGGTATGTTTGATGTGGAAGGTGCAGCAGCTCAAGCTATGAACGATTATGAAGGAGATACAACAAAGATTGAAAATTCTAAAAAACTTATGGAAATCTGCAGTAAAGGTGAGTTTTTAAATTCATTAAACGATTGGCGAAAAATTTCAATGTGTGGATCACGAGTTTGGATACTATTATATTGGTTAAGGACTCTATTTATGGGTGAATGTTGGCCTAAATTAGTTCTTGAAAATAGTGTATGGAATATTTTAGTTATTCTATGTCTGGGATAAGAGTGAGGAACCTTCACTGATATTTTTTCTAATAAATAATTGTACTGTATATTATTATTAATTAATTTATGAAGAAACCAAAGGTCAAAAATGCGTCTGCGATTAGAAAGAGTGGTCATGTTAAACTTGGATAGCCGTGTGTCGTACGGGCTCCTATGAGAAAAACCACTGCAAGAGTAGGCAAGGTTTCTGGTGAAGGCTCTTTGAATGCTTTCAATTCTTTGGGAATGAACAGCGTACCATGGTGACCATGCAGTACTCGTAAATTCTAGAATGTTGCGGACAAGAGCATTGTACAGAAGTAACTTGGTATCTAGTTTTTTGTGTAGGTTTTTTGTCTAGGTATGTAAAAGTCAGCCCTGTATCGATGATAACGCCCAAATCACGAATCTCATTGACCTCTGCTAAATAAACCCCGCCAACCTCATACTTAGTAACAGTTGGTTTTTTTTTGCGGGTGTACTTGATGTGAAAGCATTTATTAACATTAAGCCTCATGCAGTTTACGTTGCACCAATCTAATATTGCATTAAGGTCATCTTGTATTAGTTGGGAATCACTGGTTGATTTAACTGGATGGTAAATCTTGCGTATCTTACTTAGCATCTGTATTATTTGATTAATTAGGTTTTAGTAAATCTTAGGATCAACGCATAGGAAATTTTAGGGTCAACGCAAACTCTATGTATTTGTTCAAAACTTTTATTCATCAGCCTGTTTTTAAAACTAAAATAACATTTACTTAAGCAAATATTTATTTTATAATTTATTAGGTATTCTAAAATAATTATTTTGTTCTTCTAAAAACCTAACATTACAAATACGGTAGGGAACTTCCAGGTAATGTTTTAGCAATAGGTAGTGCTGCCAGTTTTAGAATCTGGTATATCTTGCAATCATGTTTGAACAGGCGGCGCTACTTCTAAAACCTTCCCAAATCTCATAGGCCCTTGAATTGGTTACTGGTCTTAATCACGTGAAGTCTGAATTTTGAATCTTGAGTCTGAATTTTTACTGATTGGAAGAAATACCTCTTTTAAGATGTCCACTGAAAGAGTAATCATCTAGTGGGTGTCGTAAGAGCCGACTAAGGGACCAAACTACAAAACAACAGTACTGCAAAGAGAACGAAAACTTGAAACAAACCCTAAACCAACCCGTCTGGCCAGCGTGGTATAGTAGGCCAAAACCTCGTTTCTAGGGAGCGGCTTATGTCCAGCAGTGGACTATTATAGGCTGTTGATGATTTTGATGACAAAGAATTCCCAAAATGCATGTCTTGTCGAAATCATAAGACGTCGATCGAAATCGTTAGATCCCTTCCGAAAGACAAAAATTTATCAGAGCTTGAGTCACGACTCCAATTCCACAAGAAATTCATAATGGGTACGTAGGCCAGTAGAGTTTGGTTGGGAAATGCTAGAAGACAGACTGACAAAGAGATACAAAATCTTACCTAACGCAAGATAAAAAAGGAGACCTACAAGGTTCAGGCAATGAACCTTATAGGTTCATTGCCTGAACCTTAGAGGTCTCCTTTATTCCTCCTTTATTCTATGAAGAATGAATGATTAACTCTAGGAGAATTTTGTATCCCACCAGCTTTGAAATGGCACACACTTTTGTACGATTGGTCACCTGCCCAAATCAAAGCAACTTAGTAAGGTGGGGAAAAGCTACAGAAAAGGCTTGTACGGTGTGAAGTGCGGCAATAGGTACAGCCAGGCACTTACTAACAGGTTGCAAGGCGCTATTGGACCGGGGTCATTGTTCACATCGCGATGATAGGGTTTTACAAACAAAATACACGAAGCTATGAGTTTATCACTGGCTCGAGCGAAATAAGGAATAACAACAAACACGTATGAAAATCATTACTGAATACCGAAGGATATCTGTGCCTCGGCGTCCAGACCAGACATATTTCTTTATGCAATGTCGTACGAGCGTCGTCAAGCGTGTAGTATTAGTGGAACATGCCTATATATTTTTGATTCATGGTCAGATATTAAAGAACTCTACTGTAGCACAAATTAGTTGCTTTTTTCAAACCGACAAATGACTGCTTTTAAAATAATCAAATTAACCCTTTGTTATAATTGTAAATAAAATAAATATTACCTACACCATTTCGTTTTAGTAAACTCCGAAGCAGTTACCGACGGTGAAGCTGGGTGTGAAAGAGCATATCTTCTTTTCCAATGCTTTAACGAAAACGCTCCTCAGGTAAACCTACAGAACTCATTCAATTGAGCTATTATTTTATTTATAACTGCACATTCCATCCTAAACCTTTATGGTGTTGCACATTTGCGCGTCATTGAAGAGAATTCGCGCGGGATGTAAAGGACACGACAAAGCAGTGGTAAGGTAGGTACTAGTGCGTCCGTCTAAATAATAATGACTTCACACATTCCACACAAGACAGTCTGTTATTGGTTGCATTTTTATAGTTTATACTGCTGTAGTTGGTTACATAAGCAAAATTGAAGAGTTTTTAAGTATTTCAGTTCACGATATCTTTGTCGAATTAACAAAAAGAATATGTAAACCTTGTAATGAATTAAGCAAATATTTTTTTTTTCAGCTGGGATTCACGATACACACAAAGACATAAAACAAATAAGTAAAATATGTTATAAGAGGCTGCACACTCTCAAGTATAATACCTACTTACTAAATACAATTCTAACTGATGTAGTATTTAAATAAAATAACATTCATGAGCAACAGTAATTTTATTTATTAATTTACCTTACAAAACACTTTAAACAACAAGGATTCTAAAATATAGAATACAAAATATTTATATAGGTACGTATGTATTATGCTGTTCTTAAGGATAATATTTTATAACGTACTGATATACCTCGATATATTGATATCACACACATTATATCTATACAGCCATATAATAATATGCACAACATCAGTAATAAGTATGTGACATTAAAAGTAACACAAAAACAATGGAAGTGAACTGTTATTTTAAATTACAGCTTGGTATATAATGTTACTAAAAGTTACAGCCTGTTTAAATACTGAAGGGACTTTATCTTACCTAACGTTATGTTAAATATTAGGCAATTCGACTAATAAGGGCTTCGAAAAAATCACCTTCATTTTATAAGTAGTTATCAGATCATAATCAAAACCAGTTCATCTAAAGTATTACCATATATATCCATTAACTGATGCATATTATTTTTTGTATTATATCCACTATATTTCTGCCTTCATAAAAGAAATCGGTTAGTGATTATGTTTTGCGTGCAAAATATGTATACATAAGGTGATGTGGCCATATTAATATAACTGATCGGTGATAGCAAGGATTTTTTTCATTTATTTTACCTTAAAGTTTACACGACGGGAGCATTTACGTTATATAATATTACGACAATGCCTTATAAACGGAATTAACGTCAATGCGTTTGTTACATATGTATACCAATTATATTTGCATGTATTATGATAATATAATCAACTTTTTAGAATTTGGCAGCACAATTTTACATAATATGCATACAATAAACTTGAAGACTAAATTTTAATCATCTTACTAATTAATAAATCTATATCAAAAGCTAATTTAATACATTACACTATTCCCTTCTTCTTTTTATAAATATATATATTTTTAGTTCAGTTTGTTTATGCATTTCGTGTTCAATTCGCATATTATACATGTATCTCTTAAAACAATGTCATAGCGAAATGGTAAAGAAAGAAGTACCTCACAAAACAGCTATGACTATCGTATTCTAATACAAAATGAACCATACGAGCATGAGGCAGTTAAAAACTTAACAAGCTTGTAAATAGTGCGTAGTAGTGTAACTAACAATGACTAGTGCTTACACAAGATCACACTATTTCGTAAATAAGTTTAGAGATTCTATGTATTCTACAAAATGTACTTCAGATAATATACATTGTGGTAAGTGGTTATTTATATTTTGTGCAAAATGGTTGCAAAATGCCAGGTGACCTCAGCACTTAAGCATATCCCAATCCAGCAGTGTCACATTTAATATCAACCAGTATAGTCTAGGATACATTATCAGCAAGAGTAAAAGATAGCAAGCCATCTACTATGTAGAGGTCACATGGCATTTCTACATTAAATTCAATTTTTATTCAAAACTTCCAAATTTTCAACAAACAATTAAAAAAAACAAAAAGACAATTCCGACTTCCTAATTTACTATAGTAGATGCTATGTTTTTACTCGTGTATTATAAAATAGCATAGTTAATACAAGTATATATTTTACATATATTTAGTATATCGTATATCATATAGTTACAAATATAGGGAGTAAGAAATTATAAGCGTGTATGAAAATATTCGATATATTGGTCCAAGATTAAGACAAAAGGACATCTTTTTTTTGTCTCTACACGAAATATGTACGAAAATAGTACCCATTGACATGATCATTATGTAAACCTTTGTAGATAACTAATTCAGAGATTCTAAACTTAAATTAAATATTATGGAGCAGCAGGTAACCCATTATTATACTCTTTTGTTAACATAAAAAACTAATAAATCCATACTGAACCTACTGAAGTGTGTATGTTGATAAATATGTTTAAATTTAACCAATATGGTATAAATAAACAATTAATAACAACAAAATTGGTAATAGAATTTAGTGATTGGCACAATTGAAATGTCGGCGTTATAGTCAAAAATATTTTATATTGTACAATATGGACGATTGTGTTGGAAGGTTCACTACTCTCAAAATAGTAATCTAACATGAATCTTTGAAATTTATTAAATTTAAAATGTAATAATATTTTTTACTAATGGCAAGACTAAATTTTCATTTCAACTATATTGCCTTTTTTTAAATATGCCAGCTATTTTTACAAAAACCTCTTTTTAATTTACTGTTATGAATCTAAAAAAATATTTATTAACTAAAGATTTCTATTTTATTGGCTGTTAATGAAAAAAAACTGTCGTTTCTTATTTATATTACACAACTAGATAATAACAACCCTATAAAAAGTATTGATATATTTTTCAAGATTTTTATGCATATAATTATGGCCTTTATCTAAAGTACTTAGAGTTTACAATTTGATTTATTGTGTTTGTTCCTTATGTAACTGTGAAAAATTAAATATAAAGGATACCTACATTTAATATGAATAAGATTACTGGTATATAAATTACTCACATCCTACATTTTATCTGATTACATTTGCGTTCAAAGGATATTGGACACTTTTATAACATCGATAGCGCATGACGTACATATCTTAGCCTAAAATCCATTAGTGCCATATTTAGTATAATCTAGCTGATACAGAATAGTCATCCAGCGAAAATAAGTCAAATATTTAGTTTGACATATCTTTACTAGGTGGTATCATGTTTGTGAATTGTAAATCGCACTACTGAGTTTATCACTTAATTCAATAAAATTATTATTGGTGGCATTATTAATTTTCTGTCAAGCTATGATCAGTCAAATAAAATAATAATGAGGACAATGTTATATTAAAAGCGCCCAATGATGAAGACTTCAAAAATAAATTTCAATACATGTTATTATATTTCAACTAATGTGTATTATTTTCATTATTAGTTTAGTTTGTGTTCGTTTTCTTCTCTTGAATTTATTGCTGTGTGACCAGCAAAAAAAAAAGAATTTGTCTAAAGCTTTTATAGTCGAACAATGTGAAAAACAACACAGCGTAAAATATGTCTTAACACCGTTTAAATAACAGCAGCGAATAATAATAGTTCAAGTGCACAAAGCAAATGCAACATATAACTTCATTACTGAACGATCATTGGCATTATACGACTACAGACTACAGATGAACCGATGACCTGATGGTAGATAGGGTGGACAAGATGCGAAAGGCGAAAATTCAGGCGCCATGACAATAGATGATCGATGGATCGATTCGCAATATGTGACGAAAATGTATATTTTCGATTCAAATAACAAATAGTAGTATAAAATCTATGAAGTCGTTTTACAATATTCGCAGAATTCTTATCAAATATTTTATATATTTAATAAAAATGTGCTTATTACTTTGTGTAACCGATAATGCTAGTAATATTTATGTAGATCATATATCTACTTACGATTGTTAGATATATCCTCACCGGAATACTCTTGCGAGATTCTGAAAGGTTAATTTGAATTCGATTGTCTTCCTTAAGCCTCATTAGGCAAATAAACAAAAAGGGAGTTTAGATTGAGTCGTTGCGTAATACACACATGGCAAGTTATATGGGCCTAAGCTATGAAAATTATAACAATAGCAAGATACTTCCACGTGTATGGAGGTGGTATGATAACATCAAGTAATTTTCTTTTTTGTTTATTTACATAACAACACATTAAAGAAAATCTTATTACCTAAGTAATGTAATTCACAGAAGCATCTATTCACTGGAATTTATTTAGACTTATTTAAGTGGGAAGTAGAGAACGTTCACCTTACTAATAACGAAGTTAAATTTCAAGGATACCCGAATTATAACGTGTTACTCTAAAAACCTTCGTAACGAAAGAATATTGAAAAATGTAACCTGAATTTAATGATAACTTTAATACACAAACTTCAAATTAAAGATTTAGTGGTTTTATGCCGTCGCTTTTGTTTTAAATTTTAAATGTTCACAATTTATTGGATATAAGATAATACAAATGTAAATTTCAAACGTTTCCTTCAATTGAACTATTATTAACTATATGTCCGGTTACGATAGCACAAGTAGTATAATGTGTTACTAAATCGCCTGCACCTACAATTAACTAACATGTACTACTCGGATACTCGGGTGCGTTTTACGTAAACTCGACTTTAGAGAGAAAATTATTTTGACATAGCTTTTTAAACAATATTATCTACCGCTGATACTTATTCCTACTCTAATCTAGAAGAAACTGGCATTTGCTTCTCAATCGAATCTGTGAAAATTAATGTCAAAATTAAACATTTAAAAAACTATGAATATACTAAGAATGAAGTAAAGTGAAGTTTAGGTAAATACACCCTTGGTCACCTGCTCACTAAATGTAGAACAAAACTCTGAACCCGGTACATAATCGGTCCAAGTCGCTATAAGCAAAATTTAGGTGATATGCAAGCACTGCTATTCATTTACAAACTTATACAATCTTTGAAATTAGAACTATAAAAACATAATAAATCGATATTTTAAAACTTGACGCAAATGTAACCTTACACGCAAAAAATAGTATAGTAAATAGTAAAGTAATTGTCTATTCCAGCAAGACCAGTTGACCTTCCGAGAGGGTCTCTTCCTTCTGATGTTATATACTGTCGTAGCTGTTGGGGTCGGGTGACACTGTTTGTCCCGTCGCCCTAGCTGGCAACTTGAAGCCATTTGTCATAAAAAGCCAGCCATCCTGAAAAGAAAGTCAATACATTCTTTTAACGGAGAAATAGTGTTTAAAGACACTTTTTTTTAAAAGACAACACCCGCACTAGAAAAGCATTCTGTGTCGAGGGGACTTTACAAATATTCATGAAACGGACGCAAATAACACACAGACTCACATTCAGAATTTGTAGATCACACAAAGTAGGGACAACACTTTGTATGATCAACAAATTAGGGATGTGGGGATCAAACCTACAACACACAGCGCAGTAGCAGCAAGGTGACCGCTTAAACCACTACGCCATTGGTGCAGTCGAAGTTATTGACTTAATGATATTTCGAGTGTTGCAACTGTGAAATTTATTGTTAACTAAATGCACTAGCAGTAGTGTCAATGACCCTATTAATTAATTAAACAAAAACCATACAACAAGAGCAATTATAATTAATGATAAAAACGGTACGAGCTATTGTAAATAGAGTAACAACGGTTCGTTAGATGATCTTTATGATGATGATCGCGATTTAATCTCTGTGAGTTTTTCAAAGGTATAATCCAGATCACATACAATTTAAAAGAACAATGACAAAACAATAAAACTATACAACTCGTAATTTTACCAGCCATAATCACATTTCAATTTTACTTAAATTTATTCGTTTTATCTTAAATGATTTTGATTTTTCTTACCTTAACAAGATTTGGTATATCCGACCAGAAGCCAAGGTTGGGTATGACTTCAATACCGGTCGCACCCATAAGGAACTTCTTCGTACAGATGCCGAGAACGAGGTAGAATATGAGACATGAAAAGAATATAATCAAAAGTGTTGAACCAGCTGATCTTCCCACGTCTTCTATCTGCTTCAAACACGCATCTTTCGAATAGAACGCTAACACCTGTAATATATACATGTTTGTTTCAATAACAAATAAAAGACCATAGTAGATTCCACATCAGGTTAGTATGTACCACATTTAACAGACCCCAGTTTTTTCATTTATAGGTAGAGGTGGATAGGAGCAGAGGGTTCACCTGATGGTAACTGACTACCGCCAGCCATGGACACCTGCAACTTAACAGTCACAAGTATGTGGTTACCTTTTGAATGTAATGTAGGTATAGATATATGCATATGCCTCCTAGCTTTTCATCATCAACAGCCTTTGATAGTCCACTGCTGGACATAGGCCTCTTAGAAAATAGGTGTTGGCCTACTATACCACACTGGCCTGGAATTGGTATGGGTTGGTATAGGGTTTGTTTCAAGGTTTCCTTCTCTTTGTAGTGCTGTTGTCCTGCGTAGTTTGCTCCCTAAGTCGGCTCTTACGGCACCAACGGGATGAATAGGGTTGGTGACACTCCGTGATCTAAGTCCGTCACCACACGGACATCCTAGATTTTAGTACATTGAAAATTATACTTCATAAATCGCCCTGTAACACGAGAATCAGGGGGTGAAAATCTATGAAATAATTGTATAACACCAGTTTCCTGTGATGCCGTGGTATTCCTCCGTTCGAGCTGGCTATTTGGGCCAAAGCATGGCTCCTCACGACTAAAATGGCCAATAGTCCAATTTATAAAGTATAAAAGTTATGAAAGTAATAAAAGTGCCTGTGTCCTTTTTTTTAAACTGATAAGATGTATAGAAAACTAAGTTCGTGATGGTCGATTGAGTAGTTAACGCATGAAAGCGTAACTAACAATGAAACAAATCTATACTCGCATTAACAATGATAGTTGGAATCTAATAGTCAGTCCGAGTACCATGCGACCGTAGTCATACGACCCAGACCTTCTCGAGCTAGCCTACACTCACTAATCCGTCAGTAGGTATAAGCATTTTCCTTTCATTGCCTACCCTACTTTTCGTTTTGAATATACTCCCTATTTGGAACAAAGTTGCTTATCGCGCGCGTTACACGCCCTGAGCGGATGGGAGCGAGATCGAAAAATGTCTAACAAGACTTTTTCTGACACTATAACAAACGTCTACCAAAAAGCGACAGGAACTTCGTTCCGACCGAGATCCATAGACCTCTCACGCCGTTTTTTACAGTGAAAGCTACGTTAAATCAAAAAAGCTGGTTCCCATTTTCCAATTATTAAGTTAAGATTAAAAACGCGATTTCAATGCCCTAAATCGAATTATTTGCCTAAAATTTACCGAAAAAGCCGATAAAAGTTTCACTTGCATCGCAAATGTTTGTATTTGTCACATGTGTAATTGTTAGGAGTGGTGCCATTCTTTTTTTTATGTTAGAAAGTGACTATCGCCGTAATGTACGTCAGCAACTCAAGAGTCACAAACGCGTTGCCGGCCCTTTAGGAAGGAGTACGCTCTTTTCATGAAGGTTTGAAAGTCGTATCGGTTCGGAAATACTGCAGACGATAACCCGTTCCACAGATTGGTTGTGCGGGGCAAAAAGTGTCTCGAAAAGCGCACAGTAGTGGAGCGCCAACTATCCAGGTAATGAAGATGAAAATTTGCCGTGTGGAACGATAGCGGAAATTTGCGGCTGGTATTAGTCCGAACAATTCCTCGGAGCACTCTCCATGATATATGCGATAGAGAATGCAGAGTGAAGCCACATCTCTACGTAACGCCAAGGTTTCGAGCCAGATTCGTTGAATGCGGTCCAGAGGTAGAAGCTGGTACTGAGGTGCCCCTGCATAGAGATGAGAACAGTATTCACTGTGGGCCGGAGTGAAATACTGCCTCGATCTGTTCAGGACACCGAGCTTCTTCGAGGCCAATTTGACCTTACCCTCTAAGTGACCCCGAAACTGGACTTTGCTAGATATGTCGATGCCTAGGATTCCGATGCTGGCTGAGGCAGTTAGGGAGGTGCTCTCAAACTGAGGTGATACGACAAATGGTATCTTTTTGCAGTGAACGCACATACCTGTGTCTTTTTTGGGTTAAACTGGACTAGATTTCATCAACAGCCTTTAATAGTCCACTGCTGGACATGGGCCTCTCCTCAGAAAGGAGGTTTTGGCCTATACTATACCACGCTGGCCAGACGGGTTGGTATAGGGTTTGTGTCAAGTTTTCCTACTCTCTAGACTAGATTTAGTCGGCCCCAATCTGAAACCTCCGCTAAGGAAGTTTCAATTTCAGACCCAAGTTTGTTTCGACTCTCGATGACGTTTTCCCGAGAATAAAGGTATAAAGGGCATCTCCTGTGCTATCATCTGCATAGCAAGGGATGCTACTAGTTTGCAACATGTCATTCATATGCAGAAGAAAAAGTGTGGGTTATAGCACACAGCCTTGTGGGACACCAGGTCCCACAAGGCTGTGTGCTATTACCACTATAGCATATCACACTATAGCATTTACAAATTTCAAGTCGGAGCATGCACCGTCGACAATGACCTTAATGCTTCTGTCCGAAGGAAGCTAGTAACCCAATTACACAATTTTTCGGGAAGCCCAAAGGAAGGGAGCTTCGAGAGAAGCGCCTTATGCCAGGCCCGATCAAAGGCCTTCGCTATGTCCAAACTAACCGCACAAGCCTCTCCTTTTGTCTCGGTCGCTTGTGCCCACCGGTGTATTAGAAAGACGAGAAGATCACCAGCTGAGCGACCCCGGCGAAAACCATATTGTCGGTCATTGAGTAGCTGGTGATCATCCAAGTACCGGAGGAGCCGGCTGTTGATTATGGATTCCATAATTTTAGAGAACAAAGGAGTTATGGCTATAGGCCTGTAGTTAGACGGGTCAGAGCGGTCACCTTTTTTAGGGATCGGGTGAACAAACGCTACTTTTTAGGAGTTGACTGCGCGGGTGGCGTAGTGGTTTAAGCGGTCGCAACGCCACTTACTACTACGCTGAGGGTTGTGGGTTCGAGCCCCACATGGGATAACACTTTGTGAGATCCACAAATTGTTGTTCTGAGTCTGGGTATTCTTTGTGTCCGTTTCATGCATGTTTGTAAAGTCCCCCGCGACACAGGATATATTCCTAATGAGGAAGTTGTCTTTTAAAAAAATGAGAAAAAATAATAGTTTGGGACGACGCCTTGGGAGAAGGAGACGAAAAAGGACGGAGCACACGTCTTCAACACAATAGAAGAAATTCCATCGCGCCCACACGACTTATGAATGTCAAGGGATAATAATGCTTTACGCACAGATTTTTGTGTGAACCGGATATCCGTCATATAGCTTTGGCACCGCGGTATGGTCGGCGGTACGCTTCCCCCGTCATCCAAAGTCGAGTTGGATGCAAAGAATTTGCCTAGGAGATCAGCTTTCTCCCTGGCATCTTAGGCCAACGAATTATCTCCCATCTGCAGGGTGGAAAGGATTGGCTACAGAAATTCTCCTGGACAGCCTTGGCAAGAGACCAGAATGCACGAGTTCCAGAAGGAAGTCTCACTAGTCTCTCACCGATCCGGCTGATGTGCTCCGATTTCGCCCTAGCAATGGCTCTTTTAAGGGACCTGGAGGCAAAGTAATATTGTTTTTTTAGCGTGCTGGTATTTACATCGGGCGGGCCGTTTTGTAGGAGCTGTCGAACCAGGGCTTGGAGCTGCCACCGATGGGAATTAATGTAGAAGGAACAAATAGTTAAATGCCCTGAAGTACTACATCAGTGACAGAATCGGCAACGACGGTGGGATCATCCGGCAAAAAACAGATCTGCCTCCATGGGTAGGACGCAAAGAAGGAACGCATCCCATCTCAGTCCGCTGACTTATAGTGCCATACACGGCGGCAGCCTGTAACTCGCGGCCGCAGCAAGCACGTGAGTGGCACTGTACAGCGGATTAGAAAATGATCCGAGGAGCCAATTGATTATTTGATTAATATTATTATATGTGTAGTAAAAGGAATGAGCCATGTGATGAAAAAAGAAAATAGTTTCTTTTTCCGACATATATAGCGCACTTCGTTGTGACAACTTGTTTCAAATTTATAAATATTAAATTTTATATTTTGTTATGTACACACTTGTCCTTGATAAAAACACATGTTTCATACTCACAATACACACATATATTATAATTTAAGTATGATAAGCAAACAGAGATGACTTACAAGTTTAGATGGTTCCGCTAAAGAATACACTTGAAGCTGATTATCTGTTTGGACACATTGCAGCAGAACTGTTGTTTCTCTGAAAACAAAGAGTATAACTTATATCGTTTTTTAAATACAGATCTCCAAGTCATTGTACAATTATGAAGCTAACGGCATTCTTTTAAAAAGTGTTGTCATTTTAAAACTATTAAATAATATTACCTACATTTATTAGTAATAAATAATATAACTTATTACTTATTCTATATTTATTTTACTATATATAATTATTCTACTGGGTTTTATATAGTTTGTTTTCATTTCTTAATAGCAGTACAGATATATATTAATTATCCTGAGTTTCAGCTTAGGAAGTAACTTCAAGTACTTAATTTAGTACAGATGTTTATTAGTTGATAAACTATATGTGAACATATGTACTGTTTATTGAACATATAAAAATTTAAAACAAAGGAAACAATATTTAATCACAGTAGTAATAGGCAGTATTATTAAAGTTTAAAGTCTCTCACAGACAATTTTAGTATAAACAGAATGAAATACCCACAGTAACTATAACCTACAAATAAATTAAGTAAACATACACTTACGATGGCCCATTTTTGTATATAATAGAATCTCCTTGGCCAGAGAACTTTGAATCGCTAGACTTTCCGAGGAAGTCATAAGAGTTGTTTGATAGTGTAAATGTCTGTATAGTGCTATTATCCAACCTCATAACATGACGACAAAGCTGTAGGAAAATATTATATTAAATTTAATAAATGGTCACCACTTATCACAATTTCATTACTTATTACATTACACACAATTACAGATACATTTTGATTCAAGATTCTGCCAGCAATTTTACAAAACTTAATCTGATAAAAGTTTTCACTTTCAGTGATTGTATTATTGAATTATTTAAAAAAATGAGTAGCCATTAGAATTCTAAATATTAATAAAGATTTTAAAAATAATATAGTGATGAAATAAAATGCAGTAAAAAGATTAAGAATTCAATACATACCTTTACCTAATGCAAAATTAGTATTATTATTATTATTGTAGTTACATGGTTTTTTCTATAAGTCTAGAAGTTGAGATTGTATTGTGCAAACAATTATAAATTAAATTTTCTTAAACAGACTAATGTTTTCCAAGTTTATTTATGGACTTGGAAGTTTTTTAGAGTGTGATACCCCATTTAAATGTTTTAACAATTACACTCATTTGCCATCTAGTTATTCACTTCTAGCACTTATTTTGACTTATAATGTACACAACTATATGTATATTGGAAGAAGTATTTTTACCCATAGCTATATTTGAAAAGTTTTATTTCTCACAATTTTTCTCTGATACAACAAATTTACATGCATAAATGTATATTACCCACATCATACATAAAAAAGATGTTTTATTTATGAACTAGTTTTATAGGCGCAACATGTTAATGATAAACCAGTTTTTTTTTTAAATGTTTCTGATGATATATTGAGCAAGAATAAAATTAACTTTATTTTCTACTCTTGATCATCATATGGCACTTTAGCCTGAGCTTCTAATAAATAATAATTAAGACTTACTGATAGTGGCTGATCGCAAGTCGTCTTGGCTTGTGGCGGTATAGTCATATTATATGTAGTATCAGAACAAGGATAATAGTAGAATGTGGTAAGTTCCATATACGTTGAATTTGGTGTGGTTTTCAATTTCTCGTCAAATACTTGTGCCGTATAAAAATTAAATATAGATGGAACTGCAGGTGTTAAGTCGATTCCAGTGCCGTTTGGAAAAACACACACACAGGAACTTTTCATTATACAATCGTCAGCGTTAACAGATAACACAGAGATGAAACTAATAATAAGAATACTATAAATACGCAAAAATGCCATTTTTATGCAGTTTGTGCAGCCTTTTTACGTCTATTTATTTCTTACGGAATAGCGTACGATTTTATACGAATGTTGGAATATTGCCCAATCCCAATTCAACACAATGACAACTTGTAATTAATGCAATGAGTGTTGCCAGCCAGACTTTAAATTATGGGTAAAAAGAGAATTTGAGGTTTGTTTCCAGCAGCTCTACACATTCAGTCTTCAACTATAACCTTTGCCACTTCGATGCCACACTACATAGAAATTATTGCAAACAAAAACAGGAACCTTCAGGAAGGGGTTTTCTGGATACACGGAACAAGAATTTTATACCCAAACATCGCAAGCACTATATTCAATAAAATTGTAATTGATGTATTTTGGGGATTAAAAGATCCTTCTAAGGAACAAAACAATTAATTTAAAACAATATCTACATAGAAAAACAAAAGGATGATGTGATTTTAGTGGGTGCATGAAGTATGGAAAAAAGCGTAGTAGGCCAAAATATCCTTTCTAAGGAGAGGCGTATGTCCAGTAGGTGTGTGTGTGTGTGTGTGTGTGATGTGATGAAGTAAACCAATCCGAATAATCGAAAATGAAAAACGTGTTGTTGAAAAAAGTGCAAAATCTAAGGAGAGAAATGGTGATGAACCTGGCAATCTTTGGTTTGTTGTCATCTGTGACAGTGATAGGTATAGACTAGACTTGCAACAAATAGTATATTCTGCAGTATACCGAATACCGAATATTCGGCGAGGCCCCTGACCGAATAGCCGAATATTAGGCAAAAGTATTCGGCTGGATTTTAGCGCCAAAAACTTGTACAGACGTGAATTAAATTATGTACCTGTTTTATGTACCAATGACTACTTAATAAATGATTAAAAAAGAAATGAGAACCTTACCCTTCTAAATTTTGATTACCACAATAATTCAAATACATAGAATCCTCTATTTTTCCTATTCAGAAGATGATTATATATATACCTGTGTTATGCACCAATGACTACTTAAATGATTATAACAGAAATGTAAATATGAATATATACGTAATCAATCGATTTTAATTTTTCATTTTACCAATTATTTCTCAATGACAAAATATTTTATTTAAGTATTCGGTATTCGGCCGAATAATATGTAGATATTCGGTATTCGGCCGAATATAATAAAAGCAGCCGAATAGGCCGAATACCGAATAGTAACCGAATATTCGTTGCAAGTCTAGTATAGACTGATGGATGTACCAAATTTTGGTGATGAGACCGTAACAATATTTCAATGAAAAAAAATACAGCAAGTTATCCTATCTCTATATTATTTTAAATCTTGTCAACCAGACTATAGATATAGCTATTCTTGGGTTAAACGTATGTTCTCCTTTTCCCTATAATGTTGGTGGTTAAAATTTAAAACCTACACTGTTTAATACAACATCAGATCACTTTTCGAAGTAAAAAATATTTTTGGCGTGTTATCACATTACACGCGCATTGTTTGTTACAACAACTATGTATGTCACCTCATTAATAGCGACTCCAAATCTTTTCCTTGTTTATTATTGTGTGTTATTATAATTTACGCAATAGTTTTACTAGTCAACTAAATCACTGTTTGAATGTGTGTACAGACGTTAAATCACACATGATTAACATTAGAATATAAATACTAACACAATTCACTAACAAAAGACTACTACTACACTAAACTAACTCTTAATCTGTGCGTTGGGCATTTTTGAACAACAAAGAAATGAATGTATTTTTTGAGATGAGCATAAACATGGCATGACCGACTGATGTTTCGCTTTCGGGCAGTTTCTGAAAAAAAATCTAGTTTCGGTTCGAGTTTAGGTTTCGGCCAAAATTGGCTCAGTGTTCGTAAAGTGATGTGCGTCGTTCGGTTGACTTCGCGGCTAACTAGTGGATATCGCCTCTGGCTCAGTTCGCCGCCGTCCAGTGCGATCTGTTTTTATGGTGTTTGGGGGCCAGCGAGCGAACAGGTCGAATAGTGGTAAGTAACTTTCACCGCCCATGGACACCTGAAACATAAGAGTCATCAGTGTCTTTCCGCCCTTTCATTCCCTTTCCTCAGAATCAGGGGAAAGGAGAGGGTTTGGTCTCACTCGGTAAAAAGCAACGAAAGAACTGCTTAACACAGGTTTTCTGTAAGGCCGTGGTATCACTCCGGTTAAGCCTGGCCCATATGTGCATGTGTACGAGGCATGAGGCCGTATTATAGACCGTTTCTCAAAACTCAAGAAATCATCAATCAAATCATTTTATAATACGACCTTTAGATTTATTTGTCTGTAAGTAGTTAATTATTGTTCAATTATATTCTGTACCCCTATTTTACCATTTTTAACCATCCATAAAACTAATACTACATGTAATCTTCAGTTGCTTAAAACTTAGGTACCTAGTTAATTTAGACAGGTGAATTTCTAGTATTTAATAGTTACCTACCTACATACATTTTCTTCCATATATATATATATATGGAGATATATATATATATATATACATATCAAGTGCTTGAAAATCCCTTCGGATCTCCGCTCCTTGGGGATGTAGAAGCCAGGAGTATGTGGTGTTTCTAATAAAAACCACCACGATATCCTCCGAAGAGGACCCGGACCACTTTATTTCAGCCCCGCAGATTGACGCCACGCCTAGTAAAGCCCTATCCCGGGGAAGCCGCGGGCTTCCCCTGCCTACTGCCCCAATCCTTATACGTTGTTGCGGCCCAATCGCATTTTTGTGACCAGGCCGCCATCCTATCGCCTACCGCAGCAGTAAATCTGCCACCAGAGGTCCCCAGAGGTGTGCTGGGTGGAGTCCCAGTTGGCTGCGCAGTGCTGGCATTGTGCCGTCTCCTCGCGTTCAGCTATGTCCAGTGAGCACCCACGTCAGTTGGTAGGTGACGTGGCCTCCCTCCCTACCAACCCAAGCTTAGAGGCTAGGCAGAACGGCGCCAACAGCGCGTTGGTGCGCATTCCGCGGATGTTCCAGCCACGCGCGCTACTGCACGAGTGCTTGTCGGTGAGCTGTCCGTCGCATATCGAGCTCGTCCTTATCTTACCCGCATTCACCCTGTCTGGTCATAGACCCTTGCGTCCATATCCGCCAGGATATCAAAAGGAGGTTAACGTGCCAGAACTGTCGCCGCCTCCGACGAAATGGTGCGGTATCCCCCTACGATCCGAATGGCCGCTACCCGCTGCGCTTGATTGAGCTTAGCTCGGCACCAGGAGGAGGCCGATAGGTGCTTGGCCTATATCGGTGCTCCGTAGAATGCCATGGATCGTATCACCGCACAGTTGAGGCGGCGAACTTCCTCCTGCGGACCCCCTAGATTAGTCAACAGACTCTGTAAGACCACTCCGCGAACTCGGGAGATCATCCGCTCCAAATGCTCCTCAAAAAGAGGTATTTAATGTGACGGCCGACCTCGAGCTCAAGTCCTCCCACTCTATAAGCTAGCGGGTAGGAAATGCACCTGCAGATCCACAAGGTTTCCGTCTTATTGGGTGCAACCCTTATGCCCAGACCGCTGATCTTTCAGACGACACAAGCCACCCCTAATTCAGTGAGCTCCAGGACCTCCTTTTTTTTTTCCCGTGCGGAAATCCCCTCGGATACCACCTGTCGGTGGCATGTCGGACACGAACCGACTAAAACCGCACGCCGTCTCGGGTACTAATAGCCGGGGAACCAGGTATACCGTAGAAAGGAAGTCCCTGGTGCCCCGCTCCAGGACCTCCTGGAAGCCATACCCCCCCCCCCCCCCCAGCCAGTATCAGAGTGTCATCCGCATAGCAGACAACACTCAATCCTGGGGGAAGACTGGTCCTCAGTACCGCATCATACGCGAGGTTTCACAGAAGGGGTCCTAAATCCGACTCCTGTGGAACCCTGCATGTGACCTCCCGTCGGCATTCTTCGCTGTCCCTACCCATATACGATATGGACCTGTCGCGGTGATGTCCGATGCGGTCTGTGGCCAGCGCTTGTTATCGCAAAGAGATAGGATGATTCAGAGAGTGCAAAATGCTGGTGCGCGGTTCTCATTTGTGATACCTCCACGGAGCCATGTAACCCCCTACCTTAAAAAAAAATCATGATGACAAGGTGGAAACTTCACCTGGCATGCCTTATGTTTAGTATTGTTAAATATCAAAAACCATCTTATCTATATAATTAGATAAACTGGGTGGCTGAAATAGGCAGTGCTTACTACCGCTATCTATTCCCCATCATAGATCGGCTGCTTTCATGGGTAGTTTCCGTTATGCTGGCTGTAAAATCTGGAAAAATATTCCCCGCCGCATTAGGAATATATCCTGTGACGCGGGGGACTTTACAAACATACATGAAATGGACACAAAGAACACCCAGACTCAGAACAAAAATTTGTGGATCACACAAAGTGTCGTTCCATGTGGGGTTTAAACCCACAACACTCGGCGATATAGGAAGCGGCGTGGCGACCGCTTAAACCACTACGCCATCCTTGAAGTCATAGAAGATTTACTAGTAAAACTGACTATGATATACCAAAATACGAGCTGTGCGGAAACATACATAAAACTGTAATCGATTAGTACATACAAAGAAAGGATTTCGATGTCTTTTATGATTCGGATTTTAAGGTATTCGATTTCTTTTGCCCCTCCCTATTCTTCAATAAGTTTGTGTACGTCTTTCCATGCTCTTTGGTCTTAGTACTGTCAAATGGTACTTCTTAGTTCTCAGATTTGATGGATTTAAATTAGAATTTTATTAAGGAATAATGTAATAATAAAAATGTGTAATAGAATTTATGCGCAGCCTCTTTCCGTAGAATTTATTAATAATATATTTTTAATTACTTGATTTGCAGAGTATGGCAGACAAAAAGAAAAAAGTATTTGCTGTGAAGGTATAGTAAATATTCTCAAACTCCAAATGCTCATATGTAGTTTTTTATATGCTGAAGATATGTTCTATGTTAAACAGGAGTCCGCGCCAAGGAGACCAGTGATACTGAAATCTGATCGTGAAACCGTTAAAGATCAAAGTAAAGAAAAGCAAGAAAAAGAAAAACAGCCAACTATTATATTAAAAACAAGGGAACAAAGCACTCCTAAAGAAGAAAGGCCACAGAGCCCCAAAATAATAAAAACTTCTACATGTGAATCAGAAGGGCAACCATGCAAAATTGCTCAAAATGAAAACAAAGAAAAAAAAAACATAGGTATTTTATAAACTTTGCTTGTATGTTACCCTATTTACAATGCTAAGCAATCCAGGTGAACAAAAGAAGTCAGGCTGCTGCCTCTGGAAAAGTCATTTTATTTCAATTAAGACTTAGGAGATAAAGAAATCTTTAGGGCCACTATTTGTACTCTTTAACTTATTTGAATAGAGGTCTTGATTCGAAAGTAACTATGATGTTACTTTCAAACCAGACCTTACCAGGCCCCAGGCTTTACATTTAGTTGATGTTACTGGCTGTAACAAAACGGGAATTCTTAAATTGCTTGCCTATTGTGGTCGGCTTCTTAATCTGTCTGTTATCCCGTGCATTGTTAACAATATTTCCAAATTTAAGTATTTATTTATTTTTTAAAGTAAGCAAACTAGGAATATATGCTGTGTAGCAGCTCCATGCGATAGAATCCCAAAACACCATATCTTCACAAGAAGATACTACATCCAGATACATGGAAATGACCGAGATCAATCCGGCATTAACGAAGTCCGAATTTACACGGACGGTTCCAAGACTAGGTCAGGAACTGGAGCCGGAGTTTTCTCGCAAGACCTAAATATAAATATATCACTAGCGTTAGGCCAACACAGCTCCATATTTCAATGTGAATGTGTGGCAATAACTTACGCCGCCACAACGGCCATGTCAAGGGGTATCAAGGACTACAACATCCGAATAATATCCGACAGCATGGCCGTCTTAAAGGCATTGGAGGGCAACACAATGACCTCTGGTGTTGTCCTCGAATGCCACCAAGCACTGGAACAGCTCGCTATATTCAATGGGGTACTCCTCCAATGGATTAAAGGGCACAGTAACTCACACGGGAACGGTGCCGCAGATGAGTTGGCAAGGAGGGGCTCGGCAACCCCAACCTCTGGCCCAACCCCACTCCTGCCCATATCGTTTAACCAAATAAGATGCTGGGTCAGGCAACGGACCTGTGAAGCACACAACCGGAGGTGGAAAAACTCACCCGGCTGCAGACAGTCCAAACTGGTGCTGAATCAAGTCACGCCACGACTAACCTGCAGACTGATCAGTCTTAGCAGACCGGAAATCAGAATGGTTGTCGGAACTATTACAGGACATCTAGCCCTGAACCGACAACTATTCATAGTCAATGCGACGGACAGCCCCCTGTGCAGGGGGTGTCTGGAAGCTGAAGAAACGGCCGCCCACGTAGTCCTGGAATGCGAGGGAGTGGCCACACAACGGGCAAATATCATTCCTGATATAAAGTCGCTCCTAGAAGCCTGTGAACGCCCCAGGAGGCTTCTGCGCTTCTGGAAGGAGCTTGGCTGGCTCACCTAGTCAACCAATCCCCGACGCATAAAGGACCACTCTGAGTATAAATGCGGAAACCGAGGCCCACAACCAATACCAATACCAATATATGCTGTGTTGTTGGGTGTGACTTTACAGACAGACTCAGAACGATTTGTGGATTACACAAAGTGTTATTCCATGTGGGGATTGAACCCACAACACCTACCCAGTAGGAAATGGCGAGGTGATTGCCGAGACCAGTACTCTACTACAGTCAATTGAACTGCAGGCTAAGCACCTTCATTGCATTTAAAAATTATCTGGTTTTTTTGGTTTTTATTTTCACAACTAATTTTAACAATAATGTTTTACTCTTATTACAGAACACAAATTAGTTCCACCATTAAAGTTTATGACAGAGCCTGTAAAGTTGCTAGATGAGAATCTGGAGCTTAATAATGCTGCATTGGAATTCCTTCATGACTCTAGCACAAATTATTTAGTTGTTGGAATAATTGGTAACTAGATGCTACTAATTTTTATGAATATTAAATGTGTAAATGATGAGGTCTTATTGCCTTTGAGAACCCTGTCATAAAAGTGAATAATAGGGTACAAACAAATACTTTGCAGTAGAACTAAAACCACATGGTGGGTTTTAGTTGGTTTAATTCTAGCACACCACTTTTTGCAGCCCTTTTTAAGATATACAATTCCGTTGTACATTGTCTTGGTCTATCTCGTAAGGTTTAGTCAGCGTTTGCAATGTAAGTGCACAAAAACATGTTTTAACGACAAATCTTTGATTTTCTCTATTATAATATGCATGTATAATACATATAAACCTTCTTCTTGAATCATTCTTTCTCTATTGGTGAAAACCGCATTAAAATCCGTTGCTTAGTTTAAAAGATCTAAGCGCACAAAATAAAGCAACTTTATTTTATACTATGTAAAGAAGTATGGATATAATACTAGCTGTACCCTGTCATGCCTTGCTGTGACACATTGTCGTTGCATTAAGGGGAAATGCTGAACAAAACTGACGCAAAAAATAGATGAAAACAATCTTTGCTGGAAATATCATGTCAGAATTTTAGCTCAATCGGTGCAGAACTATTTGAGTTTTTGAAGTGTACACAAACCAACTTAACATTTTATGTATATAGATATGGCTTAAGACCACATAGCAGTGAATATAGTATTCACTGTTATGTGCTTAGGACTCCCCAAAATGGGTTCACCTGTTTTACTTTCCATACATAACTTCAACAACTTCGAAAAAGTGATTAAGTATTGCATTTTCCACAACAAAGTTGCGCGGGCTAGCTAGTATTAATATAAATTTAGAAAACTTATATCTATTAGACACTAGTTTTAATATGAACCATTATTGCAGGTAATCATTTCTTTATTTCCTTTTAGGCACTCAAGGCGTTGGGAAGTCCATGATTTTGAATTTGATTGCAAATAATATTCATGACGAAAATCTGTGCTCCCAAATACTTAACTCTTATGAAATAGTAGCTGACAATTTATATGAAGGTAATGAAGTTGTCGGATTAGAAAACCAATTAGAAGCCCTTGATTTTGCTGGGGTACCTGAACCGAAGCCGCAACCCGCTGCCAATAATGGAATTTTCAAGTTTAAAATGCAGGATATTGAACAAATTGAAAGAGGCGTACATTGTACAAAAGGTAAAGACGAAACTGTAATTTAGTGTTTTATTTATAGATTTGTTTATGTGTCTTACATGTAAATCTAAGTCGTAAGAGCCGACTGCGGGAGTAATCTACACAGGACAACAGCACTGCAAAGAGAAGGACCCTTTTTACCCTTTTTTTGTTTTGTTTTTTACGTGTGGAAATCCCCTCGGACCGTCACCCCACCGGGGTTTGCGGCGGGGTGATGTGTCGGACTCGAACCGACTAAAACCACACGGTGTGCCCTCTTTGCGCTTCCAGTTTAGGAGGGGTCCACGTAGTTATCGCCTTCTGGACCCCTCCTAGCGCCGGCCCTCTCCTATTGCGGGCCCCGTCTCAAAATTTTCCTCTCTTTATTTCCTCCGCCCGAGGACGTGCGCGAGTGGCGCGAAGCCGCTCGCCGAGCCACCATGGTCAGATGGTCGTTCCGGCTGGAGACTCCACGCGCTGGCTTCGCCGCCGTGGAGGCTCTCCAGCCGGTCATCGCCGAGTGGGCAGGGCGGCAGCACGGGACCCTTTCCTTCCGGCTGACGCAGGTGCTTTCCGGGCACGGTTGCTTCGGAAAGTACCTGCACTCGGTCGCTAGGAGGGAACTGAGTCCCGCCTGCCACCACTGCGACTGCAGTGAGGACTCGGCCCAGCACACGCTGGCGGTCTGCTCCGCATGGGCGGCGCAGTGCCGGGCCCTCACTGCAGTCATCGGAGCAGATCTCTCGCTACCGGCCGTAATTCGCTCCATGGCCGGTAGCGACATTTGTTTTACCGCGGTCGCAACCTTCTGCGAGGAGGTAATCTCGCAGAAGGAGGCGGCGGAGAAGGCCCGGGAGGACGACCTCCACTCGGACCTGATCCGCCGCCGGCGAACCGGGCGGCGGAGGCGCGCTTACCTGCGCCTCATGCCGCCCTGAGTGTGGCCGCGGGTGGGCGGGGTGGGTTTCCCCTCCACCCGCATTAGTTTGGCCAGCCGCGAGGGGGCGGCGTCCGCGTGTGCCGGACGTCGCCTAAAGAGAGGAAGGACTCAAACCCTATACCAACCCGTCTGGCCAGCATAGTATAGTAGGCCAAAACCTCCTTTCAATGTCCAGCAATGGACTGCACTAACAAGTGATGATGAAGATATAGATCTAACTTAAATAATTAACAACAAAACATGGTACAGTTAGAGTGTAAAAAAATTTGTATTGAGAAAATAAAGATTCACTAGGATGATCTTTTGGTCAGTGTCTGGTTGTAGTTTATTTATAATATGTATATATTTATTAATATATTAATATGTTTGTCAGCAGTCTAGTTACCATAGCACAGGGTATGTTTGGTTTGGGATCAGATGGTTGTGTGAAAGATGTCTCTAGTTATTTTATTTATTTAGATAGAGATTCTCAACCCTGTAACTAGGTTGTAATGTGTCTAGATTAAAGCTGCCTTTTTGCAATCTTTGCTTTTCAAATTATTTGGCCCCAGTAATTGCAATTCCTCAGTCACAATGTAATATGGACAGGTTCGACTTCGAACTCTTATTATGTGAGCACGTTAGGTATAAACGTGTAACAATGAAACATTCGCATTTATTATGTTATTTAGAATGGCGTAGGTAGTGCATTAAGGTGATTTTATTGATTCAACCATCCATCTATAGAATTTAGTACTTAAAACGTTTCCAAAAATATTTAATATGTTACTAGAATACGTGAAGAAAATAACATATCTGGTTATGGTATAGGTAATATGTATAGGTCCCCTCTCCCCCTTCTTTTTTAAAAAGACAACTCCTGCTTTAGGAAAATATCCTGTGTTGCGCGGAACTTTACAAACATACATGGAACGGACAAAAAGAACACCCAGACTCGGAACAATCATTTGTGGATCTGTTGTCCCATGTGGGGATCGAACTCACAATACTCAGCGCAGTAGGAAGCGGCGTGGCGACCTCTTAAACCACTACGCCATCCGTGCAGCCCTTTGAGTTCCCTCCCCCAGAATCAGAGGTTACATAAGTTGCTGCGAAACAGCCTTGCGTACAGCGCTGCCACAGAGTCGAACTTCAAATTCTGAGAGAATAGCACTGTTGGTCCTTTGTACCGAAGCATGGCTAAAAAAAGTAAAACCTATGTAGCGTCTAATCTCTTCTTAACAACATTTCAGGTATTGATATGTACATCACAAACGATCGCGTAATATTACTCGACTGTCAAGCTTTGTGGTCGCCATCTTTGATAGAAGAATCGAATACGACGATCACTGCCCGCAGTGCTAATGTAGTCACGGTCGACTGCCTTCAAATAGCCTCATATCTTATGGCTACTTGCCATGTGCTGATTGCTGTGCAGGATTGGTTTACGGATTACAATTTTCTAAGGTATCATAAGCTTTAGCACTCATTTTAAGACCGTAAGATTAGATAAGCAACAAACAGCGATTGGTTGCCATACGAACATCTGTGGCAATCGTTACCGGTAGTTGGAGCCCTAAAAAGTCCGACAACAGTCTTTTTACAGAACTTCGATATCGCTTAGTGGTTTGTGGAGGTCTGATGGCAGTCGCTCCACGTAAACAATCGAAGTTTAGACGTATCGCAGTACACTTAAAGCCGACCCAACCCTAGTTTGGAAAAACTAATACAGCATCGCCCAAGCCGCGCCCCAATATTTCTCCGGAAAACGTCATCGAGAGTCGAAACAAACTTGTGTCTGAAACTGAAACTTCCTTAGCGGAGGTTTCAGATAGCCCAAACATCTCCGATCGGCTCGATCCCTCAGCGTTACGTAGAGATGTGGCTTCACACTGCATTCTCTATCGCATATATCATGGAGAGTGCTCCGAGGAATTGTTCGGAGTAATACCGGCCGCAACTTTCCGCCATCGTTCCATAAGGCAAAATTTGCATCCCCATCACCTGGGTAGTTGGCGCTCCACTACTGTGCACTTTTTGCCTCGCACTACCAATCCGTGGAACGGGCTATCGTCTGCGGTAATTCCGGATCGATGCGATTTTCAAGAAAAGAGTGTACTCCTTCCTAAAAGGCCGGCAACGCGTTTGTGACTCCTGAGTTGCAGACGTTCGTGGGCGGCGATGGTCACTATCAGGTGACCCGTCTGCTCGTCTGCCCTCCAATATACTTAGGATTTTTTCGATATTATTGCTGATTACGGCTTCCTCAATATTACTATGTTTTATTTACGAACATCCCCATGTAACCCCTAGGTACATTCAAGCAGCAGAAATGTTGAAACCATCGTTGTCAGCCTCTAACACGATAGCGAATAATCAAGAAGGATCAGAGTCCACGGGTGGAGGAGAGAGTCATCCGCACTTGTTGCTATTACATAACAGATGCCAGCTTGAGGACTTCACTCCAGAGGCTGTGGCGACTATGCAAGATCTTTATAGGTGAGTAACGTCTTTGTGTAAATGACATACACCCTTCAGCAAACGTTGTCTTTCTTTGTTATACGAACGCGCGAAGTTTTAAAATAACATTGGATTACTCTTAGAAGGTTGACGACCAATCAATTAATCATTGATTACACAAAATATAATAATTATAAAATAAATGTTATGGACATACTTTAGATAAGATCACGTTTTAATGTGTGTGTTTGACAAAGTTCATCTGAGGTATATCTGTTGCCATCGGCATTTTCATATTATTAAGAGACTATATTATTTATTATTAAGAGATTCAACTATTGGGCTATATGTTTATTAAAAAAAAAATCGTTTCTTTTGTGTCTTCTAATCAAAAATGTATCAAATATTACAGGTCAAAGTGTAGCCACGGTTATCTAGTATTTCTACTAAATTATAGTCAATATTTAGTAGACTCATTGAAATTTTGCAGAAATTTTCCTTAGGTGACGTAGGTGTGTGTGCATTAAGAAAGAATTTTTAAAAATTCTACACTCAACGGTGAAAAATGGGGGTTGGCTGTTTTTATAAAACTTCGTTATTTTGGGCAGTAGCGTAATTAGTAACTCACAGCAAATACTCTTTATTTAAATGCATGAAAAACGTTGTTACTAATTTTTCAAAATTTCCCTTAAAGCGGGGCGCAAGTTTGTATGGGATTATACATTTACCTATAATCTTGATTCATTGTATCCTCTATGTGTCATGTCGATGAAGTCGAGGCCAAAAGAAATTAAATCCATAATATAACCTGGTCGAAATTATACAGAGTAAGGTCGATGTATTACAATTTATCATCTTACCACAATACCATGCAAACAAAAGTATTCTATTTTTTTTCTAAATTTGTTAATTATATACTGAGACATAATTTACTTTCCTCTTTTAAGTATGTTGTTATATGAATAGTGCAACAGTTAAAACGCAAATACGTAGTAGTAATCTTACTACGTAGATTAGTCTAACCGTGCACATGCAGAGATACGATATTTTATAGTTGAGTAAAATTTAAGTTCTCAACCATAAGGAATTAAAAATGTTTTTTTTTATTGCAGGCAAGCATTTCAAAAATCGAATCTTCAACTGAACTCAGGCATGTACATGTACAGCGATACAAATAAGAATGGTCTAAATGTGGACAGCGTTTGCAAAGGCTATAATGTGGAGAGTTGTGGCATGCCCATTAATCTGTTTCTTCTGCCGGAGATATATAGTGATTTTGGTGAGTTGAAAGTTACATTTACCGTAAAACAGTTAAACGTACTTATTCATAGCCATTGGTATTTTATAGTTCAAAAAGGAAAAGTGAGGACGTGTGACTGCACGGATGGCGTAGTGGTTTAAGCGGTCATCCACGGCTTCCAACTGCGCTGAGTGTTGTGGGTTCGAACCCCACATAGGACAATACTTTGTGATTTACAAATTGTTGTTCTGAGTCTGGTTGTTCATTGTGTCCGTTTTATTAAATGTTTGTAGAAACCTCTGCGACACAGGATATATTCCTAGTGTGGGAGTTATCTTTTAAAATGAAAAAAAGAGGAAATAACCTAAACTGTAGTAGTCTGTAGTAGTAAATGATCATATACCATAAACGCTGGCAATACTCATCTTTGATCCAGTCCTTTGCCCCATGAACTAAAAGTAACAGTTCTTTAGTTGCAGTTTTCTGTAGGGTGAAGTTTCTTAGCGGGGCCAGTTTCCGAAATTGTGGAAGACGGGGAAACTGGTCCTCATCCGAAAGAAGGGGCGCCCGGCGGAATCACCATCCGCCTATCGGCCCATAGTGTTGCTTTACGTGCAAACTCTTTAAAAGAGTGATTGCAAGGCGCCTCGTCAAGCATCTCGCCATAGTGGGGCCGAATTTGGTGGACAACCAACGACGGTTTCCGTCAGGGGCGCTCCACCGTAAATGCGATCATGCGCGTGAGGGCTCTGCGGAGGAAGTGGTTTCCCGGGGCGAAGTGATGTTGACAGTTGATGTACCACCACTGCGATGGCCGGACCGTGAACATGTAGCGGTAACAATACCGACGTAAATACCCGGAAATCCTAGGGGATTTCTCACAGAAAAAAAAGGTTGAAGTTCCTTAACGAAATATTTCCGCTTACAAATGTTAAGTAAATTATGAGTATAACGACTATATTTATTTACAAAAATGATGAATATTTTACATTTATTTAAACTGCTGCTGCCCTGTAATGTAATGTTCTGTAGTATCATTTAAGTTTGTAGAGTGATAGTTATCATCTTTAATGAGATATGAGATATAATAAGATATGAGTTGCAATAGTAACTATGTAAATATTTTTCAAATCACGGCCAGTGACGTCATTTGGGAAATAAAAAAGTTAAAATTGTGTAGCTCTATAGGTGTCGACAGTAGTTAAGTATGCAAAAATTTCCTTTGTGTTCCTTTGTGTCATATTTTCAATCTGGCGTTAAAATTTGGACATTAACCACCCCAATGGAAACTATCAAGGGTACCCCCGATACCAAAGAGTTCTGAAAAGTCTAAGGTTGAGGAATACATGTGATGACTAATAATAATACTCGTAAGATCAAGTTTTTAATAAGTTTAGGATTATATCTACAACATAGCAGCAAAAATAGTTACGAGAAATATAGTATACCCCTTGTACACAAGGGGCGCAACAACCCTCAAAAGGGGTGTCCAAAATATTGTTTATGAAGACTAAAAAAAGGTGATCAAAACACTTTATTGACATATTTCAAAGTATTTTGAAGGCTTACTAATTGGTATTACGTTAAACTTTTACGAGGAACAACATTTTAATTACAATTTATTTTGATTCACATTTTTACTAAAATTATACAAACCAAAAAAAATGCCAGACAGTCTTTCTAAAATTGTTTACATTTATGAATTCTTTAGCTAACTCTACAATAGCTAATACATATAATAGTTGCTTATGATTCATAATTTCTGAGTCAGACATGTATGCAAAACTGAATGATTTTAAGAAGCATTCAGATAAACTAAAAAACATAGCTAAAAGTGAATTAATTTAAAAAAATAAGCAAATGACATTATTCACAGGACCAGGTAGGATTTGTAAGCCTTTAGCAAGAGTTGAGTGTACCTTAGCTTTGTATATTGCAACACGACTGCAGCTATGTATTCGTGGTTAAATGCGAACTTATTTACATTTTCCGATTAGCGACTTTTAGCGGATTTTAGGGGAACGGTTTTTTATCTAATCTAGTGGAATTTTAGAAACCAGCTAGCGAGTTTTATTTTTGCTAATGGCAGCACTGCTTATGATACAAGCAGGCAAGCAGTTATTCCTACGTAACGGACTCCTCGGCGCATCATCTTCGAGCTCCCTGGGCTATGTGGGGTAATAATAGCTGCTTAGGGTATAGGACATCCTGGGTTATGCTGAGATAGGTGCTTGCCCGTCTGTTCAACAGACTCCTCGGCGCATCGTTTTCTGGGTTACGTGGGAATATATGGACACCCCCCGTTGTTGCGCCCCTGTAATTCGGTATCGCAGTATTCACGATCATTTCTAACAAAACCCAATAAATTATAGCATAAAATAATTTTTGTTTTTACTTTCTTTGTGTAACTGTCCTTATATCATAAGACTTGTACAAACTGTACTATTAAAAATGTCTTTTGTACAATAAAGAGTTATATTTTATGGAGAAGTAACTAAAGCTTCAAAACCACACGTGAATGAACAACCTATGTGGTATTTGTTTATTAAATTAAAGCTAGGCAGTAGGAAAGTGCTGAAAAACTGAACTGAGTTTGCGGAGTTACCGAAAACCATTCTTGTTTCACTGAAGGAAATTGAAGTAGGACTGACAATCTCCTCACCAAACCATCCAAGATAATTAAATCAAAATTAGATCAGTAGTTTAGGCGTGAAATAGACACTTAGCTATAATGTATGTAAACATAGTAAGTTGTAAACGTACGTAGTTTTAAACATAGATGCAGACAATAGACGAACGCGGTTATTTTTTCGTTTTATAACATAAGCATAGATTTGGATAGATTTATAATCTAATCTTGAAATTATTATCAACTGTAATTTATTGAGCAACACTGCACGTGTGTAATATATATTTTCACTATTAGATAACATTTTAATACAATATCTATTTGCAAAAAAATGCAACTAATGACTTAATGAAAACGAATTAGTAGTAGATTATGAGTCAAGCGTCTGAAGCACGGTATAATTATAATACAGTATTGTAACTCGGCCGCATGATAGAAATAAATGCCTACTGCCGCGCGGTACGTAAACATGCGTTAGGGCTGCCCGTTGCCAGTATTTTAATTATATTTGCCTACTTTCTGTTTCTATTTAGATTTGTGATTGTAAATATCCTTTTTATATAAATAAATGAAATACTTTGAATATTGAATAGGAAGTGTTCAATAAAAATGCGTGTTGTTTTTTGATTGGTAGATTTAATTATTTTATTTTATTTTCTTTCTGCATTGGAGGAGTTCAAGTTTCAATTTTCTTTTTCTTGGAGTGTTGCTAGAGAGACTCGTTAAGTTTTGAGCAAAGATTTTATTTGTTGCATTTTCAGTCTGTGTACTATTTTCATTTCCTACCAACGGAGCAGTTTGGGTTTGTTTATCTTCTTTTAGAGAGACTCCTGGATCAGTACTAGCTTAGCTTGGCAGCATCAACAATTTTAGGGCATTCTTTTTAAAAAGTTTTCTATTTGATGAATGTAATACATCCTCCAAATTAAAATGTTTTTCACAAACTTGGTAGGAACTAAAGTTAGGTTTGTTTTCCAAATCATCTCGCCGGATCAGTTGCAACCATTGAAGACGTCTGAAAAAAAAATACATGTGGCACTCTCGGAGACTGCCGCGGTAAAGTTATTGCATAACATTTTTTTTGTAAAGAAAAAAATCTGCGTGGTGACAGGTATTTTTCGTTAGGTTTTGAGAATTTCTTGATTCAATAGCTTAAAAATCCTTCTTTAGAATAAAAAAAATGTGCTTTCTCCTTACGCGTTACAAAACTCCAATCCTTAGAAACTCCAACACCTACCTACCTACTCAATTAGAATGCAAGAAACAGCTGACGAGTAAGTAACTTTTTATCTCAGCTTATTAACGTCTCTATAAATTAGGTACCTACCTACAACTCGCAACAACTCAAAACAAAAATTCTTTGGTCAAAAAATTAATTAATTATTAAAAAGCTGAACAGCTGACTACGAATGTTTTAAAATCACAACCCTCAAACATCTAAATATTATATATGAGTCTAGCTGTTGTTGTTAATACCGAGAAAATAAAACCAGTTTTTAGTGGTATATGTTGTTATAGTAGCAGCAGAAACACTTTGTGAAAATTTCGAAAACTATCTAATGACACACAGACGGTAAAAAAAAAATCTAGTATTATTCATACACACAGATAATAAACAAATATTATTAATAATAAAATACAACGTCTTTACTTTGAATTATGCAAACACCGAATTATGCACCGAAGTTTAAACACAAGCGTAAGTAGGTACCGTATCATGATTCATTCAGAACCGCATATAACTACCTATTTCACTCGTCTCAATAACTTTCCGTTACTCTATTCGCTTTATTTATTAATCCAAACACCTTTTTTTCGTGAGATAAAAGGAAATACTTATCCATTAAAAAGACACACATGTACGTACCTACTAGTAAGTAAAATTATTTTATAGTCTTACCTTTCAGAGTTTCTAGGTAATTTAAAAAAACTTATGTCTGGATGCGTTATTGACGAATTCATACATCCAAAAACAGCACAATATTTCCTACTCGTCATATTAACTGAATTTAGAGAAAAAATTGCGCGGTTATTGTTAAAAAAACAACACACCGTCCATTCGACACTGCGGCACAGCCGTGACTGTCTGCGCCCCGAGCGCACCCCGAGATCGAGGCGCGTAGGTATAGCTCGCGTTTCGTCCGTTTGTATGAAGTTGGAGTACTGTATTATAATAGTACCGTGTCTGAAGTGTAGGCTACACATTCAGAAGTATACAGATATGTATAATACTTACCTAGTTCGAGTTGAACAGATTTCTACTACTTTACTAAAGTCTCATTACGGTTCTTATGATTTTCAGAATACTCTTGTCTAATTAACAGAAATCAAAACCCCTATCACATTCTTCTATTAAAAAATGAAGAATTATACATCTAGTATGCCATAACGTCGCGAACATTAATGAATGGGTATAAGAATATTTAATTTATCTAAAGTTTGCGGCCTCATGATTTAATCACTTTCAACGACTCCAAAGAACTCAAATATTGCAAATCAATAAAATATATTTTAATTTACCTATAGAAGTAGGTAACAATGCAGCTCACAGCTAAGAATGTTTATCCAAACACGTAACGTCCCTAAACATGCCTACCATGTTGTTATACTAATAATTGTTTATAGTACTTTTGATTACGAAGTCAACTCTATCTGCCCAACGAGAAAAAACCCTCGTTACCACTTGTGGTAAAAAAATACAAAAATTGAACTGTGTGAAAACTCCAAGTTCGATTCATTACACTAAGCAGACTTGTTGGTTTTATTGAAAGTATACCAGTGTATAGAACTATAGTAGTAGGCGTGAGGGTCAGACCGTCTATTGACACTCAACATAAAAGTCTCAATGTGAAATACAGTAGAATCCGTTTATTATGACTCCGCCTATATTCACCAACCGCTTATTATGAAGTAATTACATAGCGAGTTTGGTTTTCATAAAAATTTCTTGAGAACTAAGTCGGATATAATAGGACAGAGTGTATAGTGACATGTTGCTTATTGTGTGTTGTCTTAGTCCGTGTGGTGACGGATTAAGAATACAAATTGTCACCGGGTGGTGACAATTTGTATTCTTAATCCGTAAGAGCCGACTAAGGGAGCAAACTAAGCAGGACAACAGCACTGCAAAGAGAAGGAAAACTTGAAACAAACCCTATACCAACCCGTCTGGCCAGCGTGGTATAGTAGGCCAAAACCTCCTTTCTGAGGAGGTTTTGTTAAGTGTTCGGGAGAGTCACGTGATACCCGACGAAGTTCGGCGCGTGCATGGCTTTTTTTGTTTTGAGTCTCAGTGGATAATAGATAGTTGAAGGTCACGCATTGTTCGTTAGTGATTTGTGAAAAAAATTAAATCTCAACGTCGTAAAGCATTTACGATTGAAGAGAAAGGGGGAATAATATGCAAATTAGAAAATGAAGAATTCAACTCATCTCTTGCAAAGACGCTTGATTTAGTTATTTTTGTCAATTTTGTTTCCCTCTATTAAAATAAATACATACTGACAAAAACAGGAGATTGTTTATTTTCTACAAAATGCTTTGTATGACGTCCGCTTAGTATGACGTGTTTGTTATTTCCCTACGATGTCATTATAAACTGATTCCAATGTACTTGCATTTTGTTTGGTTCATTTATTTGTAAATTACCAGTCTAATTAACTGCCTCAATTACTGTTTCTGTTTCCTTGAAATTCTATCCTTTACTCATTCTAAATGTATTTACAGAAAATCGTGAAATCTACCGCGGACACCCTCCATTTGAGCAACTCGCAAAACGTTTACGATGGATGATACTCGGTGTCAACAGACATCAAATCACCAATGTACCAAATTTATCCGAAAGAGGTTGGTTCCACTACTGCAGCAAGGCCTGGGAGACTATAAGAAAGTGCACATTCTTCATGGAGTACGAGAGGTTCTTACCTTGAACACGTTAATCGTGCATGATAAGGGCTAAGACCAATAATCTTTAAACCTATAGATAACTCACACCTGCGCGTTATCTAATGATAAAACGATTAATCACAGAAATATTTAATTCTGCTAAATAATTTATACATAGTTATTGGTAACCGGATAATAAACGTTTTCAACAAAGTTGTATTTTCATTATCATTGATAAACACTTTCAATTAATGGCTTTCGCCTTTGTTCAGGTGGTTTGTAAGCGTGCTGATAAACGCTTGCCAAACGCCAGTGTTCGGGATAACCACTTGCGTTCGCGTCCCGCCAAATACTGAAAGGAGGGGCCAACGTCGGTATTGTATATGATTTCTTGGTGTAAGGATGTCGCATTTTTGGCATCTTTACTCCTTTTGAATCAGTGGAACCAGTCACGCTATGCACTGAATTAGGATTACCGGCTTTAAAAGCAAATTTGTAGTCCTCCTTTTGTTTCATATCTTGTGGCATTTTTATCCCATTACAAGACACGCAATTCTTGTGTTTAATATTTGATGAATCGTCTTTAGTCGAACGTCGTGACAACTGCTGAGATTCATTGGGCGAGCTTTGGCGTAGTTTCCCTTGAGCAAGTGGTGTCTTCTCGTAGGATTCTAAGCTATGACGGTTGCGGCCGGTATGGTGATTGCTGTTATTCTTCATTTTGTTACTCCAGGCATCCTTTATGGGCTGTAACTTATCGGGTCTTATATCATCTTGATTCGACTTATGACTTATCTCACTTGGTGTACCGCACCCGTGAATACCGTCACAGTCTGGCTTTTTTAATGACTGACTAGAACTCTTCCTGCTTGATCCAGAACTGGAAGATTTTTCTTTCGCACTCGTATGTTGAGGACAATATTGAACGTCACACGAATCCCGTCTTTTATCCTTCGTAATATCTTTTTCAAAATATGGTACAGGGTGATGCCCAATATCTCCAACCACCCGATTTTGATTAAAAATAGGATTTGCGTGACCGATTGGGTTACTGTCGATTTCTTCCTTCGGTGTATGTACCATGGTAAAAACAGCTGGAGCCTTTGATCCGTTTGAACCGTCAATATGTTTCGGTGGTTTTAGGTTCAATTTTAGGATCGTCTGGTCTAAAGTCCCAACAAATTGCCAGGTCCATCAGGCTCATGGGCTTCTTACATTGACCACCTAAATCTGGAGCAGACGTAACAGGCCTGTGAGTATTGTCTTTATCACCATCAGATTTTTTTGGGTCACAAGTTTTTGGTCGGTGAACGCGCATCTTCGTGCAACACGTCGGACCAGATGCGCCGTAACCTTTCCAGCCGATAGCATACGGTTTTACAATGATATCTGAATCACGATGTTCTGCAATCTTTGTCATATTCCGGTATCCTAAAGTATCGGGTAAAGGCTGATGCTCCAGATTTCCGACGTGCATTTTTTTGGCAAACTGAAAGTTATGAGCGACATTTACGTAAGGTAATTTCGGTGTTCCACTAGTTCTCGTGTCTCTCATATTCTGTTTACGAATCTGGTCATTTTTCTTTGCATTTTCAGCTACTTTTCTCCAAAATGTATCTGTATCTTCCTCCTGTGGACCGTGCAACTTTTCTACAGCGTCTTTTACTAAAATATAACTATTTTCGTGTCTTTTATCAGGGTCGGTCAACGCACCTGGAATGTAAGGACTACGGCCGTCTGCATCTACAGGTTCTTTCTTTACTTTTAAATCCAAAGGATCATCATCCTTGTATCCTTCGCTATTTTGATCTTGATTATTTTGCAATTCTTCAGTCTCAGATTGTTTTTGATCCTTAATAGAATTATTTATAGTTTCCTTTATTGCACAGACATGTAAAAAAATTAACAACAAATTTGTAAACCTGTAGAACATTAACAGATTCGAGTTCTCTAAAGAATGTGAAAATTCTATTAAGAGTGCTGTTGAAGGGTAAGCGTAATTTTTTTCTTTGGCTTATTGTGAATCAGGCAATGGCGTGGCTGTAATAAAAGAAACGAATACTTAAAATTCTATAAATATGCGGAAAAAACAAGGATCAAGCAATACTGTTTTGTACTTAAAAAACTGAATTAGGTGTCTTAAATATTTATGCTATTTACTGGTGTCGACCTTTAAGGTGTTTTCTAATCTACTCTAAGCTTAAAAATCTAATAAGACAAAGACGCATAAGTAAAACATGAGCTAGAAGCATGAGTCCGCAGAAAAATTTATACAATATATATAAGCACTGATATATTATTTTACAAAACGTATGCCTCGAAAGTAAAATCAGTTTGAGTTAAATAAAATACACACATCAGGAAGTCTAAGCAACATGTACGGTTTCGAACGATTTTTACTATTGTAACATATTTATATTTCGTTTATAAATAATTACTAAGCATTATTTGAGGCCTAAGTGTCTAAAACAACAAATCCTTCCTTAAATTGTTCATTTAATCACAATAATTAACAATATGTCCACCGTGACATACGTAGTACAAAATAAAGTTAAAACGAAATTAAACTTTCTATGTTTTACAAAATTAAATTAAAAATTTAAATTATTTGGTAATTAAATAAAAGTGTCTTTGTTATTTAAAACTCGCCGGTAACGATTTTTCATTAAATCTATAAGATTGTTTATCAATCAATGGCAATAGCTCCCAATGGAATTTTAACAAGTCTTTCAGTTGTTGGGTTGTCGATACCCCGTGCAGGTACGTCTCTAGAACACGTCTCTGTAGCATGTCCCATGCGTGCTCGATAGGTCTGAGGTCTGGAGATTGTGAAGACCACGGCAATACACAATAAAATTTTATCCCATTGCTCCTGGGTCCATGTCAAGTGCTGCCTACACCATTCGTTGCGACCTATGGGCGTCATGCTCATAGGCCGTATTCATGCAGCCTATTTCGCAGTTTGGTGGCTAAAAACAACACCGCTTGAGAATTGTAGCTTTAAACCTATCTCCCGGGCGGTTAACATCGGCTTACGTCTTGCAGCCAATTGTACCTATGTATTGGTCCTGTCGAATAGTGGTACTCCTTCCACGTCCTGAGTGCTGCTCAGCAGGATCCCCTGTATTAAGATAACGCTGCCAAAGACGATAAATCACGCTCCTATTGACCTTGTAGCAAACCTACAGCTCTGTATTTTATCAGCAGTCAAATGGCGCCGCTACATGACATGAAAAATTAATCACCACAAAAAAAAAACTATCTCGAAATGATGAAAGTGAGAAATACTAATACCATAGATGATGCTTAGAAGTTTTTGATGTGTGTATTATCACAAAACAGTTCTCCTAGCTACATTCTAAAAGTACCTAAACGTTTACGTACGTCGTAACTTTCTAGACGATTCACTATATCACGCTACTCCAAACAAACAAGAACACGTTTGGCGCGCTATGGTGTCGCGACAGTAACACATGAGACCTCATTCACTCACTTGGAACGTCTGCTGTGACTGTGATTCAACCGCTGCCTCTACTTTCTTAGCTTTGGCGCGTTTTCCACCGCGCATGCGTTCCGAAGTTATCGCTTTAGGTCTTTGGACACGAAGATTCAACCAATCTGGAAATCTTCCATCTGGCGGCTCTTTCGCTAGTTCCTGGGCTGGAATGAGACAAAGGCATATTCTGTCAACACTGTATATCTCGCTAAATATAGCCTCACATCAATTGCGTGTAAAACATTTCCTGAATGGGGTTTTAAAAAATAATACGTCAAATCGCGTGCACCAGTATTAATAGGGAATCGATTTTAACCAAAATCCATATTTATGCGGTCATTGAACAAATCAGAAGTTGCCAAATATTCCAAAGAGGAATCATTATCTACCTTAACTACAGCGTAACACGATATTTTTGTAAGGTAGGAAGTATCTTGCGTGTATGTTGCCAAATGAGGGAGCTTTATAAGTTTTAGCAAGGACAAAGAGTACCTAATGACACAATTTATCAGAATATCAACGATGTTTTATTAGTCGAGTACGCATCTACTCACCTACTTGACGAGTTATTTTCTTTGGAAGATCCCAAGTTCCAGTGTAGTGACCGAAACATCGAGACGATCCTCTAGGAGCACCAGGTAGGAAATGTCCGTTGAGATCACATATTGGTTTTGGGTCTGGCCGATATTCTAATGGTCGAGCGCGTGTTGGCGACCATCGCGGGACCTGCCAATTTCCCAACCGTTTCGGTGTTGATTCTCTGAAGAACTGTGAAAATAGTTTTTAGCTTTAGTACAAACTTATAAAGATTTTCACTACCCTATGAATGCAATAATACATGGTGTCGTAATTATGGGAGTGGTAGAAACAATATTTTATTTGGCAATGTAATGATGATCATCTGATGACGTATGACACGTGCCGAAATGGAGTAGGCACGTGGCCTACCACATTTTAATTTGGAATTTATAATTATTCTTGACTTTTTTATACCATGCTGAATTCTACTTCACGCTAAAGATAAGTGCTTTTGTATAAAACATGTCATTATCATTTAGGTGCACACATTCAGAAACTTTAGAAATATGATTTTAAAGTGTAACAATAGGGTTGCACTAGTGTCCCATTGATCAGGTGTCAAATCACCCCCCGTCGAGCAGGGCGTTATAATAATCATCCCCTCGACAAAGGGTTGCAAATTGTTATTTACCCCATACATCACTCTCATTTGACTAAATTATAAATGCTCGCCATAATTTAGACTTATCTTGTCAAGTTTATAGCTTACTACAAACATTGTAGCTATGTATCTCTTCCCACTTAGTGTCTTCTGTTGCAAGTTGTCTTAAGAACTGCTTTCTTATTTCATAATATTTGTTTTTAGTATAGGTAAATTAAACTTAAGTTACATTCCGTTACTTACCATCTGCTGCACACAAAATGCAAAATGCAAAATTAAAAGCCTTTACTGCAAGATCCACAAAAAATGTCTACTTACAGATTGTTTTTGATTGTTTACAATTTAGAATGTAAATTTATCCAAATTTATTCCGAAATATGTAGTTGCCGATTGTCATTCTGATAAAGAGTTTCACTTCTTTAGACTTTAGATAGCTATTAAATTCAAATATCGTTGTGAAAAATGGTACGTAACTTTGAATCATGAAAATGACAACTAAAACTTCAGCTCTGTCAACTCACTCAACTCTCAGCAGCTGTCAGGTAACCATGTTATTACTATACCTAGGGCACTATGTAAAATGCAAATCGATGACAATATCGATTAACATGTTACACTGATAAATACATGACTTACATGACTATACATATATTCTAGTGCATTTACTAAGATTTGGATCTAAACACATTTCGAAAATAATCTTATAAGAAGCCTAATTCTCAAACATCACTCACTTGTGATGGGGAACACACAGGTGATAGCTGTTACATCTACACTGTCATTCAGAATCTTCGATATAATTGACCAATTGCAGCTGATCCATCGCTAAAACTTTTCTTAATAATCTGTCTGTCTATCATTGGTCTGCCTTGTTGGTGCAGTAGCGTATGCGAATGTCTTGGGTTAATTCCCAATTGTTTTTATGATCTGCAAATATTTGTTTCGAAGTTTGGGTGTTTTTTATGTATTTAAAAAAAAATATATTCTATCAGTTAATCTAGCTTTTAGAGTACAAGCTCTGCTTAGTTTGAAACTAGATGGCGTTGTGTATGTTAGATGTCTGAACTATTTAATAATTAGACTCGACTCCAAAGTCAGTTTTATAATCTCACACACAAAACAGTATGCAATAAATTATTGTACCAGACTCGTTTTTCCCAAACTAGTATTAAAACGTCTAATAAAATAACTATGCACTGAAATCATTTAAAGGTCATATTCAAACTTATAAAGTGTGAAATGTGGACGTAAAAATCGAAAATGGTGTGATAGTATTGCATGACTACATTCTGCCAATTTATATACCACTAAGGAATAGGTGCCCGACGGTCGGTTGCCCAAGTCGTTCCTTCCACTCCTCTACGAGATTTCTGGTCCTCGATTTCTCGAGTCTGAGGATTCCGACCAAACTCCCGCGCGTCCATGCGCCACTGATACAGAGTCGCAAGGGCTCTCGCCTCCAGGTCCCACAGTGGAGTTCCGGCCAAGAGACTTGCCGCCTCAAAGGAGATCGTGCGGTACCCCCTTCTGACCCTGTCGCAATAGTGCGACGTTGTTGGCCGTCAGAGGTTGACCACCCTAGTAACGACTTTCGTCTTTCATAACAAATATACACCTACATACGTAGATAGTACTGGGTACTTTTTTGTTGCCAGGAAACCGTAGCACGAACCATTTATGCCATCGCATAAACTAGAAATGAAGTTTAAAATAATTAAATAGATTGGCTTATAGCGTGCTACATAAACGACATCCATTAATTCAAAGCGCCCCTGAACTTGATCATTAGTTAAGCCCAAAGTCTCCATCATACAAAGACCTATTCAACACAGTTACCCAATTAATGTTTTTCTTTCGATACCTATATCACGGCATGATTATCATAGTAGTCTAAAAATAGAACTTATATTAAAGAAGAAGCCAGTGCGTGATTTCAGTGCAATTCTACTACAAACTTATTTTTATAATTTTCTAAAGGTACGGGCAGGTTTCTACGAGAGTATGTGATAAAACATCGCGTTTTGGTTCCCTTACTAAGTTCAAGCGTCACGTGGAATTATTGCATTTAAAAGATTTGATAATAGAATGAATAAAAGTTATGTAATATTTCCACTTTCAGCGGTGAGAAAAGCTTCTACAGGTTTTTTAAAATGCAAACTGCTAATTCGACAAATCGCCATTTCGAGATACCCCAGCGTATTAGATTTTATACAGACGGTTCAGGGTGATGTTCCTCTTATACTTACTAAAAATCTGACGTTAATTTTGCAGGATATTTTAAATCTAACGGTTAATCGTATTTTTTATTTCTTTATTTTGTATGAAATGTGACAAAAAAAGAAAAAAAAAAGCCCACGAAAATTATGAAGACATTAAAATTACGAAAATTATGTAGACATTTAAAGATTTCTTGCCTTGCTTGCTTCAAAATAAAATAAAAATGACAATTATCATGTGTTTTATTTTTGGAGCTTTGTGACCCTCTCACTGTTTTATGTCACACTCAAATCGTCTGATTTTTTTAAATAAACACTAATGTGTATGTAATTGACTCATCTCACCTTAATCTTACACGCTCAAGTATTTCTGGCCATGGATTTTTTTTACTAATCTGGACGATCCGCCCTACGTGTAGGGCTCAGGTATGGTGAAGGTACTCAACTGGGTGTAAGGTATTCCTCTTTATGTTAATCTGCCACGCTCGAATTAATCCCAAAATCCCTTCTAGGGCTCCCCTACTATAAGCAATCTAGGCCATGGAGCACCTGATGTTAAGTAATTAACGTCGCCCATGGACACCTGCAACTCAAGAGTCACAAGTGTGTTACTGTGCGTTGCCGCGTTTCGAGTCCGCTCCGGTTCAGAATCAGCCAGAGGAGAGAGGTGAAGCCGAGGTATCACTCTGGTCAAGCCGGAACCTTTTTTTATTTTCGCAGGGGACTTTACAAACGCACATGAAATGGACACAAAGAAAACCCAGACTTAGAATAGCAATTTGTGAATCACACAAAGTGTCGTCCCATGTGAGGATCAAACCCACAACTAAAAATTTAAGAACAACACTCGGCGTAGTAGGAAGCGGTGTGGCGACCGCTTGAAACACTACGCCATCCGTGCAGTCAAATCCGCCCCACGTGGGAAAATCTCCCACGAACAAACTGATAGACAGATTAAAACAGTGAAATCTTAGATTAAATGGCGTTTTTAAACCCAAAATTACGCATTGCTTCGAGTACGGCTTTTAAACATACTGTTTTTTTTTTTGTAAATAAATATGTACATACTATACATAGATACACTCAGATAAATGAAATGGAATCGGTGACCAGACTGACCAGTAATCGAATTCTAGACTACTGACGTAGGGATTACTACATCGCCACAGACGTTTTTCAAAGTACCTATTAATAAAATAATAATATAAGTAAGCCAAATTTTGCAATGCTATTACAATCGCATCAATCACAAATGTCCAAACTTAGGAAACCATTGCGTATTTCCAATGATAATTTCCATATTATTCGCATTCAAAATAACATTGCCTATAAAACAATAAAAGTTTCCAAGACACGAAGGTCCTTACTCATTTGCATAGTTTTCTAAAAAAGTTACATTTCGATTGATTTCTTATTCTTGTGATATTTTTTAATCACAAAATTAAACTTAATAGCTTAAACTTCAAATAAGTCGTTTTAGTGAGAACTACAATGCAATCTAGTTTTTAAATATACGTCAGTGTTTCGAATGTTGATCACAGAAAACGAAATTTTTATTGATGTGAACGGATGTACAATCTTGCTTGCATCTACCCTGACCAACGGCTAGGACAAACATCATCATCATCAACAGCCTTCACTAGTCCACTGCTGGACATTGGCCTCTCCTTAGAAAGGAGGTTTTGGGAGACTACACCACGCTGACCAGACGGGTTGGTATAGGGTTTGTGTCAAGTTTTCCTTCTCTGTGCAATGCTGTTGTCCTGCGTAGTTTGCTCCCTTAGTCGCCTTTTACGACAACCACGGGATGAATAGGGATGGTGACACTATGTATTTTTAATCCGTCACCACACGGATAGGACAAACGCTGACTCCTAAATAGGTATTCATTTTATTATTCGTATATGGTTCATAAATTGATCACGGAAGGACCTTCATCAATTACCTACGTAAGGACGGTACATACCTTTTGCAAGACTGTATTTAGTGGTTCATAATTATTTTTAACCATTTATTTTCAGTAGAGTACTAACTACATAAATAAATCTCCGTCGCTCATTCCATTCAAACTTTGTAACTTTGATAAATGTTTTCTACTGAAATAGACCACCATTTTAAGTTGTAAAACCTAAGGTCGATTCGCGACTATTGAAGGGGTGGCTTCTGTTTCAAAAGTAGGGGCAAAACACGAAGCCTGGCAGGTTTCCGCTGGGGCACGCATCTAGTTGAAGACTTGTCAGTAAATAATCTATAGACTTCACATATTACATAGTAAATCTGTATTACTCCTAATATGTGAGAAAGGATTACATATTTTGAGTATTCAAGTCAAACAAGAAATTGTATATAGTACATATTCCCATGGTTGTTCTTCATAGAAACTAATCCAAACAATAGTTTGTCAAATCTTTACCTACTATTTGTTTTGATTACTTTGCTTGAAGCTTGACTTCAGATGTAAAGATATATCCCTAACTAAATAATTTAAGAACTTTCTCGTAATTTATTTCTGTAACATCAAATTGTAAACAAAAGTAAATTTATACTCATTTTTCATTTGTGTCGCTAAAATGTAATCCTTGTATTATAGTAGCAAAACAATACAAAAGAATTGTTTATGGCAAACACACGAGAGCTATTAACTAAGGACTACCAGCACGATGTGTCAAACACGGATTAACACAGCATACAATGACGTAAAAAATTGTCATTCTCTCGCAAATAAAAAAATCACCCCCTTTCTCAATGACCCTCGGTCACGACACTTAAATATGTTAGATTTTAAACTCTATGCTCTCAAAAATAAAATCTTTTTTTCGACTAAGGTGTGCTAGTCTATAGATGTTTGCCATGTAATTGGATGTATCTAACTTGGATTAAAGGAATTACAATTTGTAAGTAAGTAAAAAACGCTCTGCGTTATCCAATACTAGGGGAACGTAATGGGTGTTGCAGGTGCACTCGTAATAGAATATATGGGATTACTACGTTAAATCAACTGGACAAGATGATTTGTGGCATAAACAGTCAATTTACTTGTAAATTGCGTATTTTACTGGCAATCTGCTGTATCATACAGGAATGTCAGAACTACACTTATATATGTATAGTGTATAAATCATGTACCTACATAATACATACATCCAATCCAATCTAACATAAAAGTTATATTTTATTTTGGATGATAATTGTTACGCATTTCTTAAAGATTTAATTAAGAAATGCGTAACAATTGTAGCGAATCTATGAATAAATAAATCAATGAATCTAGTAAGTAATAGTTCCTTCAATTGAATATGGTTTTGTAAACCGCTGAGGTTTACAAAACCATTTTCAATTGAAGGAACTGGAAGAGTATATCTTCTTTAATTCTGTATTTAGGATAATACCGTTGTCAGCTGCATTTGATAGCTTATACACAGTATTAACTAAGTCTGGCTCGACACCTGCTGATAAAAACTAAATAAGTACTTATGTGAAAATCGTAAGTCTTGACAGCTGCTTACATACGTAAATAAGCCTTGCAAAACCAAAATAAGTACCTATTTTCTTGATTACTTGTTAGTTAAATTGTTGTAAGGTAATTGGCCCAATAGGACACGCTCATGCATTTTACTTTACATGAGATTAGAATATCTAAGTACTTTTTTGTTGCTAATAGTAATTCAAGTAAGGGTGTAGTGTATCCGTGGTAGCCGAATCTCATAATAATTAGAATAAAGCTTGACATTTGGCAGACTTGAACTACAAGAAATGGTTGTAAATATTTTTCTCCAACCTTTTAATTTCATAGGTTGATTGTACGTGAACTGACAGCTCAATTTACATTAAAAATTATGATCATATTGAAACACTGAAATGTGAAAAGTTTTGAACACTTACTTGACCGCTATCGAAGTTGAAGGCCATTCTTGGAACAAAATCTACACTTTATACGTCAATTGTAAAATATTACTTCGTATAAAATATAACACACTTGTAAATAACGTCCTGAATATTGTAAAAGAGAATTATAATGTCAAAATAACAGGAAGAATGAATTTGTTTGCGGGAAAATGGAAAAGTCTATTGGCCTAACTGCGTGGTCGGCATAGCGACGCCTAAACTTTCACGTGTGTCCGCTGAATGCGTAGGCTGTAATAGAAAGGTTCAATGCCTCCCTCCACGAATAGAAAATTATTGCTGCCGCTCCATACACAAGGAAAATTAAAGTTAGTTACAGCTATGCTATGAAATTTTAAACAGATAGGTAATAATTTTTCTAAGTAATGGCTACATTTTGTTTTTTAACCGGGCCTTTCGTTACCAAGGCCCAAATAAGTATTATTTTTCTTTGTATCAACCTTTAAATTTCACAGACATATCTTATCCATAATCTAGACTATTTTAGAAACGGTGCTTGTTTTGATTATGTTGTACATAAGGAAAGCAATAACGTGATTTCCTTTTTCTGTAGTTATGGAAACGCGAATGTAAACACATTGACTTCATTAATTTTGGGATTAGACCTGGCACAATTATAGGTATTATAATAAAGGTACTTAAACTTCCTCGAAAACATGAAATACTTTAGTGACAGACATATAAATATTGCTCTTTTTATACTAGATTTATATTTATCTTGCATAAAATATTCATTGTAAAATAGCGCCTCTCGCCATTAAACATAAAAGCACACACATAAACACCTGCAACACAGAGGTTAATTTATTTTTAAGGTTAATTATGTTAGGCACTTTTCTTGAACGTGTTTCTACATCGAGTAATTAAGATATTGAATATTCTTGTACCCATGAAAGACTAAAGCGAATGTCTGCGATTCCAATCTATACAAATAAATAAAATTGAAGTTTGTTTATAATGTCAAAACAATAGATTTTTTTCATGCTTACACGGTTATTTGCACAATACCTATGCCTATATTTTTTCTTTAACTGGTTTTTAGGCATAGGCATAGGCAAAAACAGATAGACAGAGTCCTGTCTGTCTGTTTTTTCCAGGTAATCTTCGAAACAGCTGGTTCGATTTTGATAATATTTTGCTACCAGGTAGCTGTCTATATAAAGAGTAAGTTAGGCTATTTTTCCAGGAATCGAACTAGACTACGTACCACGTAGTGTAGTACGGTACGCGACTGCAAGGCAGCGCTTTTCAAATTCCACGCGATTCGCGGGTACCAGATAGTAATTGAAATAAAAAAGGTAACTACTTTCGGAATCGCTTTTCGTAAAACGACTTCGTATTATTCAATTCGAATCACCATTTCCTAATTTTAAAAGTTTACAAAACATATAAGTAAAGTAATAATTGGTGATGAAACTAAAACTCAATTTTACGCAGTTTATCTATTGTAATAAAGATAATTGACCTATTTCTATATTATCAAAATAAATGTGGGCTCCAACTTTCTAATTGCAAGTTCATAATAACAAGAAAGAAAAAGATAACTTTGTTTACGTCGCGTGTCCTATTGCGATGTCGCAATAAAGAAAATTAACGTTTGCCGTGACCTTCGTGAAATACGTAGTCAGTGTATTGTATTTGGTACATATTACTGTTTATTATAGTATTAATACAGAATTGCCAACTGACATTAGACCGAGGATGTCGCCGAGCGGTACATGTTTCTTTGCATAAATTATCTTACTTTGTGACCGAGTAAATCAATTTCAGAACGGTTACATGGAAATGAGAAAGCGATTTAAATTCAGATAACAAGTTCACATTTAGAATTGATTCCTAAAGAACCACAATCTAGCAACAACACCATAAGTTATATTTAATTATTGTAATATACGTTGTAAATAGGTAGTCCTTAGATTATCATCATCTTCCAAATCATTTCCCAAATTTAGTTAGTAAGTATAACATTGCAGGGGCTGTAGCTAGGTACTTTTTTCCGGCTACTAGCAAGACATAAATCTTCCTTGGGAATGTCATGGTTTTCTGATAGAATAAATTAAAAAGGTAAATTGGGGCAAGGAATACGCAAGTTAAGGATGTGGAACCGGGCTTCTGACTTCAGTGGCAGGAAGAAGTAGTGGTAGTCGCTTACCCGTATGTTTGTCTGTGTGATTGGCGAGGTCACTAGGACATGAACAGGCTTGAAGGGCCTTAGTTACACCTGTTGTAGCCTTAAGTACATAAGTCTTCAACGCTTTTAACCTAAAAGGATCAAGTTTTTTCCAAATAAGAAAACAGGGTAATTAGTGAAAATAACTGCTGTCGAATTTTAAACACCACTCTATCTACCAGGTCCCTGTAGTGCCGGCCGTGCAGCTAGAAGACTCTGTGGAGTGTTGATTCTAAGCTATAGGCATTATCTCTTAGATAAATGGTCAATTTTTATTTTTTTACGTGACATTAAGTTGTAGAAAATGGTAGATTACGAGCCGTTACCGTAGTCTATTCAAGTAAAGTACTAGATGTCGGCAGAATGTTGAACATAAATTAGATATTTCTATGTCACTATTTAAAATTTGATTGCAGAAGTTTTCTTTTAGCTTTGTAATTTTACAAAATATGAACACATCATTGTCATTTCGTGTATGTTTATGTTTAAAGGAACATTTACATGAGAAATTTGCCTCGTCTTTAAAAAAACTTTTAAAACTTCTTTAGTGGGAAGTATTTAACTTACAACGAGCTAAGATCCATTTACATAAGGCCTAACTATAAACTTAAGTACTATTTTGAAGCAACTGACAAACCTAATTCCTAATAACAACCTCAAAAGAGGTTTCTTTATAGTTATCTTATATTTTCCCTAAACTGATACTAACTATTGTACTTAGTAGTAGTGACTAACACAATTTCCATATTGGAAAATTGGTATCTGTGATACTTCACCTCATTATCTGTTACTTATCTACCTTGTTAACTAGATCGATATTATAAAAATAACTTCACTCATCTGACACACGGCAGTATAATTCCAAACTAGGCAGAACCTTTACTATGGTAACCATTCTGCTTATAAACATACTTGTGTATATATTTCTAAATACATACATATTATAGATCAATTACACCCAGACACAGAAACCCACGATTTCGACCAAGACCGAACAGCTGAAAAGTATGTTTATTTGTCTGAACAAGCTAATCTCAGGAACTACTGGTTCGAATTGAAAAATCCTTTTTGTGTCGCATTTCCCATTTATCGAGGAATGATAAGTACGGGTTTTAGCTACCACTAATAGAAGCAGAGCATCAATGAAAAATGTTACAAAAACGTTGTGAATTTATTCCTTTGAGAGTTGCAGACAAAGTTGCATCTCTCAAAGTTCATGACATATATAAATTAATTTAAAAGTCAGAATCGATGAAATTTTCCTTTGATTTTAAAATAGAATTACATTTTCACTAGGTACTTATAGCTATTAGAAATTTTGTAAAAACTAATAATGCACAGAAAGCCTAATAAATTTAATTATTAATATCATTAAGTTGAATTGTTTTAATAGTAAGTTTAATATAATGTTTTATCTATTTTAAGATAATTTTGTCCATTAGGAAACATCTTATCCGTGTGGTGACGGATTAAGAATACGAAATGTCACCACCGCTATTGATCCCGTGGGTGTCGTAAAAGCCGACTAAGGGAACAAACTGCACAGGGCAACAGCACTGCAAAAGAAGGAAAACTTGAAACAAACCCTATACCAACCCGTCTGGCCAGCGTGGTATAGTAAAACCTCCTTTCTAAGGAGAGGCCTTTGTCCAGCAGTAGACTATTATAGGCTGTTGATGATGACGATTGATGAAGGAAACATTTCTGGTCACTTTATTATTCTTGTATTGGATTTTAATAAATTCAAATTCAACGAGAATCCACGAGAGTTTCTAAAAAAATTAATTTGATATAATAAAATGCAATTGGTCTTGCATTGACTTTAAAAGATCTTCAATGATTTGTTTAATTTTCAACTCCAGGTTTTACCTGGGTTAACTGTGGTCTTTAATTCCAAACCTGTACAATATATTTACCATTTTATCATTTATCAAATCTAGCTTGTCGCCATATTACAAAAACATTCAAATTTGGGTGAAACTTTTACGAAAAACGAGAAATAATATGAAACTAAAAAATCCCTTCGAAATTTGAATGTGGAGATGAGTGCAGGTTCTATATTGTCTTGTCAATTATCCAGGAACACCTGTGTCCCGGGATCGATAGGCGGAGTCGGCTGGGATTGGCACAGGCTCCATTGGGCGGGACCAAATAGACGACACGACGAAAGATTCACATGGATGTGACTTGGTCCATACAGTAAAATATTTCAAATATTTTTTTTTTGAGTAATCGTGTATTGATGACTAATTTCATACTTTTATAATATTAATTATAAGTACTTAAGGCAATTTACGCAAACATGTAGTTCAAATTATATGTTTCGACCAGCTGATTTCGTGATTCGCCTGATGTCTAAGATAAGTATTTTTTAATGTCAGTTTATCACTAGTAGTCTAGCATATGACCTACAGGCACGGTTCTAATTATTTTATGATTGTTAAGCGTAAAGACAATCGTTCTTTCCAAAACGTACCTTTAAATGATTGCAGACTATAAATGCATGCGGTATACAAATTTGGAGGGAAATGACACGCAATGATATTATATGCAAACAAGAGGTAGACCACCAACGCACAAAAGCGCGAGGGTCCTTGCGAGGACCATTAGGACCATTGCGAGCGAGCGCACGTACTAATTAATTCGAGAAAATTTATAAAATGCCTTTCTGTGTACAAAAGTGTGTTACAAAAAGGTAAATAAAGATAAAGGGATATCGTAACACAGGTAAGTGTATGTTTTGTTCTAAAAGCGTTAAAAGATGTATAAAAGATGCGGTTACGGTACAAATATTTTGTGCGTGCGGTGTGTAAATAAAATATATATCTTTAATCTAATAATATAATCTAATAATATCTTTAAAATATAATATATAATAATAATATCTTTATTTGCATTAAGTTGTACAATAAACCACTTACTGCAATAATTGATGCCACGTGCATTTTTGGCCGTTTTACCATTCCACTTCTGTCACTTTAATTCAGTTGGTAGGTGAATACACTCGCTTCTACATTGGTGGCCAAGATAACTGCTGATGTCAATACACATAATATAATATAACCTCACACATCTCACTCACAGCCGTCTAATCACATGGATCCCAAACTAGGCAGAGCCTGTGCTTTGGTGAGCAGACTGCTGATAAACATAGTTATATATTTGTAAATACATACATATCATAGATGAATTACACCTGTACACAGAACAAATGACCGTGCTCATCACATAACTATTTGACCTAGGGGGAAATCGAGCCCACGACCTCCGGCTTAGCAGTGAAAGTCACTAACCGCTGGACCAACAGGCCCGTCAGTAATCCATCTAGTAAGGCTGAAGCCGACGGCAAATGTTTTTAAAATAATTATTTTCTTCCTAATTCAATCCAATAAATAAGTATACGCTCCAGTTGTTAACATTAAAGATTATATTTTCTTCTAACTTTTTCACTATATTCCATGTCCACATTCCATCTATTGAGTTTTATTGTTTGTATAGTCAGAAGGGATTTGTTACCGCCCTCCCGCAGCGAGAGGGTTGGACCATCCCCTTCTGGACAAGATAAAAGCGGAGGGATGCTGCGCTACCCAATAGTATTGAGATTGTGAACACACTGTGTGGTTATTTGTGAAAAAAGAAAATATATTAGCAATACTAAGTGGATGTTTAACCGATAGATCTTGTGGAATTCGGCTATTTTTTAAAATGTCTTAGTTAAATATTAATATTATCAGTTCAGTTTGCAAGCGTAAGTATTTTTTTAATAAGCATGATATTTCATACGGCACAAAAGTAAATACTGCAAAATACTACATGGTGATTTACACCATGTAGTATTTTGCATGTAGTTGTAGATTAGATATGGTCATATAATTTTTGCGTGAACCTTGAGAAAGTTAAATGTTAAAGAAAAATATTTTAAAAAGCCTATTTTACAAGTGAAATACCTTTCTAGAATACTGGTATACCCAAAATATTATGTGTGCATCGAGTATCGAGCGCATAAGTTTATATCTGTTAAAGCTAAAGGGTATTCTGTCATTCGTTAATCAATGGATGGAGGTCAATTATTAATCAAATAGAAAGGTTACGAATTAGCACAAATTTTACGACAGCGGCTCACACAACTTTATATAAAAATAATGGACATTTCCTTTATTTTTGCATTAGGTAGACATCTATAATTTAGCAGAGAGGTGGTTTTTAGGTATAATACGTTAACAACAGACACGGATAAAAGAAATCTAAGTTTGGGTGAAAGAATTTTCTTTCGTTACAAAAGACAACAAATTTATGAATACCATATTTATAAAGTTGTTGTAACATATTTCAATAATATTTTTCGGCGGCGTAAGGTTAATCAAAACACAATGTATTGTTATTTATGGGTACCTATTTTTTTTATTAAACACCGGTATTTTCGAACCGTGAAGCAGACTAAGAACAACTATGTTTCCTTAGACCTACTACAGATGCCTTATATTATTTTTTATTGTCTTTATCTCAGAGTCTAATAGAGGACCAATTTTTAAAATAAGCTACTTTAAAATATTAAAATTTCAAAATACAGTCGCTTTTAAGACATACCCCATAACGGAATGCAGGTATGTTAATAGTGTTGTAAGCGTACGAAGTCTAGATATGCTAGTGTAGGTAGCCAGCTAGATATTTTTTAAATCTTTACACTTGATTTCACAGTTGATACTCACCCGATCTCGTAAATTATAAATTCCTATTAGGTAATTACTAATCCAATCGGTCCTGCACTGGAACGCTCTAACTATCGAAATCAGGATAGAAACTAACCCCAACCGCTTCTCATTTAAGATGAAAGTCAGATCGAGATCGAGAAAGAGATTCATCGCATACCAAAAGTTTTATATATTGTATTGTGTATTTATATGTATGTATGTAACTCAGCAAGTATATATGTATGTGTATCTCAGTATGTATGTATGTATATCTGTCACACTGTCTATGTCCTTAACTATTATTATCTCGTTAACACAAAAAACTTAATTTCTAGTGCACCTACTCAGTCATTTCCCCATGATCCAAAGCCTGGGAGAAAATGCCTGTGGCATTAAGTCCGCCATAGTACAATAAATTGGTATTTGTGCAAAAGCAATTAAATAAAAAATATAAAATAGCGTTCCCACTGCTGAATCATGCACAACAGCAGCATATGACCGAAATCTGTAGTAATCGTAGTCATTGCTTTGCTGCCGTGTATGTTTAAACATCGTACATTTACGAGATAAGATGAGTATCACCCGTGAAATCAAGTGTACATATTTAAAAATGTTTTAGCTGGCTACACTAGTATATCTAGACTTCGTACGCTTATAACACTATTAACATAGGATGCTCACTGTGCTCAGGTACAGGTTTCGGATCAACATGTGTATGTGTAAAAGTTAGATTTATTGTAACGAAAAATTGACAGAATACTTAACAAATATGTTCAATCAAACTGAAATTACGTTGACTCATAGTCCTAAAATGTTATCTTATGCGAATTTTAAAATTCGACGAACAACGCTTTCAGACTATTTAAATTCTACTGGTATTGATAAGAACGATTCACGTTCTTTCAGACAACATCTGAAACAGTTTCCTGCAAACTGTGTACCACAAAAACAGATCGATTCGATACGGTTAACGGACATGATTCGATTACTAGGGGTTTCAAAAGGGTTGCACTATTGGGGCGATATAAAAAGAATAAATACGGATTTATTATCCCCTAAAGAGGTCGCTTAAGAGTAAAGTGTGAACGCTTGTTGTATTATTTATCCATAGTACTTCACCCTTGCGGCCAGTAAATTTGATTTGATCGGGAATCAAAACATACGCATCTCAAGGGTATTAGAAGAAACAGCGCGGCAGCGGTTGGGATACGTCATGGCGATATTTTCACCTACCCTAATTTGCCCTGTAACTGTTTGCATTTGTTATTATTATATTCCGTGTGTGTGTGTGTGTCCGTATGGTGACGGATTAAGAATACGGAATGTCACCACCCCTATTCATCCCGTGGGTGTCGTAAGAGCCGACTAAGGGAACAAACTGCACAGGACAACAGCACTGTGAAAAGAAGGAAAACTTGAAACAAACCCTATACTAACCCGTCTGGCCAGCGTGGCATAGTAGGCCAAAACCTCGTTTCTAAGGAGAGACCTATGTCCAGCAGTGGACTATCATAGGCTGTTGATGATGATGATGATGATTATTATTATTATTATTTTAAATAAAAGATGTATAGTTGCACTATTTACGGCTCAGAAAAAGGTGGCATTACTTTAGTATTGTATCTTAGTCGTCAATTTAATCACCGAGAGATTTAAGAGAATCATTGTAGAAAGGAACAAAACCTCCCTAAAAGGAATTTGGCGGTGATAATTATTTGCAAAAATACAATCTTTAACAAATGGTGTTTATTTAATACAAAATTAGTAGTTTTCATAAAAAATGTAGAAAAAAATGCATTTTATTCATATTTTTGTATTTCCAATTTTTGGTGGCAGAGACAATTCCAAAAAAATCAAACATGAAAATTGGTCCAGCCGTTCTTGAGCTATAAATTGTGAAACTAACCCGCCTTTGTTTCATATTTTAAGATATACATACCTATACTTATATATGATATTATTTCACAACCCTTATATTTCACTAAACTGCCTAGACCAGTGGTGCCTGCAGTTTCCTTTTTTCGACTTTATCTTTTGTCCTGTGATTTATTTATAAGTAACACGTTTGAATTTATCAACAAAAGTTAGAAACAACGATGACCTTTACTTTCAACAAGAAAAATGAAAAGGAAGAAAATGACCTCTCCACATCAATTCTCAGCTCTCTATCTCAAAGCTGTTGAAAATACTATTAGCTAATACTTTTATCATCAAAGTCATAAAGGCTTAAATATATTCATCATATGGGTTAAATATATTATCTTGTATTTATAGCACTATAATGAAGAGTTGGCTGGAAACCGCCAGCGGCATGGAGGATGGTTCTCTCCCGTGCATGCTGGCCGAGCCTCGGGAAGCACTGCTGCCCATTACGGGTAGGGAAAACTTGGCACCAAGGAAAAGGTAATTTATATTAAAAGATAAATTATATACACAAATGTTTTTATTATTTGAACTTACTGTAACCTAACTTAAACCTTTAAAAAAAATCCTTTGACACTACCATTGATGAGCTGTTACAACTATAACCACACATACATACATATTTACACACTAAAATAGTTAGATTAAGACTTAGGAGATTAAATTAAATATTTCTGTCAAACAGATTTATTGAACATAATTAATTATCAAAATATAATTATATATTCTACAACTTATTACACAGCGCTATTTGGGTTAGTTAATTCCCAGCTGCAATTTTCCCCGAAAAAATAAATATTAAATCAAGCTTTATTCGCTTCCAGTTAGGTCGCTTCTAGTCGTTAAAAGAACAACAGTTCTTTTAGCGTCTACTAAAGTCTAATGTAAACTGTTTACGTGTACAAGCCTAACAGGTAGGTCGATACGCTTGTTCTTGTGATTTATAGCTTGTAACGCTTGTAATTTTATGTTATATCTAATAGTAAACATTAATATCTATAAATGTTAGGCGTTATTAATCTATACACATATAGTTACTTGTCCTGACTGACTAAGCCTAAGTTCTTAGATCAAGCCGGTAGGTATCTATTTACGATAACTAGATACCTACCGGCTTAATTTGGGGAATGCTAATGTTCCTTAACGGTTGTAAGCAAGCACTAACAAAGGAGTTTAAAAGAACAATCCGGCAAGAGTTCTGGAATCTAAGCATTTTTTTGTTTGCACATGTAGAATCCTATTATAAAACAAACAAGTGATTCAGCATTCTTCATTTTTTTATACCCGTTTGTTGACATATATGTTATTTTTAACCCAATACGAGTATGGAGAGAAAATTTTCAGTTATAAATTTTTTACTCTAGATTTAGAATTAAAATTAAAAATCAGTAGTCATGGGAAGATTCTAGACTTTGATGATTTAAAACATCCATCTATAAATTTAGCAAAACTATAATTTAATTATTAAGCGCTGACTTTATTTTTTCAATAAAGAATTGAAATATTTTGAAGTCTCGCCATTTGTGCCTTCCTATTTTTTAACTGAGTTATGCACAGATCAATTTTCAGGAAAAACGCAACACATTCATTGTTCTTAAAAGTGGTATTATTTTTCGGGGAAAATTGCAACTGGGCAATAATGCCATTAACCCCGCCACCTAGATCTATATACTAATCAAAGGAAATTAAATAATAAAGTTATTAAATATACTTTAATACCTACATTTTAAAGTTCCTATTTATAATAATAAAACTCTGACCAGAATATAAGAAGACAAATAACACGTATACGTACGAGTATTTATACTGTACGACATTCCGATTGTAGTGGTCGATGGCCATGTCCGATGGCCGATGCTTAACCACCACGTTAAAATTTATCACTACTGCTATAATAGACTTATCAGAGTAGCGATAATCTTATAAAATTAAATTTGCTATAGAGCTAGTTGCCTACGAGGCATGCCTTTTAAGTTTTGTCGTTTGAAGAAAAAACACAACTAGAACCTTATAGTACTTTTTATTGTTTTTCAAAGTATTCACCACGTAGCTTAATACACTTTTCCATTCTTTCCATTCGCTCAAACCAGTTATTATAACATTTATTCCACTCTAAAGTAGGGGTGTTCAATATGGCTGACTTGAAAGCGTCGACTGCTTCTTCACCGGACTGAAACCTTTGACCACGAAGAATTTCCTTAATTTTAGGAAATGTAAAGAAATCGTTAGGGTTTAGGTCAGGACTGTATGGAAGATGGTCAAGAATTTCTACTTTTTCCTGCTTCAAATACTCAATCGTTTGCCAAGCGCTGTGTGAGCTTGCGTTGTCGTGGTGCAGGATGATGCGTCGCTTTGAGTTAGATTTTCGAAGTTCGGCGATGACTTGTGGTAAACAAACTGTGTGTATTCCACTCTGCGTTAACCGTTCTACGATCTTCAAGTGCAATAGTCGCAACATGGCCGGTTTTTCCAACGAACGTGGCCACCATCTTCTTGGAAGTGCTTCGAGAACGAACAAGCTTTGGCTCGTCTTGAAAGACCCAGATTGTAGATTGTTGTTTGGAATCAGGATCGAAGGATTTAACTCTCCTCGGTTGAACCTTTGCAGAGTTTTCATACACCATCTGACGCGGGTCGCCTTGTGATCGTCGGAAAGCAGATGCGGTATCCAATGGTAAACTAGCTTTCTCACACCAAGCGCATTATGCAAGATCTTCTGAATAGTTGTCCCTGAGATGCCTAATAGAGCCTCTATCTCTCGATACGTCACATGACGATCTTCGAGAATTAGTTGTCTCACATCAACGATGTTATCTTCAGTGAAGGCGGATTTTGGGCGTTCTTAGCGAGATTTGTTACTAACACTAGTATGTCCACGCTGGAATTCTAAATACCAGCGTTGGACAGTCCGCAGACATGGGGCTTCATCACTGGACACATATGTTAGCTCTTCAAAACATTGAAGCCGTGTCAGGCCTCTTCTAAAGTTGTAGAAAATTATTACACGACCATTTTCCTTAGAAAGATTCATTTTCGTGCGTAATCTGACAGATTCCAATCGACGCTGTGGCTACACAATAGCATTAATCCTTATACTATCAACTGTTTTGAGATTCAACATTTAAACACATTCGAATATAGAACAGTTCCAAATTCAAAATTTCCGGGAAATATGGAAACGACAGAACTTAAAAGGCATGCCTAGTAATCGATTGTGGGTCTTTTTGGTCGAAAAAGATAAGATGATTATCTATTATTAAAAAAAACGTAGCACTCCAGGAGTGAAAACTTGTTTTTTTTTTTGTTTTTTTCGTTGTTTTTTCCTTTTCCTTTTTAAAAGAGAGGGAGCACTAGGAATATGTTCTGTGTGGCGACCTTAAAAACATACATGAAACGGACACAAAGATTTGAAAAGTTCTGACATGAAATATCTATGTTGTACGAATATACACAATATATTATGTTTATATTATATATCTATAGTTATATTATGTAATTAAAATGTATTTCAACCCAAATTCAACTTTCCTGTAAACGAGTCCAATATATGTAGATACTTATATACAGAGGTGTTGGTAACGGTAACAGTGTCGCGAGTTCAATGATTTTTTCCCCACCTCAAAAAATGTGTTTTTTGTTAAACCATAAAATTATTTACGAATATATTGTTTGTTGATCAAAAATGCCCAACGCCCCTAAAGAAGTTTTCACTTCAATAAAATTATGCACCAAGAACGCGAAACTATATTGTTCATCCTGATGTCGTCGTGATTGGAGAAAATCTCGATGTGTTTGTGTCTGTGATCTGTGATGCTAGATTAATAGGATTTTCTTAGCAATCTAAGAAAATCCTATTAACTGTAATTTGCAATTCCCAGATACGTCTCTAAACGCTTTAACGCACATATTCTTGGAATGTTTGACATCGATTTAAATTAAGAATTTCGTTTATAACATCAAATGATTGATGAATGCTTGCTTCTAAATAAATTTTCGTTTGGGGCTGAACTTCAATGTTGAGTCTCCGAGAAATAAGTATTACTGTATTAATAAATATTTTCTAAAATAATAAAAGTTATTAAATTGTTCAAAATGTCATTGTAGAATCTTTACAATGATATAAAATACAACACTCATGCGTAAAAAAGTATAGTCCTTCTAAAAAGAGATAATAATTTTAAACAAAGATTCCTTAATGTGACATATTCTTCTAAATTCATATATTTTTATGTCCGTAGGGACAGGACCCTAGAGCCATGTGCAATTTCAGAAGAGGCATATCTCTCTAGCGGCACTGGGTCTCCATGCGCTGGACTTTCACGCGAAGAACGCCGCAGGAGGCGAAGAGCCACTCTCAAATATCGAACGGCCCACGCTACCAGGGAAAGAATTCGCGTAGAAGCCTTTAACGCCGCATTCGGATCTTTGAGGAGGTTACTTCCAACTCTACCACCTGATAAAAAACTGTCAAAAATTGAAATACTTCGATTGGCGATTTGTTATATCGCTTATCTTAATCACGTTTTAGATGCATAGTTATGTTTTTTATTATCATGATTAACGATTCTCTTGTTATCATTATTTTATCTGTATCAAGACTTAATAGTCGCAACACTAGACTTTAATAACTTAATTTGGATATATTACAAGCTTTTTGTTCCTATGCCATTGCCATATACGATTTGTTGGGAACTAGATCTAACTGCAGTCACATAATAATGATAGTTATCAATCAGAAGTATTTGTGCCAAATTAGGAATCGATTACTTAAATATCACACTAGTTGAATTGAATGTATGTTTACGTTGGTGAAGAGAACTGTTTTTTTCAGTTTTGTTGTATAAAATGTTTTGTTTTTACATTTGTTGTGCTGAAGGAAAGATAAAGTGAAAAGAAAGAATATTAAAATTACGTATTTATTTTTAACCTAAAGTAGATACAGATACACCCAATTACATTACATTGGTATTGGTATTACATATTTACATTACATCAGTGATTTTAGCATAGAAATAAATTAATCAGACATATTTCATTTTGCAGTTAGTTACTCTATGAACATAGTGGTTACTACACAATTACCATCGATATTATTTCTTTTTAATGAATAAATATTCCAAGTAGCTCAATAACACTGGGAAGAACACCATGCCGTGTAAAAACGCTAAAATAACTAAACTAAAGTTCATTCTAAAGAAAAATATCTCAATTAATTCTGTATAAGAAAATGCTAAAACTATTATTGGAATATTAGTAAAAGTTATACCAGTTATAATTGTAGGTCCTACTGTCTGTAGAGCACCCTCCACTCTTTCTCCAGGAGGACGGTTGCTGGTAGCAAAGGCATAGGCCATATGAGTGCAAAATTCCACAGCTATTCCGATTGATACTATTAAGTTTACAAGGGATACAGCGTTTAGTGGAATACTCCAAATGTACATCACACCCATCATATTTACAAGGACGAGAATGGAAGTAAAAATTACTGCAAATGTTGTCAATAAATTAAACCCAGACGCTAAAAGTTTAAAACAAACTGCACCAAGGAGACAGTATGCAATAGAGGCCCACGTGTTACCCCACATGTATAAATATTGCTCATAAAACACGTAAAATACTGCGTAAGGGAATACTTCAACGTCGGCACCTGTATGTTTTACGATTGCCTCAGTTATATTGGCACTAACTTCATAACCATATTTGATGGCGGTTATGTAGTCTTTCGAAGTACCCAATGTAGTGTGATAAGCCATAAAATTTGTGTCATGTATCGTAGCTTTTCCTTCGGAATCCAATACGTAGTTCACGCCACTCGAATAGCTGGCTAATCCAGCACTGTTACAGACTTGTGAAGGTGCATCTTGTAAAAAGAATGGAATATACTTCTCAAAAGCTTCTTTACTTGGTCTTAAACCATTAGCAAAATCTTCATACCTATCGATTACACAGGAAGCACATTCGGCTGAATTATCTGCACTCTGACAGAAGCCACCGTTTGTAGTATTATATCTACAACAATTCGCCAAATTAGTCCAGTCTACGAAATCATCCAGCCAAGAGTTAGAACTCCTGCCGATATATGTAATATCACTGTGTTGCGCTGCTAAAAATACTTGTGTGAATAAGGAGTCATCGTTACATAATTGACCACCACAAATTACATTTTGATGTTGAGGGTTTGTCATATTTAAACCACCTTTGAGTACGAAATATACCGGGGGCCCAATCATCATTAAATTATTAACAGCTTCCAAATAAGAATAAACGTAAGAATCCCTAGGTAGTGCTAGTTGTTGATCTAGTCCGATTTCGATCTGTGGTATCAAAACTACGCTAAAAGAAGCTATAAACATAAAAATAATTACTACTACAATTTTTACTCTCCAGTTAAGAATGAACTTAGAATAAGGCTCCATTAATCTTCTGGTTACACCCTTATGAGGTGTTTCAGAGTGCAAAGGGTTTTCGTCATCTAATATTTTTCTTTGCACACAGCAGAATAGATCATATCTACTTTGAGTAGCTCGTTTATAATCAATAGATAGTATTGCTACTACTGTAGTGATTTGGAAAATAAATAGGTATGCTAACGAAAGAGACGCAAATATAGCGAAAGTTACAACGGCGGGAAAACTGGCGAGACTGCCAATAGCGAAACAGGTTATTTGAGTAACAGAGGATACAAATATAGAGGGACCTATGCGTTTAAACATTTTCTCGAAAATCAATTTTCTCTTCTTCTCAAAACTCATATTTTCGTTATACTCGTTATACGTTTTTATTTCACCTTCTATATCAGACAATGCATTAACCATGAGAAAAACGTTATCAATACCAACAGATAAAACAAAAAATGGTATAACGTTAATAGCTAACAATGTCACCGTAATGCCGGCATAGCCCATCGTACCAATAGCACAAGCAATGGCAGCAAGAACTACCAAAATACTGCTCAACGCCACTGCTATTTTACTGTCAACGAACCATGTCTTACAAGATCTAATATTTCCCAAAGCCACCATTACATAAATAAACATAAGAACATAACTAATAGCAATGGGCACAACTTCTGCAACGGAAACTCGTCGAATTTCATCTTCAACCGACCGTTCTGCTGCAAACGCAACAGTGACATACTCAGGTTTATCATTCTGGATATAGTTGTGTAATAAAGTTATAAAATTTTGTTCCCACTCTAGAACAGGTCTAAGTTGTTCCTCTAAATTAAAATTTGAAATGGGAAAATTAATTAGTAGAGTATTGGCACTTAAAATATCATCCCCTTCATATCCCCCAATTGTAAGTTCTGGATCTGCACCACCACCCCATGATGCTAAACAATTTAAGCCAAAATGGTTGTTTAAACATGATTGAATTGTATTGAGATAAGTAGAATTGTCTAGATTTTCAATGCTATTGCCCAAGTAAACAGACACAGACATAGACACACAATCCTCTAATCTTTCCTCAGCACCACGAGGTCGGGCAGGTGCGTAGCAAACTTGTTGTAAAGTAACGCCGCCGTCGTTTTGTCCTATGTCTATTATAGCATCTTCCAATTTCATTAACTCTTTAACGGCTTCAAATCTAAAAGCTGGTCCATAAGTTACATTATTAACTTCGAAAGGATCTAAATCAAATGTTAAGAAAACTTGAGCAGCACGATAGAATGGACCAAACCTTGAATTGAAATAATCCCTTTCTAGACGACTTCGAGAATAAGGGGCCGACCAAAGCTCTATAGGGTTGGATGTAATATTTAAACTTAATATACCTCCCGACATAGCAAATACAAGCCAAGTAGTTAACATAATCATAAAAACTGGATAACTTGCTGATATGCCACCTATTTTTGAAAACAAAGTTTGAAAAAATGTAACTATAGAATTTTGACTAGAATCGAAACTATCATTCGGCTTTGAACTGACAAATCTATTTGATCTATATTCGAACAAACATATTATTATAAATACTATTACAGTAAGTACGAAGAATGCTATTCCTACACCGAAGCCAATACAGTTTACGGATAAAATAGTACATTGTTCAGAAACCACAGGCTCAGTGCCTATCGGACATGATGCGGAACAATCTGGGCAACTGCAGGGAAGATCGTCACCGTATGTTTCATTACATGTCAAAGCACGTACACTCATAGAATCTTCTGTAGTAGGCCATCTCAAAATATTAACCTGCACTGGAGCTAACGGATTATTTGTTGTGTCTCCAAAGAATCCGAACCAAGCATCGGCGTCACACACTGGAGCGGCCCCACACATCATGTTTATAGCAGGCAAGCCTGTCTGCGGCACAACAACACCAACACATGATGCGTGAGCATTTATCATGAAATCTTCATGTAGTCTGTAGTCAATTGCGTTGACATAAGCTATATTATCTGCGGTTGTCGACGTATTTACTTCAACAAACCGTGACTGGTCTGGGGAACAGTTCATTTCGCAAACCTGCCTTGCGAAGTTTCGGAAACATGCTGGACAGCGGCCAAGAATACCTTCGGCTAGTTGTAAAGATTCCGTCATCCCTATTAATTGGGGCAGTGTACAACAAGTGCGTATTTCATTATCGGGTAATCTGTTACCTTCAGAATCATGAGTTAAAGTCGGGCATCTGTGGTTGAGAATTTCTATGGCACGTGTCGCTTCTTCGCCGACCAAGTCGTCTATTAGAACTGGAGCTTCTATATTAACGGGACATGGTCTTGAGAAACCTCCAACTGTAGCGCAATAATCCCGCATACGACAATCTGCTAATGCACCAATCCACAGGTTCACAAATAATAACAGGAATCCACAAAACTTCATTTTGATTGGTATACACGTAATGTTAGTAATTAAGAGTTATACATTGTCGTAGTCGACAGACACGCGCGTCGGGCTATAGGTACTAAACTCATTGAAATGAACTTTTATGCTTACATTGGATGTTAATCTAACAGCTAAGTCTGTCGATAACATATCAAATTAACGCAGGTGTGAGATAAGAACATCACTGTTTGCAAGTTTGTTGCTTCATTTTACTTATTTTCCTATCTTCAGAGAGATAATGAAAAAAATTAGATGAAAAATGTTATAAATGTTAATATAATAATTTTATGTAAAAAGGTACTGGATGGACTTTAATTAAAGTCCATCCTGTATCTTTTTACATAAAATAATGTTAATATAATAATTTTATGTAAAAAGGTACTGGTATCTTTTTACATAAAATTATTATATTAACATTTATAAATAACTTAATTTCGGGTTAATTGAAAAGCATTTTATTGTATGCAGTTTCAATATGCGATTTGTTGATTACGAGAGCTACTGCTCTAAAATCTAACCATAATAAACAGTTGTATTTATGCCATATTAAGAATCGATTACTTAAATATATACTTCATTTAACAAACATTCTAGTTAATCGAATGTATGTTTAGGTTTGTGAAGAGAACTGCTCTCTTTCTGATTGATTGTATTAAATGTTTTCTAATTATATCTATTGTGCTACATATAAGATAAAAAATAAAATAAAAATTATTAAAATTATGTAATTATTTTTAAACTACAGTAGATAGAGACAGACCCAATTACAGTGGTATTTTCTACTTTATATAAGTAGTTTAGTAGTATATTGACTGCACCACACTACTGCGATGAGTGTTGAGGGTTCGATCCCCACATGGGACAATACTTTGTGTGATCCACAAATTGTTGTTCTGAGTCTGGGTGTCCTTTGTGTCCGTTTCATGTATGTTTGTAAAGTCCCCCGCGACACAGGATTTATTCCTAGTGCAGGAGTTGTCTTTTAAAAAAAAAAGAAAAAAAAAGTGTCAGGACACAATTAATCTAACCACAACTAATCTTTGCACTCGCTCCAACATGCGGCTATATTTAGCTTCATGTGGAACCCAGATGAAAATGTTACTCTCTAGCTGACTTCTTACCAACGCGTTATACAGTGCTATAATTGTATTTAGGTTTCTGAAATCCTTTACTGTTCGTAAAAAAAAAACAAATTCCTATAAGCTTTTTTACAACATTTCACTATGTGATCACGAAATCTTAGCTCATTATTAATACAAACCCCTAAATCCCTAACTTCTGTGACCCTTACCGTCTACATTATAATTATACGAAATTGGTCCACAAATTATTTCAGCACTATAGAATAATAACTGACTAATTTAAGAAAAGTATTGGTATTTATAATGTATTTATTGCTGATCTGCAATGTTAAATTTTGTCATTTTGTCATTTTGCTATTATTGCAAGTCAGCAATATTGTATTGCATGCCTATGCAATATCATCAAAATTAGGGATGTAACAGTAAGCAAGAAAAGGTGATAGATACGCACTTCGAGGCATTACACTGCTAGAGACTGTCTCTACTCTACTACTACCCTATCTATGTCTGTCTGAAGCTTCTTACAGTCTTCCAAGTTGTTTACAGGGAGAGAAAGCTTGAGGTCGTCTGTGAACAGTAAGCATTTCGCATCTTGGACTACTCTTGGTAGATCATTAATTATTCGGAGCAGGAGATCCAAAGGGATTTTCCACCCCGTCAACAAAAAAAAACATCATTAATCATCATAATCAATTCTAGAGGCCCAAGGTTGCTACCTGGACTTACGCCGGACCTGGTGAAATATTTCTCCGATACATGCCCCCCGTATTCCACGTACTGCTTATCTACTATTGTACTGCTATCTTGCATGTAGCTGGCAAAAAATTAGGCAAGTGGGAATTGATACCGACAGCTAGCTTCTTCAGTAGCACGTCATTAGTGACCAGGTCAAATGCTTTCCGGTAGTCGAAGTATGCAACGTCAACTTGACCCCCTCGATCCACCACCGGGACCACCTCTGCTGTGTAAGCGAGTAAGTTACTAGTAGTGCTCCTTTGGGGTCGAAATCCATGCTGAGCATCTGTAAGTTGCGGGCTCACTTGCAACAGAATACTGTTGTGGACAGCGGAAGTAATCCGCGAATTCTCTAACGCATTAATTACCTGCCAGTACAACCCCGTCCTTTAAAATCATTTATTCCTTGGTTCTTTGATCTTCTCTTGGATTTAATGTAATTTCAGAAAGATTTAGGATCCTCCTGAAATTCGTTTTGAATGCGGTCTTGATATTCTTGTTTAGCCATTCGTATCTTATGTTTTATTATAGCCCTACACTGAGCAAAGGCATCGTAATCACTATTTTGCCTGCTCGATTTGTATCGCTTATCGCTTTAAATTTTATATTGCGAATTATTCGAACAGTTTACCACTCGGGGTAAGTGTACCTACGCGCTGACACTACTTCGCTTTTTTTCTAGGAACGCAGTCATCGCTAACGGAATGTATCCTTATTTTTTTTGTTTTATTTTTTCTGTGCTGAAATCCCCTCGGAAACCACTTACCGGTGGCAATGTCGGACTCGAACCGACTAAAACCGCACGCCGTCTCAGGTATCAGTAGTTGAGGAACCAGGTGTACCCTAGAAAGGAAATCCCTGCTGCCCGAAGTACCTCGGGCCATCTACGGCGGGTAGAAGAGCCCCCCTGTGTGGGAACCCCCATGTTCCCTCTGTGCTCCCGGCAGGGCGCGCGCCTCGCAGCGCGCTTGCCGCCGCCCCGGAATGGAATGTATCCTATCATAAAAAAAAAATCAACTCATTTCTGAATTTAAAACATATAGCGGTGACCAGTCCATGGCCCCTTTTTGTGAATACAAGGACTAGAAATCGGTTTTATTAAAGTTCTATCTTGGTAATGCCCCGTGTATGTTCCCAAACCTACGCCAGCATGGCCGCCGTCGGGCGGGCGTTGGCCATAACTTCGAGCGGTTGTGACCTATACCATTGCACTGAGTGAATCCACAATACGTCACAAAGTATTCATAATAATTGTTTACGTACGCAGGACAAGAATATAAATTAAAGTCATCGACTACAATTACTTCACTAAAACTGTCACAATACTGCTCAATAAATCTAAATAACAGCAATTATTAATTTTCGCTACTATTCGGTGGGATGTATACCACAAATAACAAAAATAAAAACCTATTATGACGCTATATACCACAAACTAGTTCAAATACATGATTGTCACGTTTGGTTTACGTCTTTATTCGTCGCATTCGTCGTAGCTTGAAACGCAGTGTGGCCACGAGACACGCGCCGCCCTGCGTTCGCTAATCTGCCCGGTCAAACGTAGGATTGTGTAGCCCGAAGGAATAAATTCTGAGCCATTTATGGATTCATTGCAGCCTGTTTCAGTGATAGCCAATAAGTGTGCGTTTGTTGAAATAATACCCGAATAAAAGTCTTCTAATTTGGTGCTAAGCCTTCTTACATTCCGATATATTTTTCAATATACCTTTTGGATTGGTGATTGTTTATCATGTGATCTGAGAAACCACATCCACTTACAAAATTCAATAGCCTGAGCAATGGCCTCTAAGGCCATTGCTCAGGCTGACACAATATTTCATATTCACTTTCAGCGACCCCTATACTAAAAGAGGCGTAATATCTTTCAGTTTTATGTCTTATTTTTTTAACAGTAAATATTTCTTTCATTCTGTCACTCTAATTTCAATTGTACTTGTACTTCCGCCTTTTCGCACTTCTCTGTCAGGAAACCGGGGTTTTTTTTTGCTTACAGTAGTCCTATTGTCTTCCTTCTCAAATTCTTGTTTCACAGTAATATTGTTATCAATGGCTTGCTTTGCTTTAAGCATTTTATAGTGTGTTTGTTCCGGATGCCTAGTTCCATCACCCGCTTTCGTGGCCACACATTCCTTCACTACTACTAGATCGGTTGGTTTTATCTGCTTATGCATTGAATCTTGTTTCAATGCATTCGCAAATGATAATATGGGCTCCTTAGAAAAATTACAGTCGGTTCCATTTTTATTTTCCGTTTGACTTTGCTTTCTTAGTAGCGCCTCAAGTTGTTTGTTCCTTTTTGTAAGCAATTTAATTTTTTAATTAAATTCCACTTTTTCTGTCTTTTCTTGAACTACCCTCATTATTTTATTTATTTCTCGTAGTTCGTTTTCAGCTTTATCAATTTTACTTGAAGCATTGTATATTCCTTCTTTTGGATCAAATCTTGATATCATTTCCAAACGAAATTTACCCATCTCTTCGAATAGTTGATACTCAATCTCTTTCATAATGATTTCCTTGGATCTAACTCGGCTGCCTCGCTCCTTATTTGCAAAGTTGCTCGGTGTAAAGGTTTTATTCATGGAAACAGTGCTTCTAATCGGCGTCTCAGTATTATCACGTTTGAGAATAGCGTTGATACATTCGGGACACATCCATTGACTCTTGTATTCTTTAGTAAAGGCTTCAAACTTTTCGGTTGTTAATGCCAGACACTTCAACTTATATATATAATTTATGACATGTTTCTTGCAAACATTCCATAAACGATATATTTTTAATGTCGGCATCACAGCCGGCACATCTGGTGCCAATGGGATTAAAATAAATTCAAATAACAATTAAAATTTGAAAAACTAACAGCAGTCCGATGCACAGATACATAATATAAAGACGAAAGTTTGTATGGATGTTTGTTACTCTTTCACGCAAAAACGCCTGAACGGAACTGGATGAAATTTAGCACAGAGATTATTATAGATTATAGTCTGGATTAGCACATAAGCTACTCTTTATCAAGAAAAAAATGTATAGTACACTACTTTTTTAAACGAATAGGGCGCACGGAAGCAATTTATATTTTAAATTCTCAAAGTTTTTGCATTATACAGGATTTAAAGTTAAGTAAATTACGTTCTTATGGTCTACATAGGTTAAGGT